TGGATGGAGTCCCCTCGCACTGCTGAAGGCAGGTCTTGCTGTGCTGGAGGCATTGCTGCTCCTGCGGGTGTGCAGAGCTGTGCTTACCATAGCTGCAGAGCTGGAAGGAGATAAGCTTGCAACATTTCCGTTTCAGTCCTCTTTATTTTTTTTGTTGCCATTGCTACTGATACAGTAGGGTGAAGGCAGGATGTCAGTGGTCTCCAGAGGACATGGGGCCTCCGAGTGGAGCACATCTGTGGGTGTGGGGGGAAGGCTTGCAACCAGCATGAATCTGGTTGCTCCCCAGAGGATTCTCCCCCGCACACAGGATTATTTTTAGTTGGTATCATTGATGTGTACTTGGTGAGCTGTTAGACAATGGGCAGTTTGTATCAAGACAGAATCCCAAGAAACGTTGATGAAATAAAATGAAAAGGGCAAGAAAAAGTTAGGATACCATTAGATCAATTATCTTCAAGCCAGTCTCACTGGGCTGTCTGCAGCAGACTTCTCTGTGCTAAAATGGGAAACGAATGCTGGTGAATGTGACAAATGTTATGCTACTATATTTATGTTTGTCTCCTTGAAAAAATGCTTCCTTATTTTAACTAGTCTGTGGCATGCTGGGTGTTTGTCTCCATTTGATTAATGAGACTTCAAAATGGTATTTATTAACTAATTTTCCAATATGGTCTACAAGCACTTAAAAAAAAAAAAACACACAAAAAACCAACAACCCGAAGTATCCTCACATTGATGCCGATGAACAATCTTCAGTAGTGAGAATGAAGGAAAGGCCATTGAGTGAGCACATTTAAACTTACTTAGCTCTCTTCCTTTTTAGAAGTGATCTAAATTTAGCATGCCAAGAGTTATTTTGGTGCCTTAACTGATAAGTGTGTTGTCCACTCTCAGCATATTCTGTGTGCAGATTTTCAGAATTCCAGGAACAGCAGGATGTAACCTTTCTTTCACCTGGAAACATAAGCAATTCTTGGGGCAGCTGATAGGCGACGTAATGAAAAATGGGAGGCAGCCAGGAGCTGGAGCCAAGGCAGCAGTCTGAAATAGGCCTGCCAGAAGGCTTGCTTTGCACTGCCCATGCTGATGTGTCAGAGGTGGTATGAGCAGAAACACAGAGCTCAATCTTGCAGTGCACGTGAAGAAGTAGTCTCAATCATTTCCTTTTTCAGTGTCGTGGAAGCTTGGCTAAATAGATGTTACAGTTTCAGCTGTCTCAATGTATGGTAGCGCCTTGCTCCATTTCTTTATGGTTTCCTTTCGTTTTCACTCCTGGGCAGTGTGTCCATCATCCTAAAAACTCCAGCTTCAGGGACACAAAAATGAGGCAAAGAGAGTCCAAGTTTGAAATGGTTTGGAGAGGGTGATCGGAGAAGGGGGGAGAGGGAGGCAGTGAGAGGTTGCGGGGAGGCAGGGGTGCAAGGGGTTTTGGTTGTGCTGGTTTACAGGCAGCATGCTCATGGGAAAGGGTACAAAATATTCTGGTTTGCACATCACTCGCTAAATGATTAATCGAGGTCACGTTTAATTATAGAATCAGCTCCATCTCTGTCTGGCTGGAGGTGCAGTGTGCTGCGGTTGGGCTGCGTGCAGTTGTGTGTCTCGCTACACTGCCTTGCCAGCTGAGGAAATGTGAGTTCCCAGACATCCAAATGCTCAGTTCAGTAAGGTGCTTTAATGCCATTAGAGCAAGCTAGGGTTCAATATATAACTTCTTTTCACTCAGAGGAGTGAAGAATAATTATATCAAACAGACACAGAGACTATCCTTGACCCATCTGCCTCCTGCTCCTGTCAAAATGAGAATTTGTCTAAATGAGTCTTGAATAGTCCTTGTTAGTGAGTCAGGACACCTAGAGTCAAGACAAAATAGTTAACAGATGTCACAGTTACTTGACAAAATACTAGCTGGTTTAGGAAGCTGGGGGCTTCATCAGCTGCTTTGACAGTAATTAAGATGCTGCACGAGACATCTGCGCAGTGCTTCATCTCATCTGGGGCTGCAGAACCTGGCAATGCAGCGTGCTGATAGTCTGCTTTTCTGTGTGCTGCCCGTCGGGTGTGTGGAGGATAATGAGAAGTAATGGGGAGAGTTATTTTTGTTAGCTGCTGGTGTATATTTTCAAAAAAACAAATGTGAACCCTCCAGCTAAAACTCTCTTTAGGAATTTGAAGGCTCTGGAGAACTGAGCTGATGAGACAGCTGTTTGTCACTCCGTGTACCCTTATTTAATTCTAGTAATAGAGACACATAAGCTGTGCTGCGTTTGCTTTCTGTTTTCTCTCCAACTTGATTGCTTACCAGCTTCTAAACTTGAAGAATGCTTAAGGAACGTATTTGTGCTAATGGAAGAACCATCTGATGATGCTGTCACGGGTTTTAGACGATTTAAAAAAATATTGTACTCTGATAGCTAGGAAACTTTGTTATTCACCTTTCAGGAATAAATAAGTTACTTAAAGGTGAAGTCATTCTTGCACAGGTATGGATATCACTGGAGATCAGGAGTGTAATCTGTCCAGGTCATTGGACATCTGTCATGAACACACACCTGGCTGCTCAGGCTCTGTGTTGTCGCTGTTGGCTGGTGAAGAGAACAGCACCCCCTTATCCTGTGCTGACCAGCAGTTGCACATTCTTACCTCTGACTTACAGCTGCAGAAACAGTGCTTCAGCATGCTTCTGACGTGTTTTTCCTAATCAGGACATTATATGTGCCCTGGTATCGTACACATACTGACAGATCTTAATGCAATTGGTGTGAAAAATTCCTTAACAGCCATATGCTTCTTCTTTTAAAACTACTGCTTTTAAAAACAAAGCCAAATTATGAAATGGCGAAGTAGAAAAATGGCCACTTGGAGCCAATTGCGCAGCAATGACTCGATGAGTATTGACTTATGCTGGTTTTATCTGTTTTATTTTCATGTACAGACTGTGATCTCTCTCTGCCATCTTTGTCTCACTGTTTCAGTTAGCAGTGATTGATCCCAATTCAAGGAATTTATAAAAACTAAGTGTCATGGGGAAAAAAAGAGCCTAAGGAGTAAGGCCTTTGGAGAGATGTAAGCTAGTTATCTCGTGTGTATCAGCGGTTGGAGAGTTACAGCCTGCTTTAGAGGCAGAATAAATAGTGGGTTCTCATACAACAAGCTCAATGTAATATGTTGGAGGAGAGTTGAGACTTATGTGTATGCTGCAGGTCTCAGGAATGCTGTGTTATTCTCAGTCAACTTTCCATGTCAAGTAGCTGATGCTAATTAAATAGGCCAAGCGTTTCCTGTAAAGCCAAGTGTCTGATGGAGGCCTCTGGCAGATGGAAAAAGGGTCAAACTATCTGACAATACAGAGTATTTTACCTTCTCCTGACGAGAAGAAAAATGTTACATGTGACAGTATTCAGAAGCTTCTGAAGACGTTCGGATGCTGATCCAAGATCCTGGCAATGTCTTGGTCACTGGGTTGTGTTGCCATCCAGCCTGAAGCTGGGGAGTTCTGTGCTTGTCTGTTTTGTTATATTGGGATAAACATACATGAAAGGGAAATATTTTGTTGTTACTGTTCTTATTCTCTGTTTCTTCCTAGCCATTAGCGTGAGGTTTGTGGTCAGCCTAGGAAATACTAATTTGATCTATTGTGTCAATGGGCGTAAGATGAGAAAATCACTTGAAACGACTTCTTTTGGTACTGAGTAATGCAGAAATGAGCAGATCTTACTGTTAGTTAAATTCCAGTATGTTTGAATATAGGTTGGTGGATGAGGGAGGACGGTGCAGGCTCGGAGCTTTGGCTTGGCATCCCCCGGGGAATGCTGTGTGGCTCATCTGGCATGAGCTGGGAAGGAAGCATGGCAAATGTCCCAGTGAATTGGCATGGTTTTTTTTTTTCCTATTCCAAAAAACTGCTGCAGTACACAAGCCCACAGTGCCATGAGGCACATCAGGCAGCTGTGGTAAAAGATGCCGTTTTAGTTCTTTTTCTATCAGAGGTGTGGCAGGAGTGGAATTCCAGTGTGAATCTTTCTTAAGGACATAAGGGATTAATGTATCTTAAAATAGACACCGCCAACTTAGAAGTGGGTTTTTCAGATGTGATTATGATGAATATTGTGGGGAAAAGAATGGGAATAATGGTATTTGGAATAACTTGTTTACAAGATTGTTACATTCCTCAAAGCCTGGAGAGCTGTTGTGGTTTTATGTGCTCAAGTAGCCAGGCACATTTCCATTTTGCAGGGTTATTTTTAATTCTGGTGATCACATGGCACCACAGACCTCTCTGTTGGTTGCTGGGGTGGGCAATGAGCCCCCAGACTGGCTGGCACCCACCTTGATTTTGGGGGGGGAGGGTGTCACTGACTGTGGGGTGGGCAGCTGGAATAGGGGCACCTCCTGTTTCTAGCATGTGCTTTTCATCAGGGGACAGGTAGCTTTGCAGTGGTGCAGCTACTCCTTAACCACAGCATCCCCTGCCCCTGATGGCAGCAGTGTCAGTGGAATAAGTGTGGCATATTGCTTCTCCTGTATGCCTGATAATTTATTTACGCATTCCACCTAATTATAGCGTAATAATAGACTTGAAACAATGTGATAATTATTTCGTTTTTTGAGTGGTTAAAATTAACTGTGCTCATTGCATATTTACTCAGTATAAAAGATACAAAATGTTTAGTAATTGTCCAGAAATTCATTATCTGGATAATATTCTGTTTCTAAATGTGTATTGCATGGCCAGTGATGTGTCAGCAGCAAGCATACAACAATATCTGATGTCATTACTTTTTTCTGTACGTGCCATCTCAGCTATTGGTGTGTTGTTGACAAAAGTGCTGTTTGGATGGGAGTTCCAGTTTGTGCTGAGATGCTCTTGTTAGCTTGGTACTGAAGTCTTGCTCACACCGCTTTCACGAGTGTTGGGATAAATAATATGTTATCTTTTTAAGCAGGGGAGAAATAAACAAACCCGTAACAGTGTACCTTCTCTTTTGTTTTACCAGCCTCCACTGGTCCAAGCTATTTTCAGCGGTGATCCAGAGGAGATACGGATGTTGATCTACAAAACCGAAGATGTCAACGCCTTGGTATGTGACTTGGGATATGTTTGTGCTGGGATTTCTGAGTGCCATGCCTGTGAACTTTCTCAGTGGCAATGCCAATCATGTCCTTAGCAATTAGCATATAACAGAATGGAAAAGGCTGGGGGCTTCAGTAGAGTCCTCATTATTCGTCTGACATATAATTATCTCCAGCAGGTGATTTCTAAATGTAATGGTAATGATTCCAAATGTGCAGGTCACGGAAGGACATTGTTTTCTTGCACATTGAGAAAATGAGTGAAAACAGCTGAAAGCTGCATGTTTTTATTCTCTGTAGAGTCTCCTTTTTGGAAGAGTCTTTACAAATCAGGAGCTTTTATTCACCATCTGACTGTACTTGAAACAAAGCTTAACTAAAAGTCTCAGCAGTGCGAGTAAGGAAGCAGCATCTTGGCCACTGTTTGTCCACAGAGGAGCTGCTGTTCTTCAAATTGGCTTGTTCTAGATAGAGCAATGGTAAGCAGCTGCAAACAAGTAGTATTTAAGTATTTTAGCAGAGAAAAAACTCTCTACTTGAGCTTTATTTTTTTGCACATTTCCTCTTTCTTCCTTAGGCTTCTTAAAACTTGGTTTTAACTGAAATATGTACTATTTGAAATGAATCTTGCCAGTCTGGACTACAGTTTGTGGCCTCTCAGATTGGTGACAATATCAAGCAGAAATGGAGTGATGTTTTCCTGGTGTTTTTTAGACTTCGGAATCAACCTTCCTTTTCTTCATGTCTTTCTCTGACATAGAGTCACTAGTTCATTCAGAGCTAATTCCAGCACTTTAGCCTGGTGCAGCCGTGGCACTGCAGCTTTTACAGATAGGCAGGGTCCTGACATCTGGATCAGAGGTGCAGAAAGGAGCAGGAGAGGTGAGCGTATTCAGTTCTCTGTCAAGTGGATGGAAAGATTTGCTTCTGTTTTTAATGAGGAATTTGGGCAGAGGAGGAAGACCTTGACGTGAGGCTTTCCTTGTGATTCACTGACTGCTTGTTTTCTTGAAATGTCTTCTCAAAAGTGCTTGCTTAAAGCATCTTCTACTTTGAGCTTCCTCCGTATTTGTTTTCCCTGATCATCTTAAAAATTATATAAAACAAAAATAATAATAATAAAAAGTTTAGGTGAACATGATAATCCTAAAATTTCCTCTCTATTTTGTGTTAGCATTTCAAAAAGTGTTTCTTGTACGAGGTTATAGTAGGCTTCTCAAATGTTTTTATATCCTTTGGCTGCAAGTGTGCTAGTGATGGTTGCTAGGGAGATGCTGTCATCTGTCAGGTACAATGTTAAATGCTGAATATGTGTTTTATAGATGAGCACCATAGTGTTTAATGGAAAGAGTCAATTGAGTGGTTTGCCTACAATCCTATTTAAGTTAGTAACAATGGGCACAAGAATGTTCTGACTGAGCAGCTGTTTTGTCCTTAGTACTAATTAGAAAAATACCAGTCAACACAAAGTCTGAAGATTGTGTTTTGAATAGTCTTTGCAGAGAAGTGTTAAATGCCTAAACTGTCACTAGAGAGATCAAAAGGCAGCATGTTTTGCCCCTGTGCTGCCAACTGGCTATTTGTGATACTTGCTTACATTTCTATTTTAAGGGTGTTTTTAATTACTTCCATGCTAGTTTCTCTAGTGCTTGGGTGCTCACGTGAGAGGAAACTGACACTGTTTGGCAATGCTTTGTCCTTTGTTGATCGTTTTTCTATGCTGTGTTAGTACTGAAATAAATCAAATGTAAGTAGAAGAGGGAAATAAAACTCTCTTCTTGCAGCAAATTTTAGGGATTTCTAAAGTTTTATAGATTTTAGAGTTTTCGAGGAAGGCAGAAAAAAAAGCCCATGGAGAAACTATGCAAAATGAGTCAAATATATGCATGTTTCTTAAGAGAAAATTTACCTTGCAGGAAAAAATTCAGAACAAATCAGTTTAAAAGGTTACTTTGTTTTTTTTTTTTCCACTCTGGTCAAATAAGTAAAATCTTCCCAAGCCAGGAAGCACATGTTTATGAAAACAGCTGCTTTCTGGGTGCTGCTATAATTCTGACTTCTGTTTTGCAAGTGAGTTGCAGCTGCTTGGCTCAGAAGCGTGTTTTCAGGTCATTCAGCAGTCACTTTGACCTCCTCATTTCCATGCTGTGCCTGGGGGTACGTGGTGTTGCTGTGCATCACAGAGGCACGGGCAGCGTTGCATGTGGCTGGCGGTGATCAATGATGTGTTGTGGAGGACTCAACATGCTGCTTCCCTGGAGAGCCTGGGCTGCCTCTGGGTAGTGTTCAGCAGCCTGCTCTCCCAGGCTGCATGGCGGATGGGCTGGCGCTGTGCAGACCACTGAGTTAGTTTCAGGCAGGAAAACTGAAGGAGGATCTTATCAATGCTTATGAACATCTGTTGTACTGGAGTCAAGTGGACAGGGCCAGGCTTATTTCAGTGGTGCCCGGTGACAGAACAAGGGGCAATGGGCACAGACTGGAACGCAGAAAGTTCCATACGGACGTGAGTATGACAGAGCACTGGAATAGACTGCCGAGAGGTTATTGAATCTCCTTATCTGGAGGAGGTAAAAACTCACCTGGATGCTTTGTGTGAGCTACTCTAGGGAGCCTGCCTTAGCAGGAGGTTGGATTTAGACGTTCTCCAGAGAACCCTTCCAACCCTCACGATTCTGTGAATTTGGCTCATTTTCATTCAAGCAGACGTCCTGAGCTGGCAGATATAGTGCAGCTGCAGTGACTCCTGATGTGCCAGGCTGAAGCCATGTTGAGGTATAAGACCCTTGGGCATTGCCTGCCCACTTCCGCCTGCAGATCTGGTTGGTGGATATGACACCAGCAGAGACTGCAAGGCCCTGCACGCATGCGCAGAACTTAAATATACTTCTGCAATACTGCTAAGTGTGCTGTTTGGGATGGTGCAAATGTTTGACAGTACAAGTGTGCACATGTTTCAGATTCTGAATGTGAAAGGATTTGCATGCTTAGGATAGCTAATGTGGAAAACAGCTTGTCGCTTAGTTTAGAGGGACATGTTCAACTTGGGACAAAAAGGCAAAGCCACGTGGTATTTCAGTCATCTTGGGAATCAGGCCCCTGTCTTTGCTCTCATCCAGGAATTATTTTTTTTTGGCACTGTGGAATCTCATAGGAGATAAAGCTATCCTGGAAGCAAGTGACTGTCTTTTGGAAGTGCTCCTGCCATGTTAGAAAACTTCCGAAGGAGTGGATTCAGGATGTTTGGAAGGCTTCTGTTTTGTCACCGTAGGGCAGTTTCTTATGAGCTAATGGCTGTGTTGTCAACAAGTTAAATTTTTATAGAACAGTAACACTTGTCCTGTTTTTTAGGTTGCAAACCCACCTGTAATTGAAAGGAGAGAGTTGAAGAGGTCTGGTGCCCACAGCTTTTCCTCTAAAAGTAATTTGATTTAAGTAACAAAATGCACTAAACTGGTAAAAATCAATTTATCATTGCAAAACTAGTTGAAGAACAAATCTCAAGATTTAAGCTGAAAACTTTGAAGTAACGTAAAGTCAATACATAAATATGATCAGAGTGAGCACAAAATCTTTTTAATTTGGCCCTTGAAGGACAACAGTAGCAGGCAGTGAGATGGTGCATGGCTAAGCCCTTTGGAAGCATGTTTTTCTAACAAGGTTGCAGATTGCGTATCTTTGTCAAACCCTTGTTTATCAAATTCAGTTTAAAAGAAGTCGCATTTCCCTTAACTGCTGTAAGTAATTATTTGCAGAACAATTGTGGCTGATGTTATGTAGTAGAAATACTGTTAAGCATCTTATTTTCTTACAGTACTTTCCTATTTAATAAGAAGAGCAGTCTTTCTATTTTTTCTCTTTGACAAATTCAAATACTGTGCATTAACCTTGCTGTTCTTGTAAGTGAAGAAGAAATGAGAAGACGTAATAGGAATAATCTGTGCAAGTAGTCTGAGACAAGAGTAGGAGTGTATATTGGAACATAATCATCCAGTGCTACCTCCTGTGATGCACTTCTCCAGTATATTTTCTCAGTCTTAGTACTTAATTTGAATAGTTTTTGCGACCTCCTGGCTGTAGCTGGTTGCTTGGAGATGGTGGGAGTCCCAACCTTCTCTCGGCTCTCAGTCACCTGGTGAATGCTGTTTCTGTGGCACTGTGCTGAACCATTTCTGCTGTTTTCTCAGGCAGATGGATTACAAAACGTGGATGCTGACACTTATCTTCTGTCGAAGTCCCTCTTACATTGTAATAATAAATAATTACGTCCCCCAAATGATCTCATCTGAACAGCTGATACAAAGGTTCAAATCTTTTGCCTACTTTGAGATGCAGGCTATGCTGAAGAGAAACTGCTGGCCTGTTTCTTGATGTGCCTGAATATTCTGCGTAGGATGACATGATTCATGTGAGCCCCACCACGTATACTGGGGCTCTGATCCAGTAAAGCACTTAGGACTTAATCTGTGGTGCACCTTATCAGTGCCACTGGGATCCCTTCAACAGCTGAAGCATGTGTTGAGTGCTTTTCTTGTTGAGGCCTTCTGCTCTTGATCACCTGTTTGTTAAATTCATAATTTCCTTTATTAGTTAGTTGAAAAATAAAGAAGTACAGATACTGTTAACTCTGAATCATCTCTGAGAACCGGTGTAAGCCCCTCTCATAGGTTTTAGTGAGACAATGTTTGTTTCAGCTTCTCTTTTACCCACTGTTCAGCTTATCTGCGGTCTCTTACTGACCTTTCGTTCCTTTAAGAGCTGCACTTGAAGCAGGCCTGATTGTTTGTCTTGGTGCTATTTGTAACTCTGTTATCACTCCTTCCCGCCTCCCCTTTCAGGTTTGGGGCGCTGCCAAACTCTCTTGCTGAAACGACAGATTTCCTTTTTTAATTCCCATCTCTGTTTGTAGCCTTTGGTCTTTACACCGGTGACTTATTTTTTGTGCTCCTTTTAATGCCTCTGCCCCAGAATGACACCTGTAGCCCAACACCTGGACCAGGAGCTTTGCAGACCTCGCTGGAGTGGCTGGCGGCTCTCAGGAGGACACGAGGAGCATGGTGGGACGGGCAGGCGGGTGCTCCATTTCCTCTGCATTTCTATCAGCTTTGAGTGCAATGTAAACAGGAACTCGAGAGTTTTCCTCTGCTGAGTTTCTCAAGGCTCAACAGCAGGCATCTTGTTGGCACTTCCCAGTGAAGCCCAGAAGACGCTGCCTGGAGGGCTCTTATGTTCGTTTGCCCACACTGTACATCTTTCTTTTTTTCTTCTGATAGTTTGTGTGAGGATGAACTTGTTATTGCCTGGCTGAGGTAAATGGAAAAGGTTTTGGCTTTTGTGTCTAAAACTTGGATAAATCAATCAAGTACAATTTAATGATGGAAACTTTTCTTTCTCTGAAGGCTTTATTCTCATATACTGTGAAAGAATTTTGCTTTGACTTGTAAAAACAATAGCTGAGATTACTTACAGTTAGTTACTACTCCAGTGGTGGAAGCATTCCTTCTGTTGTTCTTTTCCAGGTTTCAGACCCATCAGTATCCCTTTGGTTTTAAAATGTACTGCAAAGCAGAGCGTAACAGTTCTACTTTTCTGTTTCCTGTCCTTTCCTCCCTGGATTATCAAACTTCTGTCAGGCTTACAGTTTAGTACAAAATATTGTTTATTATCAACAAAGCACTGAATAGCCTTGGTTCCTTGATATAGAAGATTTTTTGTTCTTGCATTGTTAGCGTTCAGCTTCAAAATGTTTCAGCTCTGTTGGCAGACTTGGCAGTGCAGCAGGAAGCTGCTGCAAAATTTATCACTGACAGGTATGACAACTATTAGAAATACTACGCTTGTACTAGGAGAGATTTGTGCATTAACTTTTAAGAAGGTAAAAATAAATAAAACACATTATTTTCTTGTACAAGTCTTGCATGCATCCTAGTAAAGTAATGCAGTGGATAGCATTTGTATAGGCAATGAGAAGCAGTATTTATGAAAGTTGACAAAAGTTATCTTGATGTATGAAATCTTGCAGCCCATCAAATCTAGTCCTTAGGGGATGACAGCACGGCAGGTCAACAAGCAAGCAGTGCACAGATTAGCCTTGGTGAAGCTTTAGCTCTTGTGGTAACTTGAGTGTATAAGAGAATCCAGTTTATTGTAATTTTGGTTTCTGGGCAGATGCTGTTGGATGTGGAGCTCTTATGGAGTGTGGCCCCTGAATCATCCAGTACTCCTGATTCTGAAAGTGAAAATGGAGAACAGCTTCATATTCCTGTAATTTGCGTATGGCATGAGGAGGTGAAGCTCTCTGAGGCATCTTGTCCCCTGACCTGGGGCCGCAGAAGTTGAGGACAAATGTACATTGTGTATGGCTGGGAAAAAAGCATACAAATGTAAGAATTGTGCGTAGCTCATTCTGGACACCAGTGGCTCTATTGCACAGCTGGAAAACAATTTTCAGCATGCACATGACAAATGATTCGGCTGTGCTCATTTGTTCACATTTATAGCATACTTTGAAGATAGTCCAAAATAGCTTGCAGTTGATGACCTCTTGGGCATGTTAAAAGAGATATTTTGCTTGACAGACTGAGAGAGATATTTCAGGGGGAGAGTGCAAATACCAGTAGGATTTCTCTGCTGGTATCATTTGCAGGAGGTGGTGAATTTGTTACCAGTATTGAATGATGGTAGGCTGTAATTTAGAAAGTTTAATTGATAAGTCTCTTAGAACTTGGTGTATTAGTGGTTAATAGGCCAAATGAAATACATATTGGGACTGAGAACAGAGGTAAAACAGTATGATAAGCAGTATTAGCTGTTGTGATTTGTTGCCCGTATCATCACATTCAGCAGTTTCTTTTAAAGGCCTGTGTTCTGGAGTCATCAGAATGAAGGAATAAAAAAGGTTTTTTGTAAACACCATATTTATAACATGAAATCACAAGAAGTCTTGAAAATTTAGCTTCTTAATCTTGAAAGTGACAGAAATCAAAAGGAAACATCTTTGCTTTCTAAGTTCTATGCAAGATTATTAGTGATTTTTAGAAATTTAAAGCTGCAGTCCTAATTGGTAATATTTTTCTAATTAGTGTTTAAAGTTTCATCACTGTGTACAAGTCCATTTCTGTCTGCATTAGTCAATGAGAGTAAATGGTGTACGATTGATTACCTTTCAGGTCTATGAGAATTGCATCTTGTCTGTGTGTGGTTCCAGACCATCTTCCAAAGATGGCTCTCTTGATGGTGAGGCAATACTGTTGATGCAAACTGCATTGCAGTATGATGTCTACAAGCATCTGAATTATGTTGCTACAGTTTTTAGTTGCAAATCTTTCCAAAAGAGACCCGGGAGACCCATGTCTCTCATGTCTAGCTGTGTTCTGGCTTTCCAGGATGTGATGCAGTGTGCAATGTGATGGATAGTTCATCTAAATTTGGATTAGATGAGATTTTATCTACCCGTATAAAGGATTTCAGAGTGAAGAGAATTTCTCTGCTAGGTCTGATGGAACCTGGTGACAAAACATTGAGGATTTTTGCAAGGAAGTGTTTTCTTCAGACCTTGAATTCTGTTCTTTCAGGGGTTGAACTTGTGTTTTTAATCACAAGCAGGAATAGTTGTAGAAAAATATACACCATGTAAAAACACATTGCCTGCTAATACTAATGCTTGCAGTCATCAGCCATGTTTTGTAACTGTATGGTCTGTGGCTTTCAGGATGCTGAGAAGCGAACTCCTCTTCACGTTGCGTCATTCCTTGGGGATGCAGACATCATTGAGCTTCTTATTTTGTCAGGTAAGTTAGCACCTCTCTCTGCTACTAACTGTTAAATTAATTTTAAGTCTACAAGAAATAAATAACAGAACACATGAGAGTGAACTTTGGGAGTAGAAGTTTCTGGATTTCATAGAGCTGGTTGCAGTTGTTTGCAGACTTACAAAATATGTTTAATTTGGGTGGTGTAACTATAGAATGTACTGTGACTGAATGAAATTAATAGATAAAACAAGTAGTTTGTAAAAGCTTCTAAAACTTTCAAGCTGATAATATTTGTGGATTCAAGTGCATGCGAAAGTAAATACATGTTTGAAATGTAGACTCTAGTTCTGGACCATAAGCCAAGAATTTCTGTTAGGTAAAAATGATTATGGAATAATAACAGAAAGTTATGAATGAGTTTGAATAAAGTGTAATTGGTATTTAGAATAGAAAGGGAGTCAAGGAAGTTGACTTGGAGAATAGGAACACTGCAGTAGAATGTATCTAAGCAAGAACGTGCAAATAGAACAACAGTTATCCTTTGAAACCACTTAATACTAGTTGATACTTGACTTTCTGAAATGCATATTTTTGTCCATAGTCTCTGAAAAAATGAGAAACTGGTCAAAAAAAGAAACTGAGTAGAAAGTTAAGTGTTGTCAGAGTAGAAACAGCATGCATATGTGTATATATATACATGTGTGTATACAACACAAAATATTTTTATTTTTTATGTTTGTACATTGTCTTAGGGTACTCTAGTGAAAACTAAACTGTGTTAAAAGTGTTCTGTAAATGCTCATATTCACATAAATATCTTTGTGTAATGGTTTAAATGCTTTCTTGATGGGTTGCCAAAAGGCTCATCTTGGATGTTGTCATCTAATGTCACAGTCATAGAATGGCGTAGGTTGGAGGAGACTTGAAGATGATCTTATTCCAGCTCCCCTGCCATGTGCAGGGTTGCCAACCACTGTGTCAGGTTGCCCAGGATCACAACCAACCTGGCCTTGAATGCTTCCAGAGCTGGGACATTAACACCCTCTCTGGGCAACCTGCTCCAGCATCTCACTGCCCTCAACCTTTCTTCATAGAAGAGGTGCTCCAGCCCTTTGATCATTTCCGTGGCCTTCCTCTGGACCCATTACAACAACTCTGCATCCTTCCTGTACTGGGTACAGGAATCCAGATGGGGTCCCACGAGAGCAGAGTGGTGGGGAACAATTCTCTCCCTCTCCCTGCTGGCCACTCCTCTGTTGATGCATCCCAGGATACTGTTGGCCTTCCAGGCTGCTAGAGCACACTGCTGGCTCATGTCCAGCTTTTCATCCATCAAGACCCCAAAGTCCAAATCATGAACAGAATAAGCTGTTTGTATGCATGGGGCCTGGTCAGTGATTCGGTGATAGGTGCTCAAAATACCTCACTCTTATTTATTTATTTATATGCTTAAGTAGTGTGTGTGTGTGTGTGTGTGAGAGAGAGAGAGAGAGAGAGAGAGAGAAAGACTAAATTACCATCTTAACATTGAACTATAACTCTGGAACTCCCCTGTTGTAATCTCTCATGCTGACACTGCTGATTTAACTTGCTCTAGATTTTTTCTTCCCAGTTTTCCATAGGAATATAACGCCAACCTTCTTTTCCATGAGCACTGTGAAAAATAATGGTAAATGTTTCCAAACTCTTTAAGCAACAAAAAACATGATCAGAATATGTCAGAAGAAAGCATAAAGCAGATGTCTCTCAAGAAATACCTGTAATTCATGGTAAATTCCTGGATATGCTTGCAGATTTCAAAAGCTGTTTTTCTAAACTGGAGAACTGTAAAAGGTACAGCTTAGGGTGATTTAAGAGTGGAGGATGGGAAGGAATCTTATGGTACGAATTTCCAACCCCTTGCAGGTTATCTTACTGTGTGATTCCTGCTATATGATACTTGAATTTTGGATCTTACAAATTATTAGAATGCCTCTTCAAATGACTTGCTTATTTTTTTAGTGAAATTATTTAAGAAATATTTGAAACTTTGAACTTGAAAATAATGCTGTCTGGAAGGAATTTCTGAAGGTTACTTGATCCAGCTTGTAAAAGAGCTTTTGTAGCCCAGAACTAATAGTTCTGTGAGCCATGAAATTGAAGAAAACCAGCTTTTCTGTTGTCTAGCAAGGTGAAAGTGCCAAACGAAGCTTCTCCCACAGCTGAGTTACTCAAAGCCGTTGAACTTTCTAGATGCTCTAATATCTAGCATGGATTGCAGTAATGTTTCAGTCTTCTCTCTAAGGTAGCTATGATACATGTAGTAGATTCACTCTAGCCATTTGTGTGTCCAAGGCCCTAACACCAAAAGGACCGAGCTTTTTTGCTTGGCAGTAGCACCATAGGCAGTGCAGCTGTCTGTCACAGTGCCCTACACCCTGCAGTCTCTCTCCAGCTGCAGACTCTGCTGCTTCTTCATGATCTTCAGCTTTATTGCTTGCTTCACCTCTTCTCTCTACCTGCATTGTTTTTCATTTTGTGTAGACCTTGTCTCCTTGTTGAATAAAACAAGGGATGGAGGAACAGATATTCTAAATGTTTCTTTGAACAGAGCCAGCCTAAACTTCATTTGGTGAAGGAAGAAAGAATTCATTTGCTGTAGCTGTGTTTTCTCGGTATGTTTTTGAGGTTGTTTTGAGTAATCTGATTGTTTAATGAGGGTAACTAGTTTGTCATCCATCATAAATTGGATTTTTCTGCTCTAACCCTCACGGCAGCAAAGCGATTTAAATGAACATTCGTCTGCTAGCAGGTTGTGCTTGGATGCTTTTTCATTATGTCAGATGCAAGCAGTCTTTTCTTCACTAGGAGACAAAAGCTAAACTTAATGTGTGTGTGTGTTCTTGCAGTGTGTGTTGTTTGTAACATGCTGTTGTTCTGCTGTTGTGTGTCTTTTTTTCAAGTACTGCAAATAACATCACAGGCAATATCTGCATAAATAGAAAGGTGAAGCAGTTCTGCCGATTCCTCCTGTGAATCCCAATAGCGTCACATGTCCTGACGAAGGCAGGGTACATTCTGCTGCTTGTTTTCCATTGTGTTCCTAATGAGAGAAATAAAGAAACTTTGCTGTGTTCTTCTGGGACAGTTTGTTCCAGTGCCTCACTGCCAAAATGTCATCCGCAGGCTGTAGGATTTGTCTGGTTAGCAGCATAAAAAGTAGGTGATAAATGTTGCCTACTAGCTCGGCATGAGTCAAAATTAAATCTTACATTGTGTATATCTGTCTACTCATTGTACTGTAATCTCACTACTCTCATTATGTATCAGAATGTACATCCAAGAGCAGGTTTGGAGGAGCAGGTCTATGAGTTTTTTATAAACACATTTTTGTTACTGGAATTTGTGAGCTAGGTTCTGAAGAGAACAACATCTTTTTGCTTCACTTCTCCATTGCAAAATCGTAATACGTAGGAGTGTTTCATAAAAGATTAATCACAAAATTAAGTCATATATAAGCAGAAAAGCTTTGTTATCTGGCCTAAATGAGATAGTGTTTTTACTGAGCAAAAACACAAAAATGCTTGCTGTTGGAATCAAACTAGGGTATTCTCAGCCTCGAGCCTAGCAGAAGCTTCTACTAACTTCTACAGCCTAGTAGAAGCTAGGAGAACTGGCATCCCATTGCACTTTGTGCAGAGCTCAGGAAAGAACTGAAATGAAATATGTGTATTCTAAGGTTTGTGGCCCATGAACTGGTGACAGCACAAATAATTATAGTATCTAATGAATAAAGCTTCTACCCAGATGCTTGGAGTCATATCAAAAATGGCTTTTTAGCCACTGAAATGGAATGCGTTTGGAATTGATAGAGGTGCAATGCCAAGTCCCTCAACTGTTATAAATCATCTCAGTCCATGAAATGTCAGGGCTAGGTGGATTTACACCAGCTCAAAGATCTCATCCGTAGTCATGTGGTTCAAACTGGAGAAGTACGTTATGTGGTTTTGTTTTTCCAGGCTATATGAAAACGGGCTATATAGAGCTTTGAGCACTTCTCCTTCACCTCCTCTCTGTCAAGGAGAAGGACCATGGCAGCCATCTCATGTAAATACTGGAGAGAAGAAGGCTGCAGGGTGACCTCATTGCAGCCTTTCAGTACCTAAAGGGAGCCTACAGAGGGAAGAGGAATCAACTCTTTGAAAGGGTTGATATGTGTAGGACGAGGGGAAATGGTTTTAAATTGAGGGAGGGGAGATTTAGGTCAGACATCAGGGGGAAATTCTTTACCCAGGGAGTGGTGAGGTACTGGAACAGGCTGCCCAGACAGGTTGTGGATGCCCCGTCCTTGGAGGTGTTCAAGACCAGGTTAGATGGGGCCCTGGGCAGCCTGGTTTAGCATTAAACATGGAGGTTGGTGGCCCTGCATGTGGCAGGGGGTTGGAGATTCATGATCCTTGAGGTCCCTTCCAACCCTGGCCATTCTGTGATTCTGTGATTCTGAAATACGATGTGGATATGATGGTGTGTTCATGGATATGACAGAAGAATTGTCTGGGTAAATCCAAGCTCCATGGTTATTTGTGCCTGGACCTCTCCCCTTCCTGGGCTTAATCTGGTGCTGAGGGCAGAGTGAGCGAGCTCAGTACCCTTATCCTCTGTTCTCTCCTTCCACAGGAGCCTGTGATCTGGACAGTATTACCATATCTTTTTCTATTTCATATTTTTTTTTAGTATTTCAGAAGGCTTTGAGCTACTTGACAAGAAGATTATGCACTGGGGAGGGTGTGTGCAGTATTAACATCCATTCTTTCTAAGTTGTGCGTAGGTGAGGAAAAGGACAAACCTCAGCATGCTTTGGAAAGGTTCCTGGTAAGCCCTGGCATGCAGATTTGACAACAAGACTGTCATGAATTTGGCAGGTTCTGGGCCATCCCTGTCTTGTAGGCCGCAGGGAATGGCACTGCCTGACTTGAATTCATATACAGATTTTTCTCTCGTATGGCAGGCTAAACAGGAGGAGGTCTGGAGTGGCAGCTTCTCTCTGCCTTTCCCATGGCTTTCAGACTCCAGTCCTTGGGGATTAAGAGTGTCCTCTTCTGAATAAAGTGTGGAGGATGTCCCAGGACTATCTCCTCACTCTTTCATGATGGACCCAAGACCTGTGTGCTTTTACCTTGCTGCTTACTCTTCCTGTCCTCTGACCGCAGCGGCATCTCTGGGCCAATTCCCTAATTAGCACGTGACCGAGACTTAGCTCTGATGAAATTCCAGCATACCTGTTTCTATCATGTAGCTGTTCTCAGGCTCTTAGGTACATTTATCAACATCTAGCATGTGTTGCTCTCTTGTTGAAAGTCCCAGTTCCACCTACTGTCTAGAGCCATTCTGTTAAATTTTTTGTGCTGATCTTTGCTTTATGTTGTGCATCTCTGTGTGTGGTGGTGGGTCACTACTTATACTTTTGTGTTGCTGTTTCTCATCAGGACTTGGAAAAGTGTACATTATTAATGTCATTGATAGATTAAAGAAGGTTCATCCGTTGATCATCCCTGATTTCAGAAATTTAGGTTGCAGAGGTTAGGCTTATTGAAAATATGTGGATTTTGCCAGATGTGCTGGATGAAAAATCATTTGGTTAGGAGAAAGAGATGTTAACTTTATTCCTGAAAGCAAACATCGGGTTGGTTGTTTCTGATCTCAAGTGAACAGAGGAAATTTCAGATTTGTCTCCTCTTTTGGCAGAAAATAAATGGAGAGTGAAAGATCTCAAAGGCTTCTTCTCTGAAGGAGTATTTCTTGTTGATATTTTGTGGGGTGGGTGGTTGCTGTGGCTACATGGAAGGATGTTAAGAGACAACTTTTAAAAGGTAGAGTGTTACTGTGAAGTCTGCCAGATAGAGCAGCTGGAGCGTTAGCAGCTGTAGGCCTCTTGCAATACATTTATTGAACTTTGCAGGTAATTGCAGGAAGTCCATTGAAACATGATTAAAGAACATACTTCATGGTAGAGAGTGAGATGCTGAATTTCTTGGTGACTTGAAAATTTAAGCTTCTCATTTTGGGACACAGATGATGTTAGGTGCTGGAGATCACTTTGTTTTCAGAGTTGGATTTCTGTGTTGCTGTCAAAGAGCTGTCCTGCAGGGTGGGCATTCAAGTTTGTTAAGTGTAGAGGAGGCCTTTGAAAATATGAGCATTGCTCCTCAGGTGTCTCCACATTCTCACTTTAAAATGGAGATGTTGTCCATCCCCAGAGGCGTGCCTCAGTGCTGGTGGAGCTCTTTGATCATCATTAGCTGTTGCCTGCAAGGAACCTGATGGAAAACTGCAAGATGAATTTTGGTAAAGCAAATAGGCAGTACAAAGGGAATCATTTTGAAACATCTCTTCAGAGAAATATGTGCCTCAGTTCACAGAAAACACTGGCGTTGCTAACGGGCAACAGCTGAATTATGCAGCTTTTTAAAATCATAAATCACAAATTTATTCAGCTGGCGCATTGAATTAGAGGTGTAAGATGTGTGAAATCACTGTCACATAAAGAGCAGAAAACCACAGAGAGGTAAGGGAATATGGAAAATTACTGAAGAAGAAAAGGTCGATAGCATGCTGTAGATTATTTTATTTATAGTAGCAGTGTTTTGCTTTTATTATTTTCTTTCGTGCTTTTCTTGGCAGCCATCTACTGCAGCCTCCTGAAGGGTGAGTGGATCAGTGAAAGGCATGAATAACTACTGGGGGAGACACTTGCCTAGGTTTTTTTAGTCACCTTTGTGTTCTCTAATACCATGGGGTGCTGAATACTGACAAATGATGTGATTTCTACTCTCATTTTGCTACTCTCTACATAGGTCTTTCTGATTTCCTACCATCTGCTTGTGGGAGTTGGTGAATAGGCAGCAATAAGGCAAAAGAAAGCTTTGTTAAGAAAATAAGGATTAAAAAAAAAAAGCAAGGTAAATGTAAAATAGATTTCTAAACCTGAAAAGAGGCATTTGATGGCAGTCATTAGGAATTAATCTAGGCAGTTTGCATCCCCAAAGTCCCTATAGGATCACAGCAGTGTATCGTGAGGTATCTTGGAGTTCTGATGGTGGAAGATATGGCTGCTTTATGTGTGTCTGGAGCACCTCAGACAGTGCAGACTTAGAGTTGGTACTGATAGGCATCAATCATAATGGCCTTCTCAGGAAGACGAGGGAAGGCAGCAGCTTTCTTCCTTTATAGATTAATTTGGAAATACTTCGAAACCGTCACACACCTTTACTGGGGTGTTTCTCTGGAGTGCAGATTGTGCCACCAGATACAAGGTCTAAGGTGAATTATTGCCTCTGATTGCTGCACCAGTTATGAATATAGCTTTCTTCTTCCAGCCAAAAAATTGTGTCCTAACTTGTGATTATCTGAAATAAATCTTTTTTTTTTCCTCTGGTTACCTAGTACAATTCCCAGTATCTGCTGTGATTCAGAGGCAAACACCTTAATATTCCTGAGAAACAGCTTTCAGAAATCATTTCTGATTCAGAATGTGATTTATTAATTACGGGATTTGACATGCGCTTTTAAGTTGTGGTGCACAATGGGGCTTAAGAATCTCTTTGTTCATGAAGTTCAGAAGCTGATCTAGGCAATGTGCATGATGCTCTTGCTTCTTGTAATTTTTGTCTATGTATGCCTGTCTTCTCAAACTAGTACTGCTGTCTGTAGACATTTAAAACATGAGTTTCTCTAGTTCTTTCCATTGAACGTTTTATTCTGAGGTGTCACTTCAATGGCTAGTTTAGTATTTCTTTCAAACAAATCTCATCACACAAATATAGAGTCCCTTTATGTCTGCAGTCAACCAACACTGTAGTAGTTGTTTGATATTCTTCTTTTATCCATTATTCTGGCAAGCGACCCTGAAACCACCCTCTTGCACAGCTGCCTTTTGTCAGGGTGCACATTAGCACTGAACTGTGCATGAGGCAAATGGATCGTGCCCTCTATCTCCCTTCTGATGTCTGCTGAGGGGCGCCTGTAGATGTGGAGGTTGGGAGGCATCCTGTTTCCTCTTCAGCCATTGTCCTTCCCTGACTTGTCTTCACAGCAAGGGAAGCAGAATTTTAACAGATATCCTATATTTGTTAATCTTATAAATGCATACACATTAGTGCACGTGTACACATGTATGTACGTAATCCCTTGCTACAAACCCGGCTTCTGTCTCCAGTAAACAAGGCTATATCGAGTTCCTTTCTTTCTGTGTTTGCTCCTATCTGTCTGGATGATGGAAATGTATTTTTAAGGGTAGAGGAGTGCCAGAAGAGCTGAGATGAGAGACTAAATCCGCGCCTGTTACTAGGAAACCAGTTGGGCAGTGCTCTTCATGTCGCACCCAAGGCATGGATGTAACCTCTGCTTGTTTACTTGCAGGCGCTCGTGTTAATGCCAAAGACAATATGTGGCTGACTCCTCTCCATCGAGCAGTTGCTTCAAGGAGCGAAGTGAGTACGATTTGATTTCTCTGCTTTTGAACATAAACTCTGTGCTGGGGGGAAAAAGCAAACCATTGAAAGCTGCAGCAGGCGGCACTGTGACAAACGGGTGAGCATTTGCTGTGTGCAGGGCCTGTAGCATTGCAGCCAGCGGCCTGCTTTTACCAGCTAATTACAGCTGCTGTTGAGCCTTGGTGTGGCTGACTTTTCCCTTTGCGTAACTGGAGCGGGTTGCACTGAGCCGCTGGCAGCTGGAGGGAGAGATGCTGGCTGAAGTGAGGTAGTGTCACCAGTGTGCAGGGCCATCATCGTCAGGCGGTGAAACGAGGAGGAATCAACCCATACAGACGTGTGCACACTGCGTGTATGCCAGGAGGGAGTGGATGTGTGTGAGATCCAAACTGCACTGCTTGTTTTGGTTAATTGCATTTCAAGGCATCCTTCGGCTTTTCTGTTAATCCGCTTTGATTGGTGCACAAAGGAAGGTTAGCCCTTATTTCTTCTGCTAAACAGCTAGAAATCTTCTGGCATCACGTTGTGCTTTTTCCACTACTGTCTCAAAAAGGAGCAGCAGTAAGTACCAGGGATGACTGTGCCATTATTTTGGCTTTCTGTTTTGGACTCCTTGTGCTCTCCCTAATACTCAGCTAAGGGTGAGCCCAATTCAGGCTGAGTTGGCTTCTGGGTGCAAGGGGAGGGGTTATTGGACAGACAGAGTGTGGCTGCCTTCCAGGGACTGGCGGAACTTGAGTCACCTTCGTAACAGTCCCAGTGCCTGCCAGGCCCGCAGGCAGGAATGCTGGGCCTGCTCCTGAACTCGGGCATTGTTTGGCTACTGGCTGAGCTTCCAGCTGCTGGCAGCTGCCAGAACCCTCTGAAAGGAATATCTGATAGGATATGAGTGCTGTAATGAGGCAAAATACAAAAAGCCGTGTTGAGAAACAAAGGTCAGACTTTTAACCTTGAAAATAAGCCGCACTCTTTCTGGTGCAGGAATTGCAGCGTGCTTGGTTTCTTTTTTGGATGCTTTGAGTACAGGATTTTTATTTCCAGTCACAGTCCTAACTGAAAATGCATGTCTTCTTGGGGGTTTGTGCCTGCTCTTTAACTCTTCAGCTGCTGAAAGCTGGTTTTGCAATGAGAAACTCTTCCCTTGTGCCTGCAGTTCTGGTACCCAAAGGAAATACCCAGAGAGGCAGCAGGAGAAGGTGTGTGGTGTGGGAAAGCAGAGACATCTCACTGATAACATGGCCTAGCTGGAAATGCTGGACACAAAGGCTTTATATAAACGTTGCAGATAAAGAAGTCAATCTAAACATTATTAGCTTAGACTTTTCAGTCTTTACCATTTACTTTTTGGAATTCTCCCTTAACTTTTCCCTTCTTTCATTGAAAGTCAAATGACATGAATATTCCTGCTGACTTCGTATCCCAGCTGGGTAGGTCCCCAGTGTATTGCATGTAAATAGCTTTTGAAACAGCAGAGCTGTAATTAAAAAAAAGAAAAAAAAAAAAAAGGAGAAAAGAAAATTCTGTTGAGACATCAACAGTGTATCATTCTTGGTGCCTGGAGAGATGCTGTCTACTAACTGAACCAATCTGTTAGATGTCAGTTTGTGGGATGGCTATAGAAAATGAAATTGCTGAAATTAGTGGAGACCAGAGAACAAAAACTGCTCTAATAGATGTATTCTTGATGCATACTGCAGGCGCTCTCCTGGGCCTTTCTAGATACAAAGGGGCTATTTAAACATACACACGATGAATTTGTTATTCATTAATAAATCTCTGGCTGGACTTAGCAGAAAACTTTTCAGTTTATGGAAAAAGAATTGAAAGAACATGTAGTGCTGGTCTCTCCTGCTTCCAGCTGTGAGTTGTAACTAGCAGGCAAGGCTACTTGAATGCTACTGTCCCCCTGTGACTCTTCTGTATTTTGTTTCTGAGGAAAAATAGAAGAGGAAACAATGTAATATAGACAGAGCTATTTTTTAATCCAACTTGCTTAATGGCAGATGCGTGAGGAGGAGCAGAAAAGAGCTGATGGTAAACTAATGAGACAATCTCTTGACAGAGAATAGTACATTTTGTCACTGGGAAATACTCACTCTTAACCCCTTGGGGAGGGATGGAACACTAATGGCAACTGGGGACACCAGTGCAAACTCTTGCATGTGGTTCTCATGGTTTTTTTTTGTTTGTTTGTTTTTTTTTTTTTTTTTTTTTTTTTTTTTTTTTTTTGTTGAAAACTAAAATTTTGTTTTTATATCTTTTGTTGTTGTTGTTGTTTTTTCCTTTGTCCTGTTATAAATAAAAGAACAGTTTGCTATGATTTCATGGTCCAAACTGATACATAAATATCAGTTTGAAGTAACTGATGCAAGTGCAAGCTCAGATCTATCCATTCATTTTGTCAATTGAAGCACAGTTCTGGTGATTCGGGTCTCAAAGGTTAATTGGCCAAACAGGTTGGGCTATCTGCATGGACAATTTTGTATATCCTAAAATCAAATTGGAAAATTGTGGCCGTGGACATTGCTTTAAATGACAGCAGAAGTGATGTGTGCTCTGGCATTTGAATCAACAGTACCATGTCAGTAACCATGGCTATTGCTTGGATGAGTGTTGCTCTCTCTGTGTCCTCCTGGGCTTGCCTGAGATGCATAACTAAAATGCATAGGTAACACCATTGGGCTGTCAACTGCATGTTTATTGGAACTGCTTGTTTACAGCTGTAACTGTTGCTGTTGTAGGAAGCGGTGCAAGTACTGATCAAGCACTCAGCTGATGTCAATGCTCGGGACAAAAACTGGCAGACCCCGTTGCACGTGGCAGCCGCAAACAAGGCAGTCAAGTGTGCAGAAGTTATCATTCCCATGCTGAGCAGCGTCAATGTCTCTGACCGAGGCGGGAGGACAGCATTGCATCATGCAGCTCTGAATGGCCACATTGAGGTGAATTGTTTAATAGCATAATTGATCTTTCATTATCTATTCTTTTTTTTTTTTTTTTTTTTTTTTTTTTCCTCTTTCAAACAGTTGGCTTGCATGTCTGGGTGTAGACTAAGCCATATATCACTGACCCCCGTGGTTGCTGCTTTCCAACCTGTATGCCAGATTTTCTGCCTGCAGAAGTGAGAGTGACAAGAAACTGCCTGTGCAGATCTGGCACACTAGTGTAATGTACATGCAGACTTGGGGGGCTGACTGTGCACCTGGCTCTGGCAATTCAAATGTGTCCTGGCTATTTAGTGCTCAACTGCCTGAGAAAGTAAGAGGTGGAATGGAAAGACAGGAAAACTGGTGGATTCATTTCATACCAAAGTAATGTTCAGATGTGTGAGATCTAGTCTGCTTTTCCAATTGTTTTCTAGAGAATGTCTTTCTGGTTTTGAGATTGTATGTGCTGCTTCTGCTTACCTAATACGAGTAAGCTCTTCTAATTACTGGTTCTATATGAAAAACATAGTTTGGTAAATAAAGCCCCTGCGTAAAGAGTTTTGTTAGGTGTTAGGCATGGTTGAAAGGATTCTTGTTGCTTGTTCCACACTCAAAGATCTAGATAAGGAATAGAAAGTCTTTAACTAGAACAGCAGAATTCTGTCAAAGGAAGTTGATCAATTATGCTGTAATTAACAGGGCAGGGGAATGTAATTCCTGTAAAACAGTGATGGTATTTGGCCTTTAAACTACTGCACTGTTGGAAAAAAATAGTGAGGCTTGTGAGCTCTGTATCTAACTATCATGATATTAAAGTCCTGAACTTTCAGGTAGAGTGTATTAGAAGTGGTAATGGAAGTGTGTTGTTATTAGCTGATCTCTGTACTGTGGCAAAGCAGCTTACTAGTGGAAGGCAATTATGCATCTGTGCAATTTGTGATGTTAGAATGTTTTGTTGGGGAAGAAAGTTGTTTAATGTGTTTTTTCTTTTGTTTTTGTTTTGCCTGATTTTGCTTATTTCTAATATTGCATGACTGGTAATAGAGAAAGCAGCTTTTCAGCTCTTAGCCATACTGCAATCACATACAGAACAGCCTGATTTTATGATCACAATTTTATCCCTAGAATGTATTTTTACAAAGTATTGAGTGTCTGATCTACAGGGTTTGTTTGCTTGCTGTTGTTGCTTCTAGATGGTGAACTTGCTCTTAGCCAAGGGTGCAAACATCAATGCTTTTGACAAAAAGGACAGAAGAGCTCTTCACTGGGCTGCATACATGGGTAAGGCTCAACTTGTTTGAATTTCCTGTTGACGAACTAACAGTATGTTTTATGGAAGACAAGATGCGGACCTGTCCATGGAAAATGAGAATGGTATTTATGCTGTGCAGGGAAAGGGTTGTCTGATCTAAATACAGTGTCTTTTCACACTTTTGCAACTGGTGAGAACATTGCTGTGATTTTAATGCAATTAATGTGGGCTTTTAATGTTGCTTTTTTTATTTTGGTCTTTCTATCCTGATCCTAATTCCAGGTATACTCCCAACTGAAGTATATTCAAACTTGAAAAAATACAGGTTGAATTTCTATCTATTTTTGCAAAAAAAAACCATTATAAAATACAGATAAATGTGATAATGATTTTTGCTTCTTATTTACATTCATAAGTAGACAAGTCATGGTATTATTAGAAAGTTCTTCTCTTATGTTAGAAGCAAATTGTCATCTTTTATTTCAGAGCAGAGAAGATCAACTAATTCATGTAACATAAATGTTACTAAATGCTGCTTAAATAAATCAGACTGTATTATTATTTTCAAGTTATAGTAAATTTTGTTATTGCAGGGGATTGTTGGGATTGTTTTGTATTTAAAAATGCCAGGACAAGAAATGGTAGCAGTCACTCTTGTTCAATCGCTGTGGTGTCAGGAAAGCAGTGTATTCAGGCTATAATTAATGAGACATTGTGTGCCCTCTGTCAGGCTTTTCACCTGACCTATCAAATTCTCAATCTTAGCCCTGGCATCTTTGGAAATGAGATAATAAGAGATTTCAGAATGTGAGAAAAGCATATTGTGATGTCTTGATAGGCACAGACAGATGGAAGGCTGCTTGCCAGCAGGCATGATTTGGCTTTTGAGCTAGTGAGCTTTGAAGACCACTCTGAAGTAGTGAAAGGCTTTTCTGTTGTGCTATGTAATTCCACGTATGTTTGGGCAATTGAGATGTTGTCAGTAAAGACCAAAGCTGTCTGTCACGAAAGTGCTGAGCAGCCCAGGTGGCACACATCTTCCTATGATGCTTGCTCTCTTTCAGTCTCTTTAACCTAACAAAATTCTAAGAATTCAGCAAGGAGCAATAATGACTGTTCCTCAGTTCCTTGAGTTAATTTTGGTGGCTAGGGCACTGTCTGGGATGGCAGGACATATACTTTGAAACCTGCAGAAGGAGGAGGAAACTAAAGATAGGTGGGCTATAAGTTGCATTTTGAGATGCTTGGCTTTTCTTATGTATTTTACGGGAGACCTTAATCCAGAGGGAGGGTATTTCACTCCTGAAGACATATGTCCCATGGGTCTGGCAGTAAGCTTTAAGTCTGTGTCACTTTTGAGGCTGTTGCAGTTATTTTAGTTTGCGGACTAAATATGTATTTATACACCACAAGTTCAAATTCAAACATTTGTAGACCTTTATTGAGGATTTTTTGCTAGATTTTTGCTAGATAAACGTAATCTGAAGATCAGCAGTCAGTAGAAAATCTTAAGATGGTACTGGTAGACTTTGCACTCAATAAGTATTCATGTCCTCAGTGCTCCTGGAAAAGAGGGAACCTTTATTTTGAAATTTGTTATACACATTAAATATTGTCAACAAAAAAAAGGAGCATTAGCAGTCGGGTCTACAAATAACATCATCAGGATGCTGTTTTGGAAGTCTTATTGTCTTGCTCCTGTGCTCACTGATCTTTCTTTAAAAGGGAGGAATAAAACAGGGCTGTTATTTTTAATGAGGAGTAATGTGGGAAAGAGATGTGCTTTTGTTCTTTTAATGACTGGAAAACTAGCTCAGTAAAAAGAAATTTGACCCACCTGATGGAGAGGAATACGTATTGCATGGATTTCTTGGCAAGGCCTAGAGCTAGGATTAAGAGCATTTATGAAAACCCTTTTCCTTTTCCCCTTGTAAAACTGGGAGACACTAAAATGCTAGTGAGAGGGCCAGCATGTTAGCATGAGAGTAGTACTCTGTGAAAAGCGATACTGGTATACCTGCTGACTACTTTCTCTCATCTTCTGAAGGTCACCTGGAAGTTGTTGCCTTACTGATTAATCATGGTGCAGAGGTGACTTGTAAAGACAAGAAGGGTTACACCCCGCTTCATGCAGCTGCATCCAATGGGCAGATTAACATTGTGAAACACCTCCTTAACCTGGGAGTAGAGGTACGTGTTTCTCTGTATTCAAAGATAATATTTTTCTCTTATGGATGCTGCTACATCAGTGAAGCTTCTAAAGAAAGTAGTTCCTGTTTTCTGGACTGTGAAAAGCACCTTATACTTTGTGTAGATTATTGGTTTAAGAGCCAGGAAACATTCTGGAATGAAAGTGTCTGATATGGACACTAAATTCCAGGTCACCTTGCTGGGGGATTAGGGAAATATATGCTGTTTTTGTAGAGAATGGTGGAATAATGAAGTCTCCCTTGGCCTGGCATTCCTTTCGGTATGGTGAGAGGAGATTCAGAGTACATAGATGGAATACTTTACTACATTTCAGCCTGTTTACATTTCAGGTTGTGTATTTCCTGTGTTAGCTAGTGGAAGGAAGGGGAAGAATTATTTTCACTTGGGAAAAGATGTTTATTTCAGGGTACAGACTTCTCCTAGACTAATATTGTCAACTCAGTGGTCCAAAGCAGCAGTGAAATGACCAGAAGAATCTGTGCTGGTTGTCGATCAAATATACTAAATCAATTCATTGTATTTGCTAGCTGTGTAGCCAGCTGTCGTGACCTGCCAAAAAATTGTCAGAAGTCTGTGTCAAATGTGAATAGGTGTTTTCCATTATTAGCAGTACCAGTGACATTAGTGATAGTGACATTGAAGTTTCACATTCTCCACAGAGATAGGATCTTCGAGATCTTTTTTGTAGAAGTGTACTCACAACATGCCCAAGTGTTCTGTGCAACCTGCCTCACCCTGCTTTACAGAACAGCAGTTGAATTCTAAGCCAACGATCAAGAAGTAATGTAATCTTAATTACATCTTCATAATACTGAACTGCTGAAAGTGGTTTCTTTATTGAAATGTGAATGGCTGCGCAGTTTCTCCATCCATTCCCTAAGACACTTGCCCAACCTAAAAGGAATCTGTGGAAAGAGATCGGAAGCCTGATTCTACTCACAAAAACTCAATAGAGTGTATTGTTATTATTATTATTATTATTTTAAAGACTAAGCTTTTTATTTATCTTACTTTCCCATTTTTATATTAAAAAGCTTCTAACTTATTAGGATTTTTATCATCATCATTACATAGTCCTGCTATCAGCTTTAAGCTTTAGAGTGGCTTTTAGAAATTGCCAGTAGGATAAGAAGTTAATGATAATGAAGGTAAAGCATTCCGACTTAAGCTCTCTGGGAGTATTTCTTTTTTTGTCAGTGAAATTTGCTGGTGAGAAATATGCCCTATGACAGTTCAAGCCTCTAGCTATTTCCATTTGCAGTACGTGATGCAATATGTAAAATGATAAGCTGATGTGTCTCCTTGTCTCGTTTTAGATTGATGAAATGAACATCTATGGAAATACTGCGCTTCATATTGCCTGTTACAATGGTCAGGATTCTGTTGTTAATGAGCTGATTGACTATGGTGCTAATGTAAATCAGCCCAATAATAATGGATTCACTCCCTTGCATTTTGCTGCTGCCTCCACTCATGGAGCACTGTGTCTTGAACTGCTAGTGAATAATGGGGCAGATGTTAACATTCAGGTAAAACTGGCATTTTACCTCTTCAATTTTACTTTATCCTATTTTGCATACCTTTAGAGTCTGGAAACTGCAGCAATGAGTACAGCAAGTCTTTAAGTTCTTAATAGAATTAGAGTGATGCTGAGAATGCCAATCATTAAACCATTTGTATGAGATTAACTTCTAGCAGAGGAGCATTCAGTGCCTTTATAAATGTAATAGCAGCCTTAAACTCTAGGCAAGCCACTCTACTGAAACCACAGCTAAAGTTTAGTCTCAGGAGCTCCGTCAAAATGTTGACTTGGGCAATGGTAATAAGTCAAGGAAATGTTTCTTTCTGGTGTTTTCCTTCCTCCTGCAATATGGATTTAATTAAATCTGATTCTAACCAAGTTTCTTTAGACTTTCCTGGGTAAATAAAACCTCAAGGTTATTTGTTTACACATTTTAAAACCTGGTTTTACAAAGCCTGATTCTGTTTTGGTTATCTGGATGCTTCTTGAAAGGTACATGGGTACATATACCTTGATGAACCTGAAATGGACTTGCTAGAAGACAAGATCTCTAAGTTCAAATAAGACTTTGGCTACTTTACTTTAAATTGTGCATGTTCCAGTTTCTCATCTGTAAAAGTGGTCTCCTAGCATGTAGTAATTGTGGCTGGTCCCTTGAGATCAGCGGACAGTCAGTGTACTATTTAAACTCAGCATTATTGAGGTGAAATTAGATATTGTGCTTGCCAGTGCGTGCAAAACTCAATGCCAACAAAAATGAAATGATGTGAGTAGTGAGGCAACTGTCACTTGCTATTTTCTCAGCTCCTCAGCTTTCCCAAACTCAGTTTCGGTCTCTAGATCCAAAACATTGATCTCAGCCCATTGTAGCTTTCCTTGTATACTCACTTCTTATTTTCTGTTTGTCTTCTGTAGACATCTTGTTTTTGATTAAGTTGACAGAACTTCTGTTCTAGGATATATCTACAAAATTGCAGATTGAAACATCAGTTATATTCCTTGCATTTCTGTGACTGCTCCTCCTTAGCTTTGTGGTTCATTTTTAAGAAATTCTTCTTGCTGCAAAGAGTAAGGAAGAAAAAATGACTAAATGGGAGATGGCATGGTCACATTTAAGAGTGATACGTTATGCACTTGGAAGTTTCTACCTAACATTGCGTATGGCCAGGCTCTGAGGATAGGCTGTAGCTCAGATCATTTCCTGACCACTGCTGAGGAGCTGCTTTGTGTGTATGTTTGTACCTCTTGCATTTATTATGACATGCAGATTCAGGCCTGTAGTCTTTAGAAGCCATTGGAGCTTTTATGTGAAGAATAGCTGTAGGATGTTGAACTGAGAGACTTCAAGTTGTTACCTCTTCTTTTCATGCTAGATGATTGTTTTTACATTTTGTTTGTTAGAGTAAGGATGGGAAGAGCCCACTGCACATGACAGCTGTCCATGGGAGGTTCACACGGTCACAGACCCTCATTCAGAATGGTGAGTTTCAATGTCTGTTCAATAACTCTCCCAAAGAGTAGGCATTTCTTGGGTTGGAATTTTTGGTTTTCTGACCCAGAATGCCAAAGAACTTCTCTGAATGGTGTTCAGCTCTGCATCAAATTCTGAGTATGAGCTGCGTTTACAGGTCTCCTTTTACAGTGTCACCATAAGTGGCAACTCTTAGTTCTAGACAAAATTCAGTCTTCCTCTAGCTGACGATGAAACGACTGATCTTTTGTGATCAGCAGTTTTGTCAACCTGCTAATAAGAGTTAAGAGCTCTGTTTAGGATATTTCATATGATGAGAGGAAGGCATAGCTAGCTTTCTCAAATGATTAAAGGAGTAAAAAGTTCTGGTTATCCTCCCTTGAGAGCTGTGGTGCTTTTAGAGCCCACGCTGTTTTCTCTATGCCACCACTCAACAGCTGTACTTGTCTTACCTCCCTTACCTGCACATCTTATCACTGTCTTCACTAAGTGCTGAATAAATACACTGCAGGGTGGACCAGCACCGCTTTGTTTATTTTGGCATAGCCATGAGTAGATTCCAGAGCTTGTAATTACCTGTCACACTCATTAAATATCTCTTTTGCCCAAAAATACTAGAGCATATAGCAAATATTATTGTTGGAGATCTGACAGAGGCCTGCCTTCTGACTAACAGAGGCTGCTAATACCGATTGTTTGCTTGTATTTGTTTTGGTCATTATACTGGACAAGACAGTCTGTTTTCTTTTATTTGTTTCTGTTTTCCTCTTTCTTTGTTTAACTACAATCCCAAAGTTGGAATCTCATCTAACTGCAGTATCTCTGTTCCAGCATTTTGCTAGCCTTTATTTACCATCAGAAAATTCCTCATAGCATTTCACTAGAACTTTTCTTGCTGTAGTTATGGCCTGTTATCTCATTTGCGTAGTGGAAATGCAGTAAATATTACCATATCCTCATTTTGGCAAGACTTTTACCTAATTTCACAAGGTATTCTCACAGAAAACTAATGAAATATGGTCTAAATGGAAATATTATTGTGTAGGTGCATAACAGCTAGAAAAACTACACTCGGACATTAGTAATAATAAATGGATCACTGTTGACATAGAAGGTATAATGAGATCTTTCAGCTTCCCTCCTGGGTCTGGTATACTATCCAGTATTTTTGTTAACAGCTTGGATGATGGAATATGAAGTGTGCTTTTAATATTCAGAGAAAACATGAAGTTAGGAGAGACTGTTTTTCTGGCAGAAGCTGGAGTTGAAAATGAGCGCTTAAAATTGGGGAAAAGTTGTGATGAAAGTAATGCAAAGGAGAGATACAACACAGGCAGGGATATCAGTTAAATAAATACAGAATGGCAAAAGCTGAGTGGGTGACATTTCCTCAAGAAAGGATTTGGTGTTTGCAGAGGATCGGAAACCAAATGCGCATCAACAATGCCGTGGTGTTGCCAAGAAGAAAAGTAGAGGAAAAAAGCATAATGGTACAGGAGTGTGTAGATAGGAGCATAGCCAGCAGGCATGAAGTAATCCTTTTGCTCAGCATTAGTAGACATCAGCTGTAGTACTGTTTCTGGCTTTTGACATTTTCCTTTCAGAAGGATGTGGGCCAGCTGGAGAGAACTGGAGGAAGGACAAGGATGGTTGAATTACAGCAAACCTAATTTACAAAGAGAGACTGAAAGAGCAAAAGTTGCTCGATCCAAAAATGAAAGCAGGGACTTGATAGCAATCTTTGCATGCATCAAAAGCTGTAGCAGAGAAGAAAGAAACAATCAGTTTTTCCTGTTTGAGGATAAAACATGAGATGACAGGCATAAACTGCAACAGGAAAAGGTCTACGTAAGCACTGTGTAGCAGTTTCTAATGATTAAATGTTAGTCATATGTCATCGTTCTCACTGCCTGTTCCCCACCATGCTTCCCCACTGAAGCTGGACAAGGAGTTGAGAGCACTGCTGTTGAACCATGGTCGGTACCATGGCTGACAGCTGATGGCTCACTGTGTACCGATCTCATTCTTTGAAATTCAGTGGCTTGATTTTGCTGCATTCACTGGGGAGAAATAGCATTTGTAGGCACAGGTGCAGACTTAATCTTTTGGTATTAAACTGTCTGAAAATATTTTTTGCAGGAGGAGAAATCGACTGTGTTGATAAGGATGGTAACACCCCATTGCATGTGGCTGCAAGATATGGACACGAGCTATTGATTAACACCCTCATAACCAGCGGAGCTGATACTGCCAAGTAGGTGGCTGCAGTGGAGCTTCCAATGATCTAATGCTATATCTGGTGTTGGGAAACATAGGTATTGCTCAGCTTCTGAGGTGAAGATGGATAAATGCATTAGCTCTACACTTCACTAAAATATTAAATGATTAGGCAGGTGGAAAGAAAGAAACCATGCTAAGCTCTTTGCGCAGTTATATGGTTGCAAGTAGTACCAGCACTGCCTATTTTTCTGAAGGGTTATCAATACAGGGTGTATATAAAAGTGCATCTTGATCACAGTTAGTCCATAAAGTCCCTAGCAAAAACTTTGTCTAAGAAACATAATTGGAAAAATTTCAAATACTTTCCAAGGGAATTATGTCCATGTTCCATAGCATTTAAATTGGTGTTATAATGGCATGTTACATGCAGTGACAGTTCTGTTATCTTGTGTCTTTTGATGAGACAAAGGATAATCAATAGAATTGCAGTACTACAAAGCAGATGTTACTAAGCCTGAGCTCAGTATAAATTTAGATCCTGTGTTGATTTTGGTAGCCACATGACTGAAATAGTAGCACAGGGTTTTTTTTCTGATTCGTGATTTTAGGGCTTTTTTTAATGAATAATGGGACAAGAAGTTGATAATCGGACACAGATTGCTAAATATTGCTAGTCTAATGGCCTGTCAAAAGAAAACAGCAAACCTGGAATAACAAAGTAGTGTAAGAATAAGAAAAGAGTAATGCTATGCCATGAGATACCTATGCTGGATGTTTGCAGTGGCATCTGATTACATAAATATAATTTTTCAGCTACCAGCTGTGTATTTCCACAATAAAATTTAAGTTTTCGATCTCTAAAGCACTGCAGAAGTCAGTGACCTCTCTTGACTTACCTAGAAAAACCTGTTTGCAGATTTAAATTAGCTTGTTTTAGTTTTGAAAGTTCTTGCAGCTCTCTCTGATTGATGTTTGAGGATGTTTAAGAAAGAGATATGTTTGCCCATATTTCTGCATAAAGTATGGCTGTCTCTGTTTAAACTCGGAAGGTGGGACAGATCTTCAATGGGCACAGATAATAAAATTCTGTAGTTTCCAGTTAATGCCATATTAACATAGCCAATACAAAGATCTTAGTGTCTAAATCAGGGTATACTTTTGCTAGCTTTTTCTCTGGTACAGTAAACTTCAATCTGCCTCTTTTCTTGAGGTTTGATGTAAAATGAGCTGCAGTGGAGTAGCACGCTCTTGGACTTAAGGTTATCCAACTCAAAATTTCTGTATTCCACTCAAGTGCCTGGAACACTGATAAAATGAATTGCTTCTTCCAGCAACAAAAATGAGTGAAATAAGAATTTGTCTCAGAAATCCCTGGCAGGTCCAAGTGATGCTCAGCCAGGAGCACTGAAACACTAGGAGTGAGCTTTTGTATGCACTGAATGTAAATAGCTCTAGCTGAGCTCCCCAAACTGGGTTTGAAAAAGAAAACTTCAGAACATTGCTAGCAACAACAGCATACAGCTCAGTCAATCTTTGAGGCAGTTGTGTTTTAAGGAGAAGGTATGTAAGAGGTGGGAGGAACCACTGTGAACAGTGCTGTTGAAGCATGGCTGGTTAGCAGATGTGCAGATGGTGTATTTTGATGGAAACCAGCCAAAACACGTGCTGGGTGGAAATCTTGACCTAAAAGATGAAAAATATTGCTTGAGATAAAACTGCGTGGAGGAGGAGATGGAGGGAAATGGGTGTAGGAAGAAATATGGCAAGACAGAGTGTCCAGTGTTGGCTTAAATAAATGACTCCACAGTTAAAAAAGAATTGCAACCTGTTTATACAGATGCATCAGCTCAGTGGAGCTTGTGCTGTTTCCTTTAAAAGAACAGACTGCCAGATCGTTTTTAAAGAGATTGACTCTAAAATGTAGATGGTGAACACTGGCAAAATTAAAATGTGTGTAGCGCCCCTTTTTGCTTCTTAGTGTAGAAAAGCACCAAGGAGGACAAATTTAATGTGAAGACAGAGGAAGGATGGAACTGTGGCTTCTGAAAAGAATGATGTTTTTAAAAATAAATCAGTATTGGTTAAATACGTATGTGTAAAACATTGGTGAGAACGAGACAGCTTTATTAACATTCACGCTTCTTTGTTTAAAGTATCATTAGTAATTATGATTTATGGTGAGCCTTACAGGAAAAAAGGTTAGTTTGTCTTTTGTCCATATCTAAAATCTTCCGTGAGGTGATGGTGCTTTCCATCCGCCAACTGTATTCTCAGTAGGAATCCATCTGCTGCTGTTCAAGTGTTTGTCATGTTCCAAAAATGTATCTGCTGAAGCAGGCACTAGATTATAATCTTGGTGAGATGGTTGGTTTAAGGTTCCGTGTTTGTATGCAGTTGGAGGACTGCCTGCAATAGCATTTCTAGAATAACTGTATACTTTGCACAAAACACGGCGCTAAGTGGCAGAAGCCAAGATGTCTAAGCTAAGAAATCTTCTAAGATGGTGAATAGTGGCATGTTCAGGGGCTGAGCTGGGATGATTCGTGGGTGCCAGTAACAGCTGCTGAGTGCTCAGCTTGTTGAAAAATGAATGTGACTGCCTGATACAGATTTAGCTTAATGATAGGTGTCTGCTTTTTTGTTTTGCTTTGGTTTTCTTTGTTTGACCCAATATGTCTGCTCTGAGGAGTTCATAGTGTAATTGAAAGGAGGGTCATGTATGCAAAGGGAAGGGAGAGTGAAAGAATGTGTAGGGACAGTAGCTGGAGCAAACAGGGTTAGATGATGAGTTGTTTGGGTGTGGGAGGAAAACCTAAGTGTCACAGCGCTCGAAAGGAAAGCATGAAGAGAAGTCATCTGGTGCTCCAGCCCTGTGGTGAGGGAAGAAAAGGAAGCTTTTGAAAACCCAAGTGAGAGTTATGTAAAGCCAGATAACAACTGTACAAATGGGTTCCAGAAATAATGCAGAGAAGCTTTTGGTATTTACTTTTACCCTCAGCGTGCCATTGCAATATACATAGCTGATGAACAAATTTATGTATCCCCCACTGGGAGATTGACTCTGCTCCCTCGCTATCCCCCTTACAGAAGCTTTCATTTCACATTTTTAGAAACCTTCCTCCTGCATTCTGTTCAAAGCATAGTGCCAAGATTTTTCTGTATAGAATTAATTTTAACTCCTGAGCGGGATAGTAAGGAAACAGAGATAAAAATCAGCAAGGCAGGATCAAAAATGCGGCCTCTTTGGAAGGACCTTTTCACGTGCAGTGTTTGTATGCCACCTGTATTTTTACAAGACCCTATCTCATGAGGCTGTTGTGCCTTTCAGGTGTGGGATCCACAACATGTTTCCTCTGCACCTTGCAGCATTGAATGCACACTCAGATTGCTGTAGGAAATTGTTGTCCTCGGGTAAGTAACTGTAGCAGCGTTGGTGGAGCTCAATAATGTATCTGTGCAGCTTACAGCCCCTCTATGCTCTTTGTTGTGAACTGTTGAAATGAAAGACTTCCTGTGCTGCTGCCTGGTGTGGTGTACGGCGTGCACAGGGTTTTCCTAATGACATGCTGGTAATTCTTTGCATCCTGGATTGTTCATGCACAAAGCCCTTTTTTCCTGGCAGACACAGAGTTTTTATACCGGGGAGAAGGAGAAAACTTGGGAGCCTTTTCTAAATTATAGGAGTATGAGTGTCAGTTTTGTTGTTTTCATTTTGTTCACAATGAAATGCCTCAAGAAATTACCTCCTTGTGCAAGTGCAGGCTTCAAGTTTTGGCATCTTACTGATAATGGTGTATCTTAGTTACAGCTAAAGTGTGTTTCACAGTCTGATCAGAGTATAGGAGTGAGGCTGGCCAGAATTCGATGTGCACAAGAGGGGAAGCTTAGTGAAGGTGCCATGTCTGAAGAACAGTCCTGGGTTCTTCATCAGAGCCCAATGCAAAAACAGCAGGAGTTTGCTGACCCAACTGTATTAAAAGGGGCAGTTATCAGAGGCCAAATCTCTTTTTTTTCCAGGCAAGAGTTCATCTGTGTTAAAAATAAATAAATAGATAGATAAAACAAAAACCCATCTAAAAACAGGGCAGATCATTTTCTTTCCTAAAAAAAAAAAAGTTTCATTGCTTATTGTACAAAATGTCCTACAGCTACTTTTTTTTTTCCCCATAAGTATGAGTCCTGTAGAGTGTAAAGAAGATGTGAAAAATACTAATTATATACCCTTTACTGGTATACTTTGACCTTGACCACCAGATCAGGAAGGAGAACAAAACCTCTGGGTGACCACAGTTACCACTGCCATGCTTTATCTTGGGCCTTGTGCATCTTTATGACTATCCCTGCATGCTCCTGGAAGCCTCCTTCCAAAAACTAAAGCCGGTCTGAAAACCACACACACTAGAATTGGCCCTGTTTCGTGTTCAGGCTGACTCTGTGGTTTTTCTTCTTTCTTCATGTTTTCTGTCTTCATGTCCTGCTGTCGCAGTTCTCTCAACTATCTGCCTCCTGCCTGCCACATGCTTTTCAGTAGGGATGTGGTGCAGAGCTGGATGCGGAACTAAATTCTCGTTGACTTTGCAGCTCTTTTTATAGAGCTGCCAAAGTGGAGCAGTCGCTCGCCATTTCCGTGACAACCTTTTTCTGACTGTAGTTGCTTGTGTTCTGTTTTTTTTCTAACTAACTGATTTTTCTGTCTCTGCAATGTTTCTTGTGGTTTAACTAGGACAAAAGTATAGCATAGTGTCCTTGTTTAGTAATGAGCACGTGCTGTCTGCAGGCTTTGAAATAGACACCCCTGATAGTTTTGGAAGAACGTGCCTCCACGCTGCCGCTGCAGGAGGGTGAGTAATTGTGACTACAGAATATACACAGACCAGCTGTTACAAGTCATTTTGTAGTTCCATTGCAGATTTGGGGCATACCAATTCTGCTGTGCCAGCCAGAAATGTCAAATTTGGGTCATCTGGGATGGTATTTTGCCACTGTCCTCATGCTCATGTTGCTTGCTTGTAAAACAAAGAAAATGGTCTGATCTCCACAACAAACAACTGACTTGTGATTGAAGCGTGAGTTTCAGACACAGAGTGAAACTTCCTTCTCACGTCCCTGTGAAAACTGCTTCAGTTTGGGTAGGAGTGCTGTGTACTCACCCAGATCCGTGTATTGGCCATGGTTGTTGGTGAGGGCTGTCAGTCAGTAGGAAACTGTCAGCTCCTAAAGCAAAATGTGGAGTAAGGAGGAGGTGTGGCTCCTGAGATGCTGCTGGTGCAGTTGTTGCCAGCCTCCTCATCTGGGCTGCATTCTTGCCTGTAAACACAAGCATGCACTTACATTTGCTGCCTTGTACTTGATCATGCATCCTTGGAGTCCAAATGCAGCTCATCTCCCTCCCAATTCTCAGGTGCAAGTTTGAAAATGAAATTAAAAAGCCCCACCAAATTAGAAAGCTAAGATTGCTATCCTTTCAGGATGATGTATTTCTGCCCAGAGCCTGGGAATGAAAACAAATGAAAGCTGAAATGTATCAATTTATGTCGTAAATATAGCATCCAGTCAGTTATATATTTCCAAATTATTGTCAGTGGAGCACTGTGAAATAGCAAATGCACAAAACGTTTGGCAAACATTGAGTTTTGACTCTTCTGCTGAGTACTTTATGGCTCAGAAAACAGCTGAAATGGAGCCTTGGATAGAACCACCTTGGATTCTCTGTGATGATAGCAAGCAGAAATGGTCATCTGTAGTGCATACTTGGCAGTCTTTCTGGAAGTTGTTTTTCTTCCTGGTGTATTAAAAGGCATATATCACAAAATTGTCATTATTACAAACACCTAATGAAACAGATCCTAATGCTGGTTGTATTATTTTTATGGCATTATTCTTGTTGATACTTGTCTTCTGTTAATTAATGAAGGAGGTGTGAGCCTTGCTTTGATGGGGATTCTTATAGTACATTTCAGATACTACCCCTTTGATAAGGCTGCACCCAAAAGAATAATAAAAACCATCTGAAAGTCCAAAAGAGAGCGAAGGAGAAATTTCATAAGAAGCAAAAGTGGCTTATGAAAATAAGCTGTATATTTCCAGTGGCTTTACTACAATTGTCATCACTAACAAATGTTTCTATTTTTAGTGTGTTGTGATGAGTGTTTTGCAGTTATTTTATGGAATAGCAATTTTGAGTAGGGATGAACTTATGCCAACATTCTGCATCCAGTCTTTTTTTTTTTTTTCTTGGAGTTGGAACTATGCAAATAACATTGTTTTTTTTTTCCTTGCACATACCTGTTACTCCCATTACATTAATGGGAGTTGTATGGGCTTGAGGAAAAGGACATACTTTAAGGCTTGCTCATTTCATTTTGATTGTGAACAGAATGATTTATTGCCCCTGTTAATGACAAAGAAGTCTTGGAAAGTGCTATGCTTCTTTATGTTGTTTTCTAGCTTGGAGTCATACATTTACTCTCTTGAACTACAAAATAGATGAGTATTCAGCTATTATATTTTTGTATTAAAACTCACCTGGCTTTAAATGAGATGAAGTTAGGATGTGGTGAATTCTTTCAACAGATTAAAAAAGAGAAAAGCAATGGAGCCTAACTCATCTGCTTATATAAAAGCAATGTTAATGTGACAATCATTTTAGATAGTTAATGCTTCTTATTCAGCAAAGTACATAAAGGCATGCTTAAATCTATCAATTGCCAACAAATGATTTGAGAATAAACCTAAAAGTAACTCTGTATGGAATCTCACTGAAGTAAACAGGATTTTAGCACACCATTGCAGCTTTGCAAGAGGGGGTGGATTTCGTTAAATGTCACCTCTTCATTATTAGACTGGCATTTTATCAGCTAGCACCAACTTTAAAAGTCTTCTCATAAAATACCATTCCAGCGTGGGAAGCGTTAGAATGCAGCCCCCTTAGAAAATCTCCAGATGCAATGAATTCAAATCATATTTACTGCTTTCTCTTCAGAACATTAATTTTTCTTCTGCAGAAGTCTGAGGTTTTCTAGAAACAAAGGAAATAATTTCTGAAACTTCACTTTCTGTTTGCTGTGACTGGATTTCAGGTTGTAGTTATCCATATCCTGATTTTGCACTGCAAATAGTTTAAAAAAAAAAAAAAAAAAAGAACTTTTTCCTTTTGGAGGGAGGGAGGCAACCGAGATGTAAGCTTCTGCTTTGTTCATGCTTTGGTTTTCTTCTCTTTTCAGTAATGTTGAATGTATAAAACTCTTGCAAAGCAGTGGAGCAGATTTTAATAAGAAGGACAAACGTGGGAGGTATGTAAATACTGAAACTCACTTAAAAAAAAAAAAAAAGAAATCTAGCAGGCAAGGGTGAAAGACTGCCTCAGTCTGGATATCATGTGTTCCATGAACAATGGCAGTAAAATAAAGTAGGAGTTTGACATTCCCTGCAAAGCTGCTGCTACAGTTATATGCCAAGCAAACAGGTGCAGACTTCATTAAATACGTAAAAGCCATCCCATCCTCTTGAGCTTTCTGTTTTAAAAATACCACTGATTTTTTTTTTTCCTTATTGCTTTTCTTATTGCCTGAATTCTTGTGCTTATGTGCCCAAGTCAGCACCTGGGTTATGATGGGAAGGACTGCTGCTATTTGATGTGCTTCCTACCCTTTTACGGTTTTTTTTACTGTTTTCTCCTCCATATGAAGTGTTGTTAAGAGTGTTGCTATGCCAGAAATGGGTTTCAGTCTTTGATTGCTGCAGAATATCTGTCTGGTGTTTTGTTCTGTGTTTTTCAACAAGGCAGATGTTTTCCAAACCAGGTTCCCCAAAGCCTACTGGTGGAATTGGAAAGGGAGAAGAGCTGTAGCTGACTTAATAGCACTATTTGGTTTGGCACATTGTGTCTTGTGTGGCAGCAGGCTGTGCCATGACACACTGATAGATCTGCAGCCACAGTGGATATGGTATTATCTACCCTCAGCTGTAACAATGAGGCACATGCTTGGGTTTCCTGCTTCTTATGAAGCTGTAAACCATGGTGGATGTATGCACAGTTGCTTTAGATCAGTAAGGTGATTCACATTAAATGGCTGATGATAGTAGCTCTGTTTGAACTGAAGACACTGCAGAAATTCTCCTTAACTACTGCTGGGATGTCTGGTTCTTTGGAGGAAACACAGTAAAAGCCGCAGGTGCTTCAGAGGCCGATGAACTCTTTTGGAGGATTTATGGCTTTGTCATTATACTAGCATAAAGGAACTATGGTTGAAAGGGTCCAGCGTGGCTCAGGCACTGTGGGCAGTACTCCATGGTAGAGAGACAGCAGTGATTATCATTCACATCCTCTGAATATAGCTGGTAGAAGTGTGTCAGATATGTCAATAAAAATTACTGTGTTCTTCTGTGAAGCAGAGCTGTCCTTGATTTTTTGTTTGTTTTTTTCAACCTCCACCAAAATAAAAGTAGATTGTTTTAGGGGACAAAAGAATTTAAACTAGTTGAGCACTTTTGTGTAGCTGATAGAGCCTTTGCAAGTTTCAGCCCAGCTGGCAGTTGTCCTGATGATTCGAGCTCTCTCTGAGTAACATTTGGCCTTTGAAGTGAGTGTGCTGAGCTTCCCTGCACAATGGATCTCTTCTTGGGCTTTGGAATTCGTCAGCGATGGGATCCCCCACATCTCTGTCCACCTCTGGTGCTGCTGAGCCTGCCCACGCTGAGCTGATTTTGGAGCTGAATCCCAACTGTGGTTTCTTTGTCTGGAGTGCTGTTGCCTCTGTGGGCTGATGCTGAGCAGCTGGAGTGAGCAGAACCAAAGCAAGGAGCTGGGTTTGGCAGAGGTGCTGAAGCTCACATTGCCAGTGCTGCTGAGGGGTGCTGTACAGCAGGTAGATTATCAGGCTGCAGTGAAACCAAAGCTTTTAAAGCTTTGATCGTGTGTGCTCTTAATAAAGAAAAAAAAGTTCATGATATTACTATGCAAGTTAGGCTTAAAAAAGAAGTTTATATATGTGTTATTTTAAAAAAAGAAAGGCAACTGTAAGAGAGGGAATAACAAAGTCTCATTTACTCTGTTCAGTTGGTATGGCTCTGAAAGCTATAGCAGTTCCCACTAATCAAGGTGCTGTGAGGGCTGTCTGCTCTGCCCTGACTCCCAGCTGAAGCAATGTAGTGTGAATGCAGAGCAGTAGCAGAGGCTGTTGCTGGGAACAGTTTGCTTGCAAGATGCAGAATGTGTGCAGGTCTGTATGCTCTTAAGCTTGGTAGGAGTATCAAAACTTCCTAGTAAGACAGTAATTTGTTAAATTTGCATAACTTTGAATGTCATCACAGTAATGTAAGGTGCTGATTTTGACTGCTGGAAGTCTGTAGGAATGCAGCGGTAGTTAAGGTTTATTGTGATCCTTAACAGTGCGTGTTGGAATACAAGGTAACAAACTGTCCCTTTTGTTCTAGGACACCTTTGCACTACGCAGCTGCAAATTGTCATTTCCACTGTATTGAGACACTGGTGACCACAGGAGCCAATATTAATGAAACTGATGAGTGGGGACGCACCCCTTTGCACTATGCTGCTGCTTCTGACATGGACCGAAAGTAAGAGAGCCTGTTTGTATTCCTTGTTCAGTGTTTTTCCAAATCAAGCGTTCTATTCTCATTATGACTGTGCCATTTGAACCAAAAAAATGAGCCGGCTGGCACAGGATTTCTCTCAGGTGTATACATTAACTCCACACTGAACTGCTGTGCCTGTAATCTGGATCCTCAGGTGATGTGGCACCTCAGCCCTGCAGTTTACCTTTGAAGTAACACATGATTTTACAGCCCCTCTGTCCTAATGAACTGTTTTTGCTACATACTGTCTTTCTTCTTCTGTGTGGTTTCCTGACAAGGGAAAGCTCAGAGAGTTTTGTGTCTGCTTTCCAAGTCCATCAGAAGGAATGGAAAAAGAGACAGTAGAAGGAGTTTTCCCAGGTGGACTGCAGTGATAGTTGGCCATTCTGATAGACTTTCTGGCAAAAGCAAGATAGATCTACCCATCACTCTCTCCACTGTCAGAGCTAATAAAAACTCTTACCTTTTCCAAATAGGTTGCTTTCTAGAGACTAAAGAGAGAGGCCTGGGGAATATCCTTTGGCAGAATGCAGAACTGTTCTTCTGAGAAAAGTTTGGAAGGGGAAAACAGCTGCAAAACTTAAATATCTGGAGGTTACTGAATAGAGTTTCTGCATATTTTGGCAATCTTTTTTCTATAACATATTGCATGAAACAGCCTCAGTTATCCTGTTAGTTGTCTCTTAAAACTGATAGGGACTCTTCAGACTCTCAGGAACTATTTTCCTGGTTTCTTATATAGTGAGGTCTGGTTAAAAGGAGGGCACAAAAACCAAACTGAAACATAAAAAGTATGGCTTATTCCCAGCAGAATACCACCCCAAAAGCACTTTTGGAAGACTTTTCCCTAAGCTCGTAGCAAAGGTTTGGATACCATAGGTGTACATCAGTAGCTTCTTCACCATTTGCTTCATTTGCTGTGGTACTACTGGTATCAAAAATGTCTGCCCCGTCAATGTAAAACCAGAATGGTACTGGTAAGAAGGCATCAGGATGTTCAGAGGACTGTTCTTGGCGTTGCATGCTGAATAGGCTTGTATGAAGGCTTTCACCACTGGCTGTTTCTAATTAAAGCTTGCCAGGGTGTGATGTTCCCTGGGGTGTTGAGAATTGTGATTCAGTATGCATTTTCAGCTTTTGACTATTTATAGGTTATGCTCCTGCATGTAAACAATCTTTTGGCTAACTTTAGGGTACAGTTGCTTCCAATGATAACTTTAAAGTTAATAAATAAATAAATACAAATCTAGGTTTAGTCAGACTCTGAGCATTGGTAGGAATGTTTGGCCACCTTTGCCTTCAGAGTCTAAGCCTAAATTGATTCTGATGTTGTCTTCTCATTAAATTTTCCTGTTGGAGATGTTTTGGAAGAAGCCTTGTTAGATGAGATGTTATTTACAGTCCGTGATTTTGTAGGTCAGCATATTTATTTTTTTCTGCTGAACAATGGCAAACTCAAAGTTGGACAATCTTTGTCCAAAGGTTATTCAAAATCATTTAACTTTGAATGTGGGCAGTTAATGATCAGAGAGAAGTCTTTGTGCAACCAGGTTGTCCAGTGTTTCAGCTGATTTGGTAAGTGTTGTTGCTTATGGATTTCAGAAAATACTCCTTTCCTGCAGGGGAAACAACATGGGCATTTACATTAAATAGATTATTCAAGTTTATGAGGATGTATTGTTTTTCCTGATGATAGCTTACTCTGTTCAGGGAACATTATATTGGGATCTCACTAATTTATCGTTAGCAGAAAGTAAATGTGGGTATGGCTTTCACTTGCTATGTGAGCAGTTTGAAAATATGCTCAGTACAGTTACTTCCAATGGCTTTTTTGAGGTTGAGTGTCTTGCTTCAACATGGTACATGAGTACTGTCTATATGTTTACAATGTTAGGATTTTTTTAACTGATAAATAAGATTTCTTTTTGAGTTAGTGAACATCAAACAAAACAGACCTCAGATTTGTGGAGCAGCCTCTTACTGTAAGCATCCACAGAAAGAAAGTCAAATCTTGGAAATACATATGGGAAATGACCTGATAAGGAAAAGATGTATTATTCTGCATTGTGCAAAACTCAGTCTGGAATACATGTGTTATATAGGAATTGAATTTAGCAAACTGTCCTTCAGACCTTCCAAGGTACTGATCTGTAATGGTACTTAGCAATTGGGAAGCATGCATTCTGTGTTGGCCTTGGTGCCCAAGGAAAGTCATAATCCAAGGCTCATGCTCATAAGCTCACAGATCACAATCTTCTGGCTGCCATCCATCCAGCTGGGAAACAGAGATGCCAAAAATGATCCGGGTGTGCAGGAGTATGAAGACATGCTGAGCAATTTTGAAGAATCCAAAGAATCTGACCAGACATCTGGGAATCCGAGATATCTCACAGTGCTGCCAAGGCATTTCACAGAAAGTGAGAAGAGTCAGCAACACAGCTAAAGCTGATTAAAGATAGACTAATTCAGTATTAGTGACTAAACAGTACCTGATAGAACCAGAATTCTCTGGTGGCTTTTTTGTTTGACACTCACTTGGAAGATGATAAACTTCCATGCTGTTGTTGTCTGCGTTGTTTGCAAAATGTATTATCTGCAGATCCAGGTAGTACGCTCACTAAGCTTATGTAACTTTTTACTTTTGGAAGAGGTCAACTCCATGTGAAGGAGATTGGGGATGGGTAGCATACTGCATCAAAATCACTCATATTTTGAAAATAAGTTGCATTTTTCTGTCATTTGTGTCAAGAAGAAAGAATATTTTAGGTAACTCCCATGAAAATGCTGAAGAACTTGAAAGAACCAGTGAAATGAAGGAAAAAGAAGCTGCATTGTAAGTGGTGTCAGTAAAGAAGTTAAACTTCATTTCTGGAGAAAGCCATTGCTTTGCACTACAGCTTACATCCTGCTTTTGCTCATTCATTGCTTTGCTAGACACGATGCTTGGCTTTAATGGGAGCTAACCTGAGGAAAAAAAGCTCTGCACTCTCTTTTATGTGCATATTCCCTAATATTTCTGCTTCTGTGCTTGTTGGGCTTCCTTAATGGAAAATAAACAGCTTCAATAATTTAATAATTCATCAGTAACATGCGCTGCTTTATTTTAATACTTTGCATTGAGTATGTATGTTGCAAACATAAGTTAGCTAATGGCTGCTTCAGTGTATTTGCTTGGACTAGCATTTTCGTATAGCTGCATATTGATTATTTCTCATTTTAAATATCCACTTTTTTGTATGACAGCTTATAGTCACTAACAATTACAAGTTACTGAAGAACATAATAATGACAAGATGATGATTTCTTGGCGGTGTAAGAAAAAATGATAGGAGCTGAGAAGAAGATATGGGATCTTTTGGAAAAAATGATTTAAAAAATGCCAGGAAAGAAGACAATATATTTATATACATACATGCTGGGAAATAACCTCAGTAAAATCCAATTTTTATTTTGCTGTAGTATGTGGTTGGAGGCCAACTGTGTGGTTAGAGAATTTGCAGATAATAGCAGTTCTGGCTTTCTGAAATGGGCTGTTTACATCATGGGGCAGAGTTTTCTTTCAGTCTCTTGTTAGAAGGCCGTTTTGGAATCTAGAGTAGCAGCAAAGGTAGGGTTTAACATTTAGGAAGATCTTCAAAGATGAGGGGGGATCTTATGTTTAAGAAAACAAAAAAAAAAGTTGAATGTGGGAAGCAGTTGGTGAAAAGGAAGGAAACCTGTGAATGCTTTGAAGTGGTGTTAGAGACACCAAATGGGCTGCTTGTCTGCAGTGCCGCTCCTACTTGCAGTGAGGGATAAATCTGTTAAATATTGAGAGTTCTCATTTAAACTAATGCATTGTTTACAGGTGTCTGGAGTTCCTTCTACAGAATGATGCCAATCCATCCATCCAAGACAAAGAGGGGTACAACACTGTGCATTATGCTGCTGCATACGGACACCGGCAGTGTTTGGAACTGGTGAGCGCTCAGATGGTTGAGAGGTCTCTTAACTACTGATACAGATATATGTGTGTGCATGAATGTCCCAGTATTGTGAATTCACCTCAAGTTTATGATTTGAGTCCTTTGGAAATACATGGTTCTGTGAAAACTTGCAATAAACTTAGTAAAGTGGAACTAATAAGCAACCAGGTACATGTTGAAGACGTGATAGTTTTGTTAAACCAGTCCTTGTTCAACAAGCTGGTGCTTAAATGTTGAACATGAGTGGAGCTCTGGTTATTTTTTACCGTAATGGAAATATTCCCAGTGTTTGTGACAGTAATAAGGAGTAGTTACCTGTGTGTGGGGATGTGTGTACACAATTATCAGGCTTGTGTGCTGAGAGCTTTTATTAGCTGCATACCTACACTGTGTTTTTGCCTCTGAAGAAACAATAGCAGCACTGACAAAGCTGATAAACCATAATCAACCTTGTGGGCCATGTGGCTGTTTTCTTTGTTGGTGTGTTTCCGCTGTTGTTGCACCTGAGTGATTAGAAATTGCATCTCTCAAGAAGCCCAAAATGTTCAGTCAAAAACTGGATTTGGGAGATCTCACAGTGAGCATTTATAGTAGAGTGGAAGTTGTAAGTAAATAAATCCATAAAAATCCTGTGAAAATGGATGTTACCTGAACAGCTTGTTATACAGGGGGATCCAACACAGATATAAATAGGCTCTGCTTTAAAAAAAAAAAAAAAAAAAAAAAAGGTAGAAAATTGTATAGATGTTCAGACCTGAGTAAGAGTGCTGTGCGCTGTTCAGTGTTTCACATTGTTTGGTTTGCTCTTTCCTTGTTAAAGAGTTAAAGTGCTTAATAATTGAAGAAGACTTACGCACAAACATGTGCTGCCTTCATCCCACGTGCACCGGCTCTGTCAGTCGCTGCCACCTCTGGGAGATCCTGCAGCTGGCCCAGCCTGGGTCACAGCTCCAGGTTATAAGCCTTTCAGCTCCCACCTGCACACACAATTATAGTAAGGACACTTGGAAGACCACTGCTTCTTTTTGCTTGTGGCAGATGTTCGGCCTTTCCTGGTTGGGAGGCGTCTCCTGGAGCTGCTCATATGTGGCTCTGCCCCTTGGGGACTGAGCAGTCCTCTCCTGCACACTGCATTTGGAGCAAAAGCAAATGTTCTTGGCCTTTGAAGGGTGTGTATGTAGTTTGTTTGGTGCAGTGTACAAGCCTATGCTTGTATGGCTACAGCAGAGTGTACTGCAGCCTCACTTCTGTCTTACCAACAGATTCTTGCAGGACTGGTGTGAGCAGAGCTGTCTGCAACAATGTCTTCTCTTTCAACCTGGTATTGTAGCCCTTGTGTGCCCCTAGGTGCTAGGCAAGCACAGGGAAAGGTCTCTTTTCTTGCTGCTGGACACATTTTCTCACAACATAGCAGTTACAAACCTGCTGTCAGTTCACAGTGTTACTTAGACATGCCAGACATACAAGAGCTGGGAGTGCAGCACGTATTGGAGGTGTTGTGTTTCTCTTCATTTTGAAGGGTGACATGCAAACCATGAGTGAGAGGCAGCAATGCAGCAAATGTGCTGTATTCATATCGGGAATTCAGTGTTGTTTCATGTTAATCCTCACATATTTGTGACTAGAGCTGCAGTATAGAAACCAAAGGCCAAGGGTCACTTGCAAAGTTACAGCCATACAGCGTGTTTTCCACACACCTATGAATGACCATTTACATACTATGCTGTCTACCTCAGAGCATTATGTGGACCAGGATTTTGCCACTGGTGTTGAGAGATTGACAGACATTTCACCTCTGGAATACAAAAGACTGAGTGCTCTGGCAAGCAATTGTGCTCAGCCTGCAGCAGGACTGGGGTCATCATCTTTTGTATCCACTGTCAGAAGAGACTGATTCTGTTTAGTTCAGTGAGTAGTTTTCCCTTAGTTCTAGTGAGTTACAGAGACCCAGGTTATATTTGTATGATGATATTTGATAACGATAATGAATTGATGCAGGCAGTTACCTTTACATTGATTTTTTTGATTTTTTTTTCTTCCCTTCATTTCTTATATCTGAAACATCAAATGAGCTAGGAGCAGTATCCAGCAGCTGAAAGGTAGTGTTGCTGTGAGCATATTTTCAGTTGTCCTTGCTCAAGGAGTAGTGGGATCCCAACAATGCCAATTCCAGTCTAAATGCATCTGTAACTAGATAGAGAGACTTCTTGTTTTGGCTTCACATGTGTAATAACAGGTACTTGGGTATCCAAGTGCTAACCTTGAACCATTAATCTACATGACAGGGTCTGTCATGTGAAATGTTCCTTCTGAAATATTTACAGTTTCATCCTAAAGAAGAGATTTCTCAGGCAGGATTATTGAAATTAAAGCTTTTTTTTTCAGTGCCAAGTTAACTGTTATTTTACTGTTTTATCCCTTGGGTGTATAGTTTCAGTTTATTAGTGGCAAATCAGACAAAAATATCTGGAAATTTTCCCTTGTCCTACAAGACAGTTTTTATGGGCACAAAACTGTTAGGGGAAGAAGTTCATTTAAGATATGAAGCTTTGGATCTGATCAAAACTAAGGCAAAATGTTGCAATGCTGAGCTTGATTTCTGTGGTAACAGTTACTAGCATTTCCCTAAATGCACAATATCAAGCTAAAGGGATACATTAATGCATATTTTCAGTGTTGTGGACCTTGCCAAATGTGTCAGAGCTTGTAAGCCTAATTTTTTAGTTCCTCCTTCCCTCCTGTTTCTTTTATGCAGGTAACTGAATTAATCTATTTCAAAAGAAATGATCACTTAAAAAAAAAACATTCTGAAGAGGACAGTGCAGTGTCTAGTGAAGTTTCCTTAGCTCTAAGGGATCTGATCATTACTTTAAACATCATGGCTTCTCAGCATGACAAAATATTTACACCTCTGAGTACAGTTTTGGAAGGGTTGGTTTATCTACAGAAATATGTTTTTAATTTTTGCCATATTTTGTGGCACAAGAAATAAGGTGTGTGTTTGTGTGTTCAACCACAGAGCTCAATGCCAGAAGCTCTTCTCTGGAGGACCCTTAAGTTGCCTGGAATATCACTTTGCAGTGAATGACGTGATGTTGCTAAAAAGAGAACAGTGGAAGCAGATTCTTGAATTCTTTCGACATTTGTAGCAAGCCATTCATAAAGACTGAATGGTGAGCATGTGTGCTTGAGAGCAAGTGAAGCTCTGTCTTTCTTGTGTGCTTTCATACTTCTAACAATATAACCTCATGTTTGCTCAGATTGAGACTGAGCTTCTTTGGTGTTGGATAGTCGGAGATGCTGTTCTCTATCACTTACTGATACGTTAGAGTTGATCATGTTAGTGAACTGAAGTAGTTACGAGTAAAAAAGGTTTATTTTTCATTGAAATGATCTATCACAAAATCATTATTGCCATGGAAAGAGTGAAATTGCAATTGCAAATTAAAGTGTAGTGTGGAGCGTCAGTCAGACCCTTTATGTTTTAATGTCAAGACAAAGGAAATGAAGCGTGTCAGTGTTTTGCAGTGATATCTCTTCTCTGACTGTAAGTACTGATTGTTAATTTTCTTTTAATCTGCACTTCTCCTTATCTCATCAGCAAATGAAATTCACTTTTGGCCAACAGAAACTGAATTGGCACAATGGCCGATTCTCTTAAGGATGGGAGGAGGGCGCATGGTTTAATGGAAAACTATATCTGAGAGAAAAAGTACATCTTGGTTCATATGCCTGACCAAAGCAGTGAGCTGCAGAGCCATCTGCACTGGGAGATCTGCTAGCAGAGCCTGTCACTGTGGGCTGTGTTGTGGAGTTTGAGGGCAAGGACACATCTTTTGTTAGACCAGGTGTGGCAGTGAGGAAGCAGCAAGCTGTGTGTTCCATGTTCGGTCCCTTGCATGTGGAGAAGTTAGAATCACAGACCCTCCAGGTCTTTCATATGACTGCTCCTGATTTTCTGTCTGTTCATCAACAAGAATGTGTTGGTTCATTCATCTGAGACACTGGCAATCAGTGGTGGGCAAATCACATGTGGTTGGGATAGGCGTGAAGTAGCTGTCTGCCGCGTGGGGTCCTGCCTCGACCACTTGTCTGGCTCCAACCCCTGATCTGCCTCATGGCCTGAATCCCTGCATTCAAAGGGGCTGTGCTCTGTTTTTCTTCTTTTATGCATGTCTCACTGTCTCCATGACAAACGCTGCTATTCTGAAAGGGAGAATTTTATCTGACAGCAGCAGTGATGGTGCTTTGTGCCAACCTACTTTGAATGTCTGAGCAGTTGTTCCACGTGCAGTGCAGAAATTTGATGTTTCCTCTGCAGTTTAGGTACAATTAGGACTTCACGTGCTTACTTTTCATGAAGAAAACACCAGGTAAGACTCAAAAAATACACAGGATAAGATTTCAAATAAATAGGCTCCCTATGCACAGAATTCAAGGGAGGTTATGTGAAGTATAACTTTGAGCAATTCTGAAAAACGTGAGTATGAGTTTGGATGACTGCTTAGTGAAGGGCTGTTAGCAGCACCAGCTGATATGTGAGAGTGGGTGCCTGTGCAGGCAGCTCTCAGTGCATCACAACCAGGGAGCCTTTCTGTCAAACCCACTGTCGTACACACCTTTCTTGCATATTTTTTCTAAGCAGAGGAAGTTTACAGTTATTCTAGTATCCTTTTTTGTTGTTTTCTAAAAGGAGAATGCAAAAGAAGATGGGAACATATCGAACATTTGTACATGCTGATTAAATTATTAATAGGAGCCTATATGTGCTAGAATTGCCAATATATGTTAGCTTATGGCAGTGCATAAGCTTTGGCTTAGGTTTTTTGTTTGGTTTTTTTTTTTTTTTTTTTTTTTTTGCTTTGGAAGCTGAATTGGAAATCTTTTAAGAATCAAAATTAGGATGCTAAATACTGCTTTTGAACTTCATATGAGGGCAGGAATTTGCCATCTGCATCCGAGTGGCACTTTGGCTCCTAGAATAGCAGGATTGCCTAGGAGGGCTTTTTTCTGTCTAACAGATTTAGGGATTTTTTTCTTTTTCTTTTTTTTTTTTTCTTTTTTTTCTTGATTTTTTTTCTTTTTTCTTTTTTTTCCTGACAGAGAGAAGCAAGCTGTTAACATATGCTGTCTTTTGTCAGAGAGTAACAAGGTGATCACAGAGCTGCAGGATATGGTTTTCCTTCAGGCATGGACTTGTGCTGTTGCCTGTAGTACCTGTCTGTGAATGTGTGTGGTGTTTGAGTGGAAACGTGGACAGGATATCTGACTTTCTAATCTACTGAATCCAGTGAGAGAGGTGTATGGCATTGCATTAGACAGCATAGCTCAGAAAGAGGTGTGGCTGCTGGGGTCTTCAGGCTGTAATCAGGCTCTTTTATTCAAGGGAAGATGTTTGCCTGTTTTCAGCAGACTTCCAAAAAGCAATGTCTCTGGTTTATTGCTGTAAGTACGCTTTAGACAAAGGCTCCCACAGCGTGCATATTTTGTGTCTGTCTTTTGCCAGTCGAACAGATTGACTGTAAACATTCTCCCTGACTATTATTTTCCTCTTTCTCTTCCTCCCATGTGATTTCATGCAACTGGTATCTGTTCTCAGGGGCTGACATTAGGCAGTTGTCTTATTGCTGCTTCAGGAGCATTTCGTCCATAGGTGGACAGTATAGAGACAGATGTGTAAAGGTGTCCTTGTTAATATGCTTTTATTCATTCCTGAAAGTGCCACGAAAAATAGCTACTAATTGATGAACATTTTGACATTTTACATTTGGTATTAATAGCACCCAGCTATGGTGCTATGAAGAAATAAATCACTTGTGGGTGTGGAAGTGATATGTGTTTAAACTTGGAAATTGCCTTATTGAAATAATCAAACTTTCAGTGGAAAGCCACTTGAATGTCAGTGGTGGTTAGATCAAACCTTTGACATAGCTACAGGTGGTGTGTACAGGTGGCTGTGTACGTGCATGCTGTTTCATACAGAATCATGCTTTCTCTTTTCTTCTAGGATTTGAGGTAGCACCCATCACTACAGTGATCTGGTTTGAAGTTGCTTCTGATATCTTATTTTTAAAAGTGTAGCTTAAAGCTTTTATGCATGATGAAAGTATGACCTCATTTACTTCCTAATAGTAATTTTAAATTACGGAGATACTCCATCAAGCTTTATTTTTTTAAAAATAGAGATAAATAAATAGAAGATTTACTGTAGTTCAGAAGAACAATGGTGTCAACTATCCTGTCAGTAAACAGCAAATCGGAGTGGGGAGAAAAAAAAAAAGTAAAATCAAATGGAGTTAAATACCCCACACCATATTCATCCATGTAATCCTATATTGTAAGCACAAAATACATTCAAACAGTGAGTCTTCTTCTATCTGTAAATACCATTACTGTACAAATGAAATTGTGAGAACTGAATGTTATTAATCTTTGCATGGAACGGGAGGAGAGAGAGCTGCAGCCTCGTAGTGCTATTAGCTGGTAGCAATGGAACTGAATAATTGATGCTTTACCTTGTTTTGTCTGCATGTCACTCCCAAAGCACCAAGTTCTTGAGTGTGAAGGAGACTTAGCAAAATAACTGATGACGTGCAGTGCTAAATGGTGCTGTTATGAGAAGTGCAGGATAGAACTGGGGATCCTTACCTTTTAAGAGGTGATGGCCTAACCAGAGAGGACAGTGCCCACCACTTTGGCTGGCAACAGCTGTGCAATTCTGACAGCACTTAAAATCTGCAGATGACTGAGTGCAGAAATGTAGTATTCTGAAAGACATTATCTTAATGGCACAAGACACGAGATATGCTGGGATCTTCCCCACTCAGCCAGCTGCAACTATGAGCTGTTGGTAATGTGTTCTTATTGCCTCTTGAGAGAAGTGCTTTGGCCAACTTGCAGCAGGAAAGTTTTGCACTGCAGCTGGCATAATTGGGTTGTTTTGAGAAATAAATTGACATTTCTTATTATTTAGAAAACACGCAGTGTGCATCGCTTCCTACAAAGGTGCTCTAAGGTGGAAGCTAATGCTAATGGAATTAGAACCCTGAGGAGAGCTTTGTGTATTCTTGTAACAAGTATGTGAGAGGTATTGTAAATGCCTCCTTCTTAGAACCATTGCAATGCTAGTGAAGCTGCAGAATTTGCCTTGTAACTTACACCTGGTACTTTTTGTGTCTGAGTGTGGTGTGTATCCTTCACATGAATTGGTTTTAACTGCAAGCTGTGCTTGATAAGACAAACAAGAAAATCACTAATTCTGTGCCCTTGGTCTTCTTTTATGATTTCTCTTCTTGCACTGTTGGACCACGTATCAGGGAGCAACCAGATTTACTCTCAAGTTCTCATTTATGCTTGACTTTATGATAGAGACATTCATCCTTGTGAATAATAAGCTCATTAACCTTAGTCTGCATTAGTCTAAGCTGCTTTAACTAAGCTATTGGGATGCCTTTTGTGAGGAGCTCTCCAATCCTGCAGTAAAATTCCTTTAGAACCTTCATTGTGTCAATTTTCCCATCTATTTGAAAGGCAGTTATCTGCCTTGTTCCAGAAGACTCACGGAGCCCTCTGACAGGTTCAGGGAAGTACTAAGATTGTGATCCCAGCATTTCAACAGATGATGATCAGCGTAGTTAAAAGCAATTAAAATAGTCTTCTGTGCCCACCTTTATGGATTGTAGTAAAGGTGAGTATTGAGCAGGCTGGGGAACTGGCTTTGTACTCACATTTGGATATTTTTTATTTCATTTGCTCAGTAGAGAAGATCAGAATTAAATTAATTACCTTATTAGAGCGTGTTTGGAGTAACTGAAAATTTGTGACCATGTGTTCGGAGTTGCCACTTAATCCTGTTTCCATCCATTTAAAATACAAGAGAAGGATGATATTTTAAATTGGAGGTCTCTCCATGTGTTTGTAGCAGATGTGTTTGTGTAACTCTGCCCCAAATCTACTAAAAAAGTGATGTGGACTTGTTGTTTTTTCCCTATCTGCAAGGTTGTGTTAGAATTCATATTGCATATTAATACACACACTCATTTATGAATAGTATTTGCATCAACACATTTTTTTCTCTGTCCAGATATGTTACTAGGTTCAAGATACACAAATGAAGTTACTGAATAGTTTTTTGTTGTTGTTGTGCTTTGTTATTGTAATAGGCTTCAGATTAATGTCTTTGTTTAATACACGATTTGTGATGCTTTGGAAAAATTTATCTTTGATGTAGGTCTATTAAGGACTGTTTTGTTACATAGAAAGTTTAGGCAAATGTGAGTTCAGTGTGTATCATCATCTTGCAGTGCAGGTGGGTAATTTCTGCGCCTGCCATAGGATTTCAGCAGTTTCTTTGGACAGCATTCCATGTTGGTGTACCATAGAATTGTCCAGATTGTCACCACTGTCCCTTTTTTCAGTTTTCAAGTTAGATAATGACTCTCTCAAAAAAGTTTGAAAAAGTTGAAACCATAGAAATGTTTTTCAGTCTCTGGTTACTAATTTTTTGGACAACATTAATTTCCAGTCACAGGATTTTGGAGACTAACTGTTTGAGTAGTATTCAAGTAAAAATGCCTTGCGTGCCAGCAGTAATGCTACTCTGCAGTGTTGAATTCACAGTATTTTGTCAGTATCTGTGAAGTTTTCTTTACAGCCTCAGTGGGGTCAGTTGCCAGGGTTCATGTGCTTTTGTGAAGGGGTGCTTGTCACAGTAATTCTGTAGTTTTTCATTCTGGCTGGGTAGAAGTACCCCATTTGTAAGCCTTAAAATGCTTTGGGAAATGTAGAAAATCATAAACATATGATGCATTTTATTAGATATTAATTTTTTTTTACTTTTGTGAGCATGGTTATGTTCAAGGATGTGTTGCACTCTGGAAGACTGTAAGGAAGTTCTACTCAGATGAAGTATAAAAATGGCTGTGTAATTGCTAGCAGCTTAGTTCTAACTATTCTCAACCCAAATAATGTATCAGAATGATAAAAGAAATGCTGAATCAGAGATGGTTTGTATGTGCATTACCCATGTATTCATGAAACAGTGCTTCTGCAATGCAAAATAACTGAGGGCTCTACTCCACAGATTATTCCTTTTACTGCTGATCAGGGTAAGGATGTTCATTAAAGGCTTTCAAATTACTTTTAAATCTCTATCCTATAGGGTAAGAAGACTTGAAAATACTTTACTGTAAATATAAAGTACTTACTCCTCATTGCCCTTCAATATTCACTGTAGACATCAGAATTTTTTTTGTCTGCTGAATCATAAAAACTTATCCTAAGTTGTACAAGAATGTTTTAAGACTTTTTTTCTTCCATTTTCAGCTTCTGGAAAAAAACAGCAATATGTTTGAGGAATCAGATTCTTCAACTACAAAAAGTCCTTTGCATTTAGCTGTAAGTATGAGATGTGTAATATGTTGATCATCTCAAAGAATAATTCTTTAATCTCTGTCTTTGAAGCAGGTTTAATCATAGGCTTGGTTTTGAAACAAGTAGGCTTAGATGTAAGAAAAACAAGTTCTGAACGGGAATTGTTGAGTTTCTGGCTGTTGAAGCTCTTTGCTCTTATTGATTATAGCACTCAGGTAGTAGAAGAAACAGAAACTGAAGTAAAATTAAATGGCAAGCTACAAATTTTTGCAACCAGTCTATAAAGTTGGAGCTGGAGCTTGAGCCTATGGCTCTGATGATGGAGTGGGATGTTCTGCTGCAGACATACAGTGTGCAGAAATAGTCTGATGCACAGCTAGGTGTGGGAATGCATACAGTATGTCCCAGTACCTGAACACCCTTGTGGTAAAAACGTTTTTTCTTGTATTTAAATGGATTTCCCTGTGTTTAAATTTGTGCCTGTTACATGCCTCATGTGGTGTCACTGGGCACCACTGGGAAGAGTCTGGCTCTTTCTTCTTTGCTGTCCTGCTCAGATGTACAGACACATCAATAAGGTCCTTCTAATGCTTTTGTGTTTTTAAACTGAACAGTCTCAGCTTGAGAGAGCTGTCTTTACAGGTCAGCCACAGACTGGCCCCACACTGACTGTTCAACATCACCATGAATCTGCTCTCTTCTCAATAGGGAAGAAACTTGCTTACTGGAAAATAGGAGCATGTTTTAGTTCTGTAGTGATCATATCTCTGTTTGCCAGCTGGTCAGAACTGCTCTTAGCTGGTGTTTGAATTTTCCGTACATCATCTGAGGGAACAAGAGCCAGAAGTTGGTTTAAAAGGGACTCACTTTGTCACTAAGCTGTTCTCTCAGTTCTTTACTTCTACAGTTTGAAGACTGCAGGAAGGACAGTGTCTGAAACCCAAATAGGGGTTACAGCTTTCTCTATCACCAATGCAAATTCTTGTGCTGGGAAGGGACTTGACCTGCACCTGGCCAGACAGCAAGCTCATTTCCTCGCTGGTCTTTCTTGGTCAAAATCCTTGCAAGGACGCTGATGGAGGTCTTTCCTGTTGTATCTGTTGCCAATTAACAGCTCTTCATTCACTTGAGACACCCCTAAAACAATTCAGGGAAAAAGAAAAAAAGAAAGAAAAAAAGGAAAAATAAAAAATTCACATAAAATGTTGCTATTTCTCACACTTCGAATGTATCAAAAATCAGGTTATTGGGTGTTTTCCAAGAAATTATAATAGGGAAGGAAATTACATCAAGACTGTTTTCTGCTATATGGATTCTCTGTGCCCTAATCTCCTTACCCTTTTTTTTTTTTTTCTGCCTTTGCCTTTCTTCTTTCCTTAAGTAATTTTCTTGGTCTAGCAGTGCAACAACTGCTTGGCCACTGCTCTGTCTCATTCTTTTGTACTTCTGAGAACAATCAGTAGGAGTGCTTAACCTTGAAGATTGGTGTCTGGTTATTTCATGTTTGTATTTCTCTTCTGTTTTCATTAACTGTATCAACTCTGGCAACATGTTTATACATTCATGTTTAAATAAAAAAGATTATCTTAGTTGACAGTGAGGAGGACAGTCACTACAGAACCATATGAAGTGCTTCCACTTTCTGGAACTATCCATTAGGTTTTTGCAACATCAGCTGCATTTGTGTAGTCATCCCAAATGTGACTGCTGGTCTGGAAGTGCATCTACTTGTCCACTACAGTTGTTCTACCAAGTGATCCTACTGGTAGGAACACTCTGTGAAGCATCAGCTGTGAAGAGCTGGTCAAGGTTTATTGTGTTTATTAGTACTGGCACAAAAGTCTGTTTTGGGAATTGTTTTCATTCACTTAAGTAATACTCTACATTAAATGTGTATCTTAAAGAAATGGCGGATGTATTGATTTTGTCAGATAATCCATGTGGTTTTTGACCAGCATCATTCCCATGAACCTAATTTTTGAAGCCACCATTTCCCTGAAAAATGCAGTGCAAGCTGAAAAGTGAATTGTTGATTAGCCCGTGTTGAAGTGAATCATTGCCTGAAATTCCCCACCTTGAGCTCTAATAGAATCAGGGTAAATAAAAAATCATAATTACTGTCCATGAACACTAGGAGTTTTTGAGAGTCTTGGCTATTTGTATCAGTGGCAGTGTAGTTTGGCAAAATCCTTTCAAGATGGAAGAGTCATGAGAAATCAACAAACTGTCATTTCCATTGTGTTTCATAAACCCACAGTGACAGATCTTATTCATGTTCTGCGTGAAAGTCTTTGAAAGACAAGACTTGTGTTCCTTACATGACTCATTTCATATTTCCAGGCCTATAATGGTCATCATCAAGCTTTGGAGGTGCTGCTCCAATCTCTGGTAGATCTGGATATTAAGGATGAGAAAGGACGCACTGCTTTGGACCTGGCTGCATTTAAAGGGCATGCAGAGTGCGTGGAAGCTCTCATCAGCCAGGGTGCTTCTGTCACTGTAAAAGACAATGTCACCAAAAGGACCCCCCTGCATGCTTCAGGTGAGTGTGCTCTTGTGTTACATTTGCAATACAAAGCCTTTAGCATGTTTGCAGCTAACTTTAGTTACCTACTATCTCTATGCTTATTTCTTCTAAACAGAAGAAATTTTGATGTGTATTGAGGTGGTCTTGCAGTTAACTCTGTCGTTCTTGTGGTATTTTTCCTGTCCCATGGTCCATTTATCCCTCACAGATACTCCTGCTTTTCCACACTCTACTACTGCTCGGACTTTACCTGCTCAGTTGTGCTTTACCGTACCTCTATTACACCTACTCTAAGATGTGGGGTGTTTTTCCTGCAGCAGTTTCACTTAATGGTTCTTTAGCCAAAAAAAAGAGAAGAAGAGAGAACAGTTGTTTCATTGCTTATCCCAAGGAAAGAATAATTGAAAATACAGGTGGGCCTTGGTGGCAATGAAATTGTTCTGTGTTCAAAGCCTTCTGCCTGTTTCAGCGGTAATGTTACAGAAATTCATCCGCTTTCAAATGTTCTTCTCCTCCTGAGCCAGCTTGTGAATTTGCTGTTGTTAGGAGTTGCTCCATTCTTCATACGTTGTGTACAACATGTTGCTTAATTAACTAGAAAATGTAGGATTTGCCAATTATTTAAAGGTTATTATTTAATATATACTTGTTGGTTAAACACAGCAGTGCTGGAGGGAATATTGCTCCTCTGGCTGTTAGTTCAAGGACTCAGTGCAACCCAGCAGTGACCTCTAGTGGGAAGAAAAATGAATACTTGATTAGACAGTTTTTTAATTCTCAGGCTTTATTTTTTCTCTGTATTTTTTCATCTTGGTCAGAATAAAATGCATACACAGTTCCTGCTGTCTGGGACTTTCCATGTGAGCAGTGCAGTGTTCTGCGCAGTCAGCACAGCTCCCAACAAAGCTTTCATCTCCACCCATTACGAAGAGCCACTCGTGCTTTTTGTTACGCTGTTCTTAAACGTTTTGCTTAGGAGTGTTTTAACAAAGAATGGTGTCACCTGTTGGAAGCTGCATGGTGCCACAGTGATGTTCACTGTCTCTTATTTGCAATGCAGTCATAAGAGATAAATTGGCATATTTTGAGAAATCTAACAGAATTCTTGCTGAATTAATCCTTTGAGTGGCAGTATGTGTTTGCACACACACAAGTGAAAACTTGCATGCATTTACCATTCACTGGAAAGAAACAAGACGGCAAGTGTGCCCATCCCCTTAACAGTGTCTGCCTTCATTCCTTCTTATTACAGAAGCCGAATTGCTGAACACAACAGTTAAGGAGACTTAAACCTATGGATTAGATTAGAGGACTCTGCAGAGCTCTCTTCAGCATAGGGGTTTTTGACTTCAAGAGGCAAATAATTCAGCTAATGAAGTATTTCTTTTTAAATGTCTGTTCCCCAAGGGGACTTCCTTTTTCCTCATAACATGGAGAATTTCCTTAGCCTAAATCATGTGTTCCCTGTATAATTTTATTACCACCAGACTTTACTCTCTCTGGCTTGGGGGATGCATTGCAAATGTTTGCCTAGTGTAGTGTTGTAGCTCCATTGACAAAACTAATGTTCCCTGCAGGGTCTGTAGTGCTCAGCAATTATTGGGTTAGCTCTGAAGTCTTCCTGGGAGTATCTGCTCAAAAACTCATTTACCAAAATCTTTTTCAGACATCAGTGTGAACAGGTTTTGATTTCTCTTCCTCCTGCTGGGTGATAGAACTGATTTTTTTTTTTTATTATTTTTTTGTTTTCTCTGTGAGTCACTGGTTCGTCAGCCCTGCAGAAGTGTTTCCGTGTTATGTATATGGCATTACTTAGTGGTAAATAACTAAAAATGTCTTGTTGTTTTTTGTTGTTTTTTTTTTTTTTAGTAGAGTGACTAAGATTATTTCTGGAGGAGTGACTTAAATGTGATGATGTGCACTCATTTCTCTGCAAGAATGGTGTGACATAGGTGGAACCCGAGATTTTTGCCTTGGTTCACAGGGTGTGGGCAGTATGAGTGCATGACTCTGAAAGGAGGATATAATTTCTGTGTACTGAATACAGGAATTACTGGATTTTTAAAGATGAAATTCTTGTTCTGCTCATCCTGTGGGTCATATAAAGCTGAAGCCTTTAAGCCAGCTGACAGACAGATGGGTTTTCAGTGCTTAGCCCTGCAAAATGTACCTTGGAGCTGTTTTCCAACAGCACTAGGTTGCATTTTAAGAGCAAACCCTGTTTTTGAGAAGTAACCATGGCTTCAAATGTTAAAGTAGAAAAGAACCAAGAATTTTTGTTTCTCTGGTTCAAAGATCCTTAACAGGGTTTTGAGGAGGAAAAGAAGCAGAATGGGATAAAACAGCCTTCCAGTTATAGAATATCAAGAGTAGTGGTGAATTTGTGTGCTGAAACTTCAGTCTCCTTGAACATGCCCAACAGTCAGAGAAATTTGGTGCTGCAGCAAACCAGAGTGTTGTGAAGCAGTCCGAATGGCTTGAAGAGGTCTTGTGCAATAGACTGGGGGAGTGTGATTGACTAGCCTGAGAGGCAAAAGTAGAGACACAATAGCTGCCTTTTGTGGTGGTGTTGCTCTGAGGCTTCCATGCTGCTCTCCTTGTGGCTTCCCCAGAGCTGTCAGTAGTCAGCCTGGAGGTCACTGGGGAGCAAAATGTGGAAGTAATGTCATGCTTCCTGGAATATAATAAATGTGTAACACTGGTCATTCTTTGTAGATGCTTTTTAAAAAACAAAACAAAACCAAAAAAACGAGCACTAAGGAACTTGTTTGTTCCTTAGCCCACGCAATATTAATGAGCCCTGCTGAGAAATTCCTAAGGTGTTCCAAAACTGGTCACAGAAAACCTCGTCTGCCTCCTGACTGCAGGGGATTTTGGAATGCTGTCTGCTTTGGTAGAAATCTTCTCTGTAGTAAGAATCACAGTTTCTGTTCTACTCATTGGGGATTTATGTACGAAAGGAAAGTAGTACTTACTGAGGAAAGAGAAAAGGAGCTCGCCATTTTGTTGGTAGAAGTAAATTGTGGGAATGTTCTTTTCTTACACTGGGGAATATTTTCTGTATACATATAAGAAATTTCTTATCTGTAAGCATTCCAATGGGAAAGCATCTGAAATTAAGCCTATTCTAATTATACACACTTTTTTCTTTACAGTCATTAATGGTCATACACCTTGTTTACGGCTGTTGCTAGAAGTTGCAGACAACCCTGATGTGACGGACGCCAAAGGACAGTAAGTTTCTTTGGTTGTTTTGTTTCAGTTCCGTAATTCAAATGGCATCTCAGGTTTCTTACTTCAAAAAAAAAAAAAACCCAAAAGTGTTTATTTGAAATACTGTATGTCCTGCACTATTTGTGAATAGAATTTGGCAGAGACTTCAAGGTACGCATGCAGTTGATCTAAGCCATTCATTAATCATAGCCTCTATTTCATACGTTAAGGTAGCTTTTCACATATTCTTAGAGCCAGATTCAGTAAAAACTAACAAGATTCTGAGATGCCTGGAGAGTCTTATTTTCTAAGATGCTGATGTTTCAGCATATATTATGTGTCTAGAGGTATATTATGCTGACAGAGTGACACAGAATGTTTGTTCAAGGCGAACCCGAAATTGGAGATGTTCCTACAAAAGTTTTGTGTCTCATTAAATGACAGCTACAGAGAGAATAATCAAGTATGTTTTAGAAGTGAAAACTTGAATGTTTTTCTTATTTGGGGTACCTGGAATATATCTGACTATACATATTATTTTAAATGGTATTAGTCTTACTTAAATATAGAAGGAAAATAGATCCCTTTCAGGATGAAAAAACTGTTCATTATTTTCAGAAGAAATACTTGGAGTTGTTGTCATCTTGGTGCTTAGCAGAGGCATTCACCCACAACTTGGTATTGTAAAGCTTGTATTGCTGGAGATGACAATAACTGTAGGTTTTTAAGAGGAAAAAAAAATTGTCTGGAATGATGTTGCTCTGTAAACTGCTCACAGGTGGGTTTGTCTATCGCAGTCATGATAGCTGGCTATTAGGCACCTTAAGAAAAGCTTTATGCAACTGTTTTCACTTGTGTTGTATAGATGAGTATGGTGAAACGAATAGATTTCTGGGTAGGAATGGAGAGAAATGCAGGGCTTCCTGATTTATGCCTTACAGTAAGTTAGCAGTAGCAAGTAGTATGCAGTTCATAGACGTGACTTTTTTGTTTCTTTTTCCTTCCAGAACCCCACTAATGCTTGCAGTGGCACATGGACACATTGATGCTGTTTCCTTATTACTTGAAAAAGAAGCATCTGTAGATGCAGCAGATCTCCTGGGGTGCACAGCTTTACATCGAGGGGTGACTTCATTTTTCTAAATTCTAAGTATTTGTTCTATTGTCACTGCAACTAATTTATAAACATAGGGATGTTGAATGTAAGAGATATAGCTAATGATTGAAAATACGACCAAAAACAGTCAATGAGGTAAAAATTGGGATAAATCTGCTCTGTTTTTGATTGTTCGCTTTGATTAATTAAAGACTGGATCTTCTCTTAGAGAAAATTAGTGAATAGACAATTCACTATCGCAGTCATTATTGTTCTGAGAGCTGTATGAATTTTGAAAACAGCAAATTTAAAAGGACTGCCCAGCAGTTATTATCCTTTTTCCTGGGTAGCAGAATGTAACTGTGTCAGCCCTAAACTTTTAGCCAGAAGCAGTGAAGTGCAAGGCAGATCTAACCTTTTCTAGGAGCCATCTTCCTGCCCAATGTGAAGTTGATGCAAACGATCATATTTCTTCACAACTGTGTAATAATTGCAGTGAGCAGTTCAGCTTAGAGTCCAGCACTGGTTTGTAATAAATGTTATGGTGAAAAATTGCTGTTCTGCCTTGACATCAATACATGAACATGACCAAGGTGCTAAAGCTAAACTAGATGTGTTATGGAGGCCCAGCTGTTAAATATCTTTTTTGTACTTCTGGTAATTTTATTTATGTTCCCCTCAGTCCTTTTCGCACATTTGTAAGCTGTCTAGAGTGTCCAGATTCAGGTTTTGTAGCCTCACCCTTTGCTCATACGTTTCCTTAGTCTTAAACTCCTCGTTGCTTTTGACTCTCACTTAGAGAAGCCTTTTAGAGAAGTCTCGTCCACAAACTAATAAGTGCCTTTGAAAGCCAGTACCAAATATATTTCTATATAGCAGTTATCATAGGTACCCATGGGAGAAGTGGAGCTTTCATCTCTGCCACCTGAATCCCATACAGGCTTTTTCATGTTTATAGTCATCAGTCATATTCCACATCTCCTGGGTAGAAGTCTGTGTTTGTTTCAACCTCTTCACTCATTTCTTTGTTGCCAGATTATGACTGGGCATGAAGAGTGCGTTCAGATGCTTTTAGAGAAGGAAGTGTCTATTTTATGTAAAGATGCTAGAGGTAGAACACCTCTGCACTTTGCAGCAGCTCGGGGTCATGCCACTTGGCTGAGTGAATTACTGCAGATTGCACTTTCAGAGGAAGACTGCAGTTTAAAGGATAATCAAGGTTATACACCACTGCACTGGGCTTGTTACAATGGTAAGTTTATCCCTGTGGATTTTTGCCAAGTTCGAATGTGGCCTTTGTTTTAGGGAAGCATGATAGCAAAGCAGACTGACAATTTGAGAAGGCTGAAATGAAGAGTCAGATCATTTCTCCTCTACTTGCTCTCTGTGGTTTGTTTTTGCTCTATTTACCCTTCAGTTCAGGAGCCAAGGAAGTTCCAGCAATACCTCCCAGTGACTTTGTGACTTACAGGGAAGTTCTCAGTCACTGTGCTCATTTGTTCCCATCGCAGGAGGCCAGAGTGAAATTCTGTGTTTAATGAAGTAAACTATAAAGTTCTCATTTATTTACCAAGGGACCAGGAATGCTTCTCTGAGGTGTTACCTTTTCATTTATTAGTGCAGGAGACCACATCATTAGTTGAGAAGTCTGAACTGATTATGCTTCTTGCCTAATGTAAGAATAGAACTCCTTTCTGTCATCACTTCAGACCATCTTGGAATGTGTAAGGTCATGTACATGGCATCACATTTGAGAAAGAAATACAACTTTTTTTGTTTTTTCTTTTTATTCCTTTTTTTTTATTATTTCCTTTTTTTTTTTCCTTCACTTATGGCTAATATTGGGCTGGTGGAGCTGCATTGCTGCTGCCTTTAAAACAAAACAAACAAAAAAGACCCAAAGCCCCAAAACATAAAAACAACAAAAAACAAAGATAAAAACTCAAAACATTTTCTTATAATTCTGTTATATGAAAGTTCACATTCACAATAGGTCCAGCCTTAATGTGCTTGAAGTGTCAAATTATAATCCTTCTGTGCCTGGTCTGAAATAAGTTAATTCCCTGCTCTGTGCAACACTTGAAATATCTGTTTCTTGTAGGTCATGAAAACTGCATAGAGGTACTATTGGAGCAGAAATTTTTCCGCAAATTCTATGGTAATAGCTTCTCTCCGTTGCACTGTGCTGTGTAAGTAGAAATCTGTAACAAATGCTTTGCTTTGGGTTATGCCTGGAGAAAGTAGTAATATAAGAAGAAAGCTGTCTTTATTTCATATTATTTGCATGAGCAGATCATTTAAAAATTGTTCACAGAACGGTGCTTATTCTTTTCTGCTGAGAAAAAGAAGTTGCATGATAAAGAGTATTTGGCAGAAGTTTGATACATTTGAGCTACTTGATGAAATGCTGACGTGTCATTAAACAGCTGTATTTATACTCCTTTTCCAGTTCCTTTTCCCTTGCTTGCCACTGCAGGCCTATGCATTCTCTGCCACTCAGTGGAATTTCATAGCTCTTCCATTCTTAGGCCACGACCTGGGCTATTAGAATGACAAAATTATGAACTCCTCCTACTATTAGAAGAGTTAATATGTTTGAGAAGTAATGGTGAGAGATATTGTTGCATAAACTTCTATTCTACAGTCCACATTGTTGCAAGATAGAAATGTTGTTAGTTTCCAAGTGTGATACATAATTAAACAAAAGCAATTACAAAGTTACTGGTTTTATTCTACTTAAAATAAATTCTTTAGGGAAAAAAAAAAATTAGTATGTAATTCTCCAACCCACCTCTAAACACATGCAACTTAAAGATGCACATAAATTTAAAATGAAAGAACTGCTGCTGAGATGACATAAGTGTGTCTTTTAGCAACATTAGACATAGACTGTATGTCATTAGTTACCATACGCTGTTCATTTTCATAATGAAATAAGACAAATTACCAATAACCAGGAGAGTATTGAGTACCTCCAAGAAAAGTTATTGAGAGTGTGTGTTGAAAGAGGTGTGTATTTCAATACCTTAAACATGAGAGTAAATCTCTCTGTGTTTAGGTACATATGACCGAGTGCTTTCTCAGTTCAGCTGTGCTTGTTGATTAGTCTCAAGGATTTAAAGGTTTTAGGGTTTTAATCCTAGCTTGGTACTGCAGTTTCAGTTAATCTGGTGCATAGGGAATTGAAGGATCAGCTTTGCTTTACATGTGGAAATCCATAGCAATAGATGCAGTTTGGTTAAGAGAAGTGATGAATGGTCAGAACTGTGACTGAAAGTGTTAAGGCAAAGGTATGTTGGGATAAATTATAAATAATCACTAAGCAATATTAGTGGGAAATGAAGTAAATGAACATGGGGTAATGGTAAATATGTAGAGTTTTTATCTTCTTGAAAATGTATCTTTGGCAGAATCAACGATCATGAAAACTGTGCATCAATGCTCATCGGAGCCATCGATGCCAGCATTGTCAATTGCAAAGATGACAAAGGAAGGTAATAGCTTCCTAAACAAATTGCTTTTCCTCATCATGAATATATCTCTCCTTTTTCACAGTTCGTTTCTGAATTTCTGGAAAATAACCCTTGCGGTTGAGCTAAGACTTGTAATGCAGACTCTTTCAGACAGCAGCTTTCGCTGCAACACAGTTAAGTGATGGCTGACTTAAAGCAAGTGAGCTGTGAAGCATTCAGTTTTGCTATTAAGAAAATAGTATTTTAGTTCTTTAAGATGGGTAAAGGTCTAGGATGTTTTCCTGAACCTATTTTTTTTCTTTTAAATGTTTAAATGCATTCATATTATTTGCTAAATGAAGTGATGCTATGTGCAAATAGAGAAATATTTCATTAAAAGTTGTTATACTAACATTCTCTGGGCACGTAACTGGAAATGAAATAATTCATGCTGGTACAGCAAGAAATATACTTCAAGTCAAATCTTTAGTCAAACTGATAATCTCACCATATGTATATACTTACATAAAGTTGCTTGGACAAACACTGTAAATACAGTTTAACTTGTTTTGGATGTTGCCGCTATAACTTCCCCCTGGTGAGAATGTTTAGGAGGATTCAGAACGTCTTGCACTTTCAGGCCAACAAGCAGGAATATTGTAATTCTTTGGTAACAGCTGTGGCTGTGTGACTCTGCCCCACAGGACGCCCCTTCACGCAGCAGCCTTTGCAGATCACGTGGAGTGCCTCCAGCTCCTCCTGAGTCACAGCGCTCAAGTGAATGCTGTGGATCATGCAGGGAAAACAGCTCTCATGATGGCAGCTCAGAACGGTCATGTGGGCGCTGTTGGTAAGTGCATCCTTGCCCCAGCTTATCTTCAGGGTGAGTGTGACTGAGGCCATTGATTTTCAAGCAGATGATCATTTTTTCCTGGGAAAACTAAGAAAGAGAAAGCTTCTTACAGCCCTGCTCAGAAATTCTACTTCTACGCTGTTAAAAAAAAATATATTTCTTCTTCCTTCTGCAGTGTTTGCGAAGCTTTGCATTAACCTGAGTTTTATTTCCTCCAAAGGGAGCACTGTAATGCACTCAGAACATGAAAGGAGTAGTAATCCTCTTCTCTTGACTACTTCCTTAATTTTAAGGGTCAGGAAAACTGCATGTGTGAAAAAGATTTAAGTGTTATCTCTCTTTCTGTTATGTTATAGAGAGTCTTGTTGCTTCCTGGCTAGAATACCTGAGGCATAGGGATTGCAGTTGTACTGACTTAACAGAACTCTCTTTCCTCCAGCTTTGACAGCACAGGCTGCACCCTGAATTCTTTATATCCACTTAGTCCTCTCAGAGCAAGACCCAGGAGGTGACTCAGGCAGAACTTGCTGACCTGCAAATGGGGAAGTTCATTTTGTCTCAAACTGTCAAGCATAGATTCATCTTTGTTCATATATGAGGTCTGCCTTTGGTTGCAGATAACTGCACAAGATTATTCTGATGTCTACCGTTATTTTCACTTCATGCTCATAAAGCTTAAGCTGCATCAAGGCTTAGCACATAAGCACACACATATTGGAAATAGTAACAAATGGGAAAATTTTTTTCCTCTGTTTTCACATGCTGCTTTGCCCATTGCATTTGTTCATTGATTTATGTTCTAAATTTCAGACTTTTTGGTGAATATTGCCAAGGCTGACCTGACATTAAGAGATAAGGACTTGAATACATCTTTGCACTTGGCTAGCAGTAAAGTAAGTTGAAGACCACTGTGTGCTTCTGTAATCGTCAGTCTCTTGTGTCGGTGTGCCTTCTAAAAAAAATAATTCCACAATAGAAATGTGATGGTCAGACTTGTGGTGAGAACACTGTATTGAGCTTCTTTACAAGTCTGTTTCCAGACTTAGTAAATGGAGAAATATGAGTGTCTCTTAAGACAACTGAAACATAAGTGACACTAGGAGAAATAATTGAAAATCCTTTGATATTTTTACTGAACAATATTACTGTAAAATAGCTTAACATAGGGACAGTGGAAAAAACAACAAGAAAAAACAGATATATATTTATTCTTTTTCTCCAAATTCTGTGAAAGGGACCCAAAATTTTATCTTGAATTCTGCAACAGTGAAAGTAGGGGCACTGATAAGATTGATGCTGATGTCTTTTCTCCCTCCTTTTTTTTTCCCATTGGTTCCAATTGCTACTGCTGTTGCCTGTCTTGGCAAAAAATAAAAACAAAGCGTCCATGGCATTCCCTCTTCAAAGACTTTTCTTCTGCTGCTGTTCAGAGATGGGATTCCAGATAGCATCACTCCAGTTTCTGTAGACATATGAACTTCATTGAATTTTTAAGGTCCTTCAGGCTACCAGGGTCTCAGAAATAAGGCTCTGGTCTGTTATTGCCTGTTCGATCATCACAGAGCTCTGATGCTGAAGAGCTTTTATAGTTTATAATTAATTAATAGCACGGGAAGGCATTTAAAAGTCCTAGGAAGTACAGTGTTAGTTTTTGAGATTAAACCCTCATTTTCTCTGTTATTGTGTAGTTGTAGTAATCACTTGAATAATTTCTCTTGAGGGAAATTCAAGTCTTCCTGTAATCTGAGGAGGTGAGTTCTGCATGAGTGGAGGGTTGAAAGACAGATGAATGCCTACGTCTGTAAATGTGCTAAACATTCTAGTAATGGCAGTTTGTAAATGGTTTTATAGGGCTTTTACAGTTCACCTATTACAGATTCTTATAAACTGAGTAACGTTCTGTATTTTAAATAAACTTTTTACACTTTGCATTTGTATATAACATTTATTTTACCTCAATTTTAAACTTCTCTTTAAATTAATACAGTCATTTGTTTCCAACTAGGGTCATGAAAAATGTGCCTTGTTAATACTTGACAAGATACAAGAACAGAGCCTTATTAATGCAAAAAATAATTCACTGCAGACGTAAGTATTGCCTGATCCTCTCAAGTCCAGTTGACTTTCCAGAAGATTCTGATTTAGCTTCTCAATTTCACGTCTTGGATTTTTTTCTAGATAAAATTAGATTCCTTACTATTTTTTTAAGCCTTGACAACACTGCATTTATATTGCATTCTCACTTCTGAATTCTCTAATGCTCCTTGTATATGTGATCTGGTGGAAAATATTAGGTCATTTCTTTGAACACTGTATCAAAATGTCGTTTCGTAATGTGACTATATAAGCATACATCTAACTGCAAAATATTTTCTGTCTATTTCAAGATTTACTTTAATCAATCTAAGGTTTTACATTTAATTTTTCAAATTATTTGAGGTCATATTTTATGTATAACTGCCTTCCATACTGCACATTACTAGCAGAGTTGTAGCCATCAATGTTCTTACTCCAGCTGCAAGTATTTGAGTGGAATGGAGGAATTGCACAGCAGAAGATTTAACCGCGAGCTCAGGCAGTTGATTTAGTGCTTGCTGATGAATCCATTTGTCCTTAGCTCATTTCCCTTCCCTCCCACCCTTCAATTTGCAGTTGTTCTTCCTCTCCCATTAGCTGCTTCTAAACAGGAGCAACCTAGCTTTCCTTAGAATAATTATTTTAAAATAAACTTGAGTTTTGTTGTTCTGCTTTGTAGACCTCTCCATATTGCTGCACGTAATGGCTTAAAGATGGTGGTTGAGGAGTTACTAGCGAAAGGGGCATGTGTCCTAGCAGTAGATGAAAATGGTAAGTAAATAATATGCTCAGACAATCTTCAGTAGGTACCTAATATGTAATTTTACCACAGACTGAAGCAATAGACTTAAAAGCTTGTAGGCATCATTGATGCTTATATTCTTCCAAGAACAGTGAGCTGTGTGAGTATATTAAAAAGGACACTTTTTTTTTTTGTTAATATAAAAATGTATTCTCAACATCACAGTGGTCCCTTTTACTGTTCATTTTGCATGTACTGTCAACAGCTAGTCTTTTTTAATGCTTGAGTGCAGTGGTAACTTGAATTTCCTAAACATGCAAGTGGCGCCGGATAATTCTGACTCCTTGCAGAAGAATTAAGGATTATGCATTCAATCAGCGCATGTTTTAATGGGTAGGAAGAAAATCATCATCATTTGTTTGATTGTGTCCTGGTTCATTCTGAGAGCAAAACTTGTCGTTTCCAACTGTCTGACCTAACCCAAGATGCAAATTAATTACTGTTGCCTCCTAAAATAAATGATTAGTTAATAAATCTGATAATTTTATTTCAGATCTCAATGAAGTCCTTCCTTAAACATTACAGAGTCTATAGAGGGTTGTGCTTCTATTTTTTATTACAAAGTCTTCCTGAAATATGCTGCTTTCTCTTAAAATACGGACTTCATGGCATTAATGTAACGATTCAGTACTTCCATCTTGCTGTATCTGTAAAGCAACAATACTGCTACTTAGTCATTATTGCAAGACATTTTGAGATCTATGGATGAAAAGGGCGGAGTGGTATTTATTGTTAACCAGATGCTACCAGATGGACTTGCATGAAGGAGTCCTGCAGAAGTCATCTGGCCCTAACCTCATTTAGAGAAAGGGGACAGGAAAGTGAACCGGACTAGCTTCTAACCATAGTTTTTTTATAGGTAAAATCATACATGCAGATCTAGCCAATTTGCATGTATGTAATGAGTGAAAATTAAGTTTAAATTTGATACTAGCTTGATTTTTTTTTTTGAGTAGCTGCTTACACAGAGCAGAAGAGAAAAATTTAAGTACAATCTTAGTAAAAGTATAGTTCTAAAGAACGCTTGCACTTGGAACACAGTAGAAGAGGGAGTTCTATTGAGAGTATTTATTCACTGCTGTTGATGCCTGAGTGTGGGTAGTTTGCTGCAAAGCTGTTCTCAAACTCACCTGCTGCAGATGTTTTCAGCTTATTTGAGGCAGTAGGATATCAGTGGAGGTCATTGCTTTAGATTAAGATTGAAGCAATCTGCAAAAGAACTCTTTGCACTTAGAATAGAGGAGTTGTTGGAAAGTCCTGAAGTACTACATAGCAACATGTAAAACTGGTAGATAGAAAGCAAAATCAGCACATCCATTTCAAAGATGTGTGTATGTGAAGAGCTGATTTGGGGAAGCACTTGAACAGGTGCAAAGTTAAACTGCAGTGAAGGCAAACTTGATGGCTCCCCATTCTTACAGTTACTGATACCAGTATTATTTTAACTTCACATTACAAAACATAGGCCATGCTTACTGAATACAGTCATTGTTCTTCTAACATAATGCAAATTGTGAAAAATATCCAGATAGTCCTACTTGCTGTACATGTACCACGTATGTTGATCTGATTAGTTTCTTAAATTTAATTCCTAAATAAATTCTCTGAGTTGAGTATGTTCTCAACCGACCAATCTTTGAAATTGTTTGCTTGTTACTTCAAAATATGATTAAACTAATATCTGTCATGTTTCAATGAAAGCCGTTGTTCTCAGAATGAGACTTGTTCATCTGTGCAGAAACTGAAGCCAGTTTCTGTCTCTGTTGCTGTACACCCGTGTTCTGTATCCACCGTATTGTTTGTGCTGTAGAATCATGTTTGGCAAGTGCTTTTATTTATATTGTTGTGGAGTCTGTTTGCCTTGATTTAAAAAAAGCAGTGCTTGTGGTCACAGCGATTTAAATGCTCTACGAAGTGTGTATCTTCCCAGCATGTCTAATTTGAGAACAGTAACACACCCCTGCTGCTTGGCATGTGACTGTAACTGGACATACATCTCCTGCCTACAAAGTGCTCTAGAGATGTATATGAGGATTGCTCAGTGCCGTTCTCAGTACCCTTAGTACTAACCGTTGCCTTGTCTGCGTTTGTGCCCAGGTCATACGCCAGCCCTGGCTTGCGCTCCTAACAAAGACGTGGCTGACTGCCTGGCACTCATTTTGGCTACCATGATGCCTTTTTCTCCTTCCAGTTCAATGACGGCTTTCAACTTCGCTTGTTATAAAAAAGACAGTTTGGGCAGGACACATCTCTGCGATGGCTCCGCTATGGGTAGCATTAACTCTTACAATAAGCCCTTGAGTAATAACCTAGGAACAGAGGATGGGTACAATGAAAATGATTCTGATTCTGAAACATTTTGACTTTTTGGTATTCAAAAAATTTTATTTCGTTACTATTTCCTTTCAGTTTTTTGTTTTTGTTTTTTCTTTGAAGACAGCTTAAATCCCACTGCGATATTCTTAACTATGACTCTTGACAAGTAGGTGTTGAGATTTGTAGTGCTGATGAGAATTAAGCCTTTAAATAACCAAGTTGGGGGCATTTACTGGAACGTATTCCCATTACTGTTCTGTGGCTTTTTGTCTTCCTCGTGTTTTCTTTAGGCCCTAAGTGCCCCTGTGGAAAGTCTCTACCTCTAACTTCAAGTATTAAAAAAAAAAAAAAAAGAAAAAGAAAAAAAGAAGAAAAAAAAAAAGAGAGAAAGAAAATGCCTTTTTTTTTCTTTTTGACAGCACAATTAAACAGGGAATTGTTTGTAAAAAGTACTTAAGTGATTTAGCTGTACTATTAGTACACAAATGTGTTTCCAACGTAGCCTTCATAGCATCATCATTTTTCTCTATCTGTCTGTTTCTTAGTTCCAGGGGCTCTAATAATTAGGTATTTTTTTTCACACAAACCAAAGGTAAAGTTGTAAATCTTAAATCTGCCTGTATTACTTTTTTACAGGAAAAGAAATGTTTTACATTCCGCATGCATTAAGCACTTAAACGTACAGAAGGCACTTTTTTACAGTTATTAGTTACAGCACACAATCAGAAAAATATTAGCTCTTCAGGCCAAATTCTACTTGTCTTAACATATGTCCCACTGATGTTAGTGGAAACACTTGTGAAAATGGAAATGGCTTGGTCCTCCCCCCCACACCTCAATTCAGCACAAGCATGAACAGTTGATTTGCACTACAGAATTAAGGAATTAAGGTCAATAGAAGTTTCTGTCACCTGAGCTGTTAACCAGGAATCTAGCTAGTATCAGAACAGAAACGAAAAATCAGGTGTAGGCAAAGGTGTACATAAAGGTTTGTGATGTCTTGCCAACTTGAAGGGATTTTTTTTTTCCAATGCTTAAATACCTTGTTTTTACTGTAGACAGTATTGATTTTTAAAACACTTTTGCCACTGTTTGGATTGACAGAACAAAGGTAAAGCAATGAAAGCGTAACACCAAAAGTTGAAATACCAAACAGGAGAGAAAACAAAAATGGACCAGGCAGGGGATTGGAGATGCACGCTAAGAGCCTTTTGTCACCAGCTTTGAAAGCAATGTCAGCTTTGTGAATATGTTTACTCCTTCTGCCAAAGTTTCTAGGTCAAATGGACCCCGACCCTCTTCTACAACAGATGTACAAAAGGAAGAATGAGACTTTATAAACAAAACAAACGCCTATCCAAACTAACCAGCTCTACCAAGAGGACCAAAATGCTTCAGTGAATAAATGGAAGACTTTATTGCTTTTATTTTTTCTTCAAATGTGAGTGACATAATGAAGTAGCTTTTCTAAACCACGAAAATATAAACTTTTGAGGTAATGACTAGTCTTGAGTGAATTTTACATTTTATGACACAGGTTTCAAGATGACATTTGTAACTAACAATGTGTTGACCACAGGTTTGTTCTTTTTTTGTTGTTTTTTTTTTTTTTTCAGGCTAAGGAAAATGTTCATATGCTTTTAATGTAAATGTGTTTATATTTATTTGAAATGAAACAAATGCCCAGGAAAAATAACTATAGCTTTTTCTCTATGGTAGTATTTGTGCATATTTTTCAGCATAATGCAAAATTAAATGTGAATCGAGGCAGGAGTGATGGCCTGAGTGGAAAGAAGGGAGTTATGCACTTGGGAAGTGCACCCATCTTACCACTTGGAATACAAAGATGAAGTCCACAGGCTATATTGGTAAAATGCATGATCATTTAAGAGCATAAGAAAGGGATCCAAAACATTGCTAGACAAGTGAGAGAACACTGTACAGCCACAGGAAAGAGGAGAAGGGTAATATAGCATAGAGTGGGATGTTGAAGTTCCAGTGATCAGAATGTCTGCAGGCCTAAGTCTTTGGAGGGAGAGGGAGAAGAGCTGCTGCTTCAGTGTACACTTTTGGCAGGGTAGATGAACAGTAGGGATTTCTAGTTTAGTTGCAGTTTTTAGCTGTGTTCCACTGAACTGTTTAAAAGCTGTCTGCAAACTTCAGTTCTTCAGTTAGAAAAATGATATATTGTTCATTTTGCCTTGCTAAAATTAAGCATTCTTTTCTTGAACAATAATTCATTTCCAAAAATTGCAACAAAAAATCCTGAGAGGCAGCTCTGTGAGGATAATGATGTTTTCCCTGAACCCTGCCTTTTCTGCAGTAGAATGATAGAGCACCTGAAACTGTGGTTTCCTCCTCAGAAATAGCACAGAACATTTTTATCATTGACTTTATTCAAAGTTTCAGCTTGTAAAAGCTGCAAAATAGCAATAACCACCTCACTTCAAGCACTGAAAATAAGAGACAGTTGTTGGTTTTCAGTGGTGTCTGCTGAGAAATGAATGGAAATCCCACATTTTACTACTTTTGTTTCTGTGGAAGGGTGGCATTTAAAATGAACAAACCAATGGGAAATGGCTGGCACCTGCCTGATAGGCAGCACCTTCATCTTACTTCAAACAGAGATTAATCATAGTCCAACCCTGAAATGCAGAGATATGTTATCCTATACGAAATCATTTCATTTGGAGAAAACCAGTCCTCTTTTCAAGGAGGATGTTGTCTTATCTGAAGCAGGCATTCAAAAAGAAAATAAAAACCAGTATTTTTACTCACTGCCACACAGTTACTGAAAATATTTCTGTGTGTTTGCAATACCTCCTAACTCTGGTAACAGGTAGTGCAATATCTGCTGCTGCTTACGATGGATGCAGTGTTACAGAAGCATAGGTGATTACTGAATTAATTTGTACCTTCTAGGAATCAAATCTGAACTTAATTGAGAAATCATTTCTGTAACCCAGTGGTGACGTAAGTACTCAATACTCCAGAAATCTTGGAAAAGTATGATGTGTTGGCATCCTAAGGGCATTGGGAAAGCCGTGTTCTGAGCATGGTGTTCTTAGGAGAAGGGACAGGAGCAAGGCGCTTGGATGTACGCAGCATTGGCCTGCCTCAGATCTCACCTGAGTTGCCAGAATCCCTTTTCATGTATGCCAATACGTTAAGCTGTAATATAATTTATCGCTTGTAGCAGTTAATTAGTTATTTAGGGCATGGGAATAATTTTACTCTTGTAAATAATTACCTTGCCTTTCTGTGGACGTTGTACGAGGGTAGAGTTAATCACACATAATTGTTGCACTTAACCCCAGATCCTGCAATTTGCAGTAGATGGACTACTGCTGTATCTGCACCAAACAGTGGGTGTTTGGTACGGGCAGCAGCCTGCCCAGCTTTATTAGCAGGATGGTCCCATCCTGTGTTTTAACCACAGTCGCAGGTGGAATCCATGGCGGGATTGGGTCCGTGTCTCTCTCACAGATACTGAGTTACAACCTCCGGACTGCCTGAATTGCTGTGAAATAGCTCAGGGGATTTCTGCTCATCGCTACTAAAAGGGCACCATAATGTGTTTGGTACTTTTATGCAGTAAACCACTGCCAGATGATGAAAGGAGGACAAACACATGAAATGAACCGTTTATCCATTGTACTGTTGAGAAACTCGGTTGTGTATCTTGACGATGATTTTAAAAAAGAAATTGTGATTTTTATTCTTAGTCTTGTAAGAAATATTAGAGTGCCTTTTTATATTTGCGTATGATGGAAATGTTTTGTGGAAGTTGTCATTTTTTTTTTTTGTTGTTGTTGTTTTTCCTCCTCATTTGAGTGTTACAGAAGCAATATATCACCAGTAAATTTTCATTTCAAACCTTCTTTGAATGTACAAAGTGTTTCTCCTTTTCGTATGTTCTACCTGCATTGAAATGAAAATCGATATGCTAAATTTCTATAGGAATAACGTCTAATTTTTGCAGTGCTGAAAAGGCTTTCTTATTACACAAAGTAAACCTTAGGTCAGTGTTATAGGAAAGGGCGTTTGAAACTAGTGACAATCCGAGCGTGCGTGTAAATGTGACTTTATGCGTTTGTATGCAGTGATTACATATTAAAGCCAATATCTCATGTTTTGTAGGTTTTGTCTCATATCTTATGCTTTAGCATGTGCAATATATCCTTACAACCCACGGTGATACGAATCTGGTGCCAGTGTTATATTTTGCATAACGTTTGTAATAAACGATATGAAATGTTGTTGCATCGTTTCGGTGGGGTTCTGTCGGTATTGTTTTCTTTTGTAAACGGCAGCCTTCGGCTCGACGTCCCGTATTCCCGAGGCAGGATGCGGCGCCTCAGCCCGCCCCTCTCAAGCACAGTTTGTTAACTCCTTTCAACTACTGAATGCTGTATTAATGTAACGAGAAACCCCACCCGTGAACTACACTTGATATGCATTCAGATGGTTATTTTTACAAATAAAAATGGTACAAATACTGTCAGAAAAACGGAGTACGTTTTGTTTGTTTATTCAAATGAGGGGAACGCGTAAATATTCAGCGCGGGGGCGGTGCTCCGAGGGCGCTTCGTTTAAAGAACGGGAAGCGGCCCCGCTCCCGCGATGCCGGGACGGTGGTTCTCCCGCACGCGGCACCGAGCGGAAGGCGGCGGCGGCAGCGCACCCTGAGCTCCCCATCACGGCACGCGCGGCCGCCCCGCCACGGGCGGACCTGTGAGGAAGTGCCGGTCCAGCGCCCGCCCTTCCCAAGATGGCGGCCGCCCGCTCCGCCTCCCGGGCGGTGCCGGCCCCGCCCCGCCGTGTCTGCGCGCGGACGGCTGGCGAGGAGAGGCGGCCTCCGCGCCGCTTCGCAGCTCAGCGTGGCGGGGCGCCATGGGGCGGGCTGGCCGGCGGCTGCCCGCCGTGGCGGCGGTGCTGTACGGGGCTCTGGCGGCGCTGGTGCTGCTGGGGGTGCGGGATGTGCTGTTCGTTTACGAGGAGAACCGGTGCAGCATGACCTACATGTACGAGTACCCCGAGTACCTGGTGAGCGGGGGCTGCGCGGGGAGGGAGGCGGCGATGGCGTAACAGGTGGCGGCTGCCGGGCGGGTGAGGTGGCATCGCGCCGCCCCGCGGCTGTCGGGGCCTCACCGCTCCGCCGGGGCGCAGCCGGGGACGGCTCTCCTCGGCCCCGTCGTGCGGTCGAAGGCAGCTGTAGGGGGACGGCTGCTGGCGGCTCCGAACTCGTGTGTGCCCGGCGTGCTGCTGTCGGGAAGGGGGCTGCAGCCTGGGCGAGTTGTGGGGCTGGGCGGTGCGCCCTGAGCGGCTAGAAAATAGCCATCTACTTGTGGGGTTACGTGTAGTGCTGTCACCTGCGCAAAAGAAGACCAAAGATTGCTGCTTTTTCCTCTACCTGGTAGTTATAGGTGTGTTATTTGTGATCGCGGTGAGACCAGTCAGGGGCACGTTCCTCTTGTGTAAGAGGAATTGGTCGGCCAGGTGCTCCATCAGCACAGTGCGGAGCCGTCGGTGCTCGCAGGCCGAGGCTCGTTCCGTCTCACGGTCCTTGCGTGCTCTGCGGGGTGCCAGGCGGCTGTATGAGGAGGGGGAAGCTCAGCCGTCAGCCTGTGCCTCGGGTCGGCGAGCAGAGGCGCTCAGGTGAGCGCTGCCGGCAGCTGGGAGGGCTGCGCGCCTGATGGGGCTTTGCTGACGAAGCCTTTGTAAAAATCTCTTTGGAAATCTGCTGTACTGAAGCGGTGCGTTCATTTTGGATCAGTTAATGTGTGTCTGGTAACCTTGGTATGGTCAGGTCGTTTCGATGGTGGCATCCAGAAGAGAGCTGCTTGAACAATTTTACTCTACCGTGCTGACAAAGAACGCAAACACTTAAACATCATGCAGTAAATTTTGAGGTCTCCTGGTAGCCAGACCCTACTTCAGGTTCAGTCTGAAGCCACCAAATCAAAGTTACTGGCAAAATCCTAGAATGGTTTGTGTCGGAAGGCACCTCAAAGATAACCTGCTTCCAACCCCTGCTGTGGGCAGGCTGCCAGCCACCAGCTCAGGATGCTCAGGGCCCCGTTCAGCATGGCCCCGAACGGCTCCAGGATGGGGCACCCACAACTCCTCTGGACAGCTGTGCTAGTGCTTCACCACTTTCTGAGTGGAAAAATTTCCCACATCCAATCTATATCTTCCCTTTCTCAGCTTAAAACTCTTCCTTCTTGTCCTTTCATTACCTACCTGTGTTTAGAATTGATTTTTCTGCTGCATGTAAGCTTCCTTTAAGGAAGAACTATATCTATATCAGGTCTCCCCAGAGCCTCCTTTTCTGCAAGCTGAATGAGCCCAACTCCCTTAGCCTGTCCTCGTAGGAGAGGTGCTCCAGCCCTCTGATCATCCTCATGGCCCTTCTGTAGACCCGTTCCAACAGCTTGGGATCCTTCCTGCACTGGGGGACCCAATGAATACAGTACTCCAGATGGGGCCTCACGAGGGCAGAGAAGAGGGGGACAATCACCTCCCTGACCCTACTGGCCACAACATCTGGATGTTATCAGGCGTAGCCTGAAATTACCATCTGCCAGCACACACCTTCTATGTTTACTTGCCATGTCAGTGCTTGTATTCTCCATAACATAGGTTCTGTGCTGTAAGAAGTGTGAGGCCCGGGATGAGCACAGGGACAGGGAAGTGGCAGCAGCTCCATGTGGAGCCATGCACATCACGTGTGGCTGTGCTGCTGCCTCTCACAGCAACTGCTCCCAGAGTAAACTCTGACTGTGTGGAAAGCAGTGCTTCCTGAGGATAATATCAACTTGTTTGGGTTAGTGAAGTCATCGTACCTTTCAGCTACCTGCTTGTTCTTGGAGGGGTTGTTTGTTTTCATTTTAACGCATGGACTTTGCAGTGCTGCCATTGGTGTGACGTTACCAGGCAAAACTATCAGGTAGGGGTGCCTGTTCTTTCTGGTTTGGGTGTTGCATTACACAACAGGCAGTTCCTTGAACACTGAAGCACAGTAGGTTTGATTTTCTGGAATCCATGTTTTTCTTACAGCTCGCTGTTGAGCTAATACCAAGTAGAAGAATATTGGCATGGATTTTTGTTTTTCTTCTTAACCTTTTTATTTCTCTCTTCTTTTTTTTTTTCTTCCCTCTCACCCTTCCTCCTTCCCTCCCCTCCCATCCCCCAGAGTTGTAAACCACAACATTTGAGTATAACCAATCCTTGTCCTGTTGGGCTCACCTCAGTGAGAGATTCCAAAGTTGGTATGGAGGGCTTTTTCCCATACGCCTTATTTCCATGGCAGTAAGATGAAAAAGGAAGCCTACATTGACATTGTAACAAATTGCTGTGACTCATTACAGCAAATTATGTAACTGAGGTCCTGGGAATTCAAGACCTAAAACCCCCACATGGAACAGGGCGGCCTGCTTCACACTTGGACTCTGTCACCATACTGTTGTAATAGTGGGGCTCCTCAATTTGCAGGAAGAAAACACCAATACTGTGGCTGTACAGTTCTCATGGTTTGTGTAGGTTTTTGCTTGGGATGTTGACCTGAAGGTGACAGTTTGTTTGGCTTTTATGTTACCTGAAAGCTTTTGACAAACCAGAATGGTGCCGTGGAGGAGCAGCTGAACAGATTATTTGGCCAGTTGGGAAGTGTATTTAGCTTACTAATGAAGGCTTGTTTCACTTAATGCAAGGATGGGTCTGTGCTTTTTTTTTGCACAGAAACCTGAATGCCTTTGAAAAAGGAGATTGTATGGGTGATCTGCAAGCGTCAGGCCTGAACAGAGCCCAGTGCTTTTTGTTCAGAGTGAAGGAATTACAACTATTTGTGTGTATTTATAATGTGATATATGTATACGTATACGCACATTACAGAAAACTTGAGATATATCTTAATCTTCCATTACAAACGTGTATGGAAGACCATAAGGGGGGGTTGCCAATAGCTGGTATGGGAAACAGTTTGAAAACTGAGGGAGAAAGGAAAAGGTCCTCAGTTAAGGAGGAACAGACAGGGAATAAGAGGGGAAGGGAGGAGTGATACATGGGGGAAAGAAGTACAGCTTCCCCATAGGCACAGCTGAGAGGAAACTGAGGCAGAGCTGCTTCTGTGTAGGCAAAGCTCTCAACGGAGACCTTAGAGACATTTTTTGATGCAAAACTGAGTTTAATTCTTTTCTTGCTGCATAAAATAAAATGTTTCCTTAAGACAAAAATTGCACCTTAACATATTTTAAATTATATTTGTCTCTGATGTGCCATGGATGGTAACATAAGTAAGTGAGAGCTATAAGTAATGTCTTCGTACTTCTAGAAGTGTTATAAATCTTTATCTTGGAAACCTGAAATTACAAACCAACCAATATCTATAGGGAAGTGAATTAGATGTTTTCTTGCTTACTGCTTATCTAGTTTAGAGCAGTGTCAACAGGGCTGTGAGAGCTGTGACTCCCTGCCCTAAGCTTTAAGCAAGACATCAGGTTCCACGAGGTTTTGTTCTTTGCTCTTTGGGAACTTGTAGTGCAGTGTTCAGTGTGGTGTGGGTCGGTTTTTCAGTTAGTTTGATTTTTTCAAATACAAGAAATACGACATTTTAGGATATCATTTGGCTGTAAATTGGCTCTTGAGATTTTACCAGTGTGTGTCTGTGGCCCAACCGACTGACTCCGAAGACTAGAACTCCTCAGGTTGAAATGGGCTTCTTTCTTTCTGCTCAGCCATGTTCACGCGGTTAGCTCTGTTGTTTAAGTTCGCGTTACAGATGATGTCTCCATAAGAATCACTGGAGACAGTTCCTGCTCCCTATGTGGTTTTCCCCTCACAGAAATTGCTGTCACTTCAATAGTCACACTCTAGAGATTCAGCCTCAGTGCTGCATCAAATAGTGCAGGGTTGTTCTGAGTTGTGTGATGTCGGACATGACTCCAGAATCATCCAAAGGCATTAGAAATAAGTAATTTGGATCACACAGATGTCCCAGTTCCTGGTCTCAAATCTCTTGTCCTGGGAGATGCATTTATGGTTTAACACTTTTTTCACCTGAGGCACAAGGCAAAGTTTGCTTGGAGTGTGCAACTGCGGAATTGTAATTGCAGTCATGCTGTTCAAATCCAGTTAAAGTCAGGAAGTGTTCCAAGGAGCTGGGTGTCAGAGTTTGGTTCCTTTAAGCTTAAGTCAGCATTCAGAAACAGAATCGCAGAATGGCCAGGATTGGAAGGGACCTCAAGAATCACAAATCTCCAACCCCCTGCCACAGGCAGGGCCACCAACCTCCCCATTTAATCCTAGACCAGGCTGCCCAGGGCCCCATCCAACCTGGCCTTGAACACCTCCAGGGACGGAGCATCCACAACCTCTCTGGGCAGCCTGTTCCAGCACTTCACTCTCTCTGTAAAGAACTTCCCCCTGACATCCAACCCAAACCTCCCCTCCCTCAGCTTAAAACCATTTCCCCTTGTCCTACAGTGATCTACCCTTTCAACGAGTTGGTTCCCCTCCTGTTTGTAGGCTCCCTTTAGGTATTGAAAGGCTGCAATGAGGTCACCCTGCAGCTGCCTTTTCTCCAAGAAACAAATGTTACTTAGTTTTCTGTGACTGGGTGAATTTCCAGGCGTCAGGGTCTTCATGTTCACAGCTTTCATGCAGGATACATTGTAATGAGAGCATGCTAATAGTCCAATCTGCATCAGCAGTGCTTCAGTAAGTCTGGAGCCCCTACGCCTTGTTACTGGGTGCAGGCCGCCTCCTTTGTATTGAGTTCATGTGTCCTCAAAGGTAGTATTTTAATTCTGTGCTGCATTTTTCTTTTGCAACAGAAAATAAAATTACCGAAGAAAACAGCCAGACGATATCCAGCGTATGAGCTCTACCTCTATGGAGAAGGGAATTATGCTGAAGAAAACAAGAATCTGATATTGACAGGCATTCCAATTCTCTTTCTTCCTGGAAATGCTGGCAGTTACAAACAAGGTAAGCCTTTGGTAAATTACAGCCCATCTGCAGAGTAGTTATGCATTAGGTGATGGCAAGGGGTTTTCTATTTGAAATAGCATCAACAGGGGCTGTAACATCAATCTGCTTATGGCAGGGAAAATCTTTATTAGTCCAGGTCCGTTTCAAGCAAAGTGTTTTACTTTCTGTAAATGCTTACAGACTTGTAGAGAAAATAATATCCAGAGGAGGTTATAAATATCATGATAATGGGAGATACTGTATGGAAAACTGATGGTGTATAATGTATTGCAAAGCTGCTGTGAAGCAATACTGTCTCAAAAAACATGGCAGAACAGGAAATAGAATGGTACCTGCGTGTAGGGGAGGTACGAAGAACAAGTTTGGTGAGTTGCAGTACTGTTACATGCCACAGATAACACGCTGCTTTACAGTAGAACCTCTAAAATCTATTCTTTGTTTTGAGAAATTGATTTAAGGAGACTGGCAGTAAGCTGGGCTCATTTTTCAAAATCTTTGTTAAAATAATTCTGTTCTGCCTTCATCACTGGCTCAGAATAGATTACTGCTGTGTTGTTGGTGGTGGGGTTGTTTTTATTTTTTTGCTTTAAGAGGATTTGGCATGAGAATTCATATTTGATTTAGTATTTATTATGGGACAATACCTTTTAAGTCTGGTGCCTTGCTGCAGAGCAGAGTTGCTGCTAACTGTTATTCACAAGCTTTTTGAAACTGTGCTCATGTTTGCTGAGAAGTGAAAGCGGAAGTGCTGCTGCTGGGCTTCTCCTTTGGTATGTTCTGGGCACTTCTGAAAGATGAGATTTCATTATCTTTCATGGGCACTGAAACCAAGCTTTTAAAATTTCCAAAATTCAGATTTCGAGTACAGGATGATAGTCTGGTTGAAATATTGGGAACGAACCTGAAACTGGGAGGTTAGAGATCCCTGTCACAGATGTGGAACGCAGTGAGAGTTCTGCACTGTGAATGAAGGCTGTATTAAGCAGCAGCCTGGGTGGATGACAGGTCAGAAGCAAGGCCTTGTCAAAAGGGCATTTTGTCCCTCAAGATATCAGGTGTGAAAAGTGTTCTTTGTGCTTTCATTTCCCTCTCCATTGGAAATGTTGTTCTAAAAGTTGATGGTCCTCAAGAAATTTTAGAAAGCCCTAGCAAGAGCATTGTCTGCAGAGCTGAGGGATTTCTGCATTTTGCATTCTCACCCTCTTGGTGATAAGGTGCGAGTGAAGTCTTTAGGAAGAGAAGCATAATCATTGATCTTGTATCCGATTTAGACATTGTGTCTATGTAGTCAGCTGCTGAGAGCAGCAGTTCTTGCTAGTTCACTGCAACCTTCTTTGCCATCTCATCAGATGTATTCTTTTCCACCTTCTTCTGTAGGCTTCTATTATAATTATTTACTAATACTTCTTTGTATTACAAGAATTCTTACAAAAACAGAAAATAAATTTTCCATTGTCCATTTAGCAATTTGGTACTGTCTTTGGCCAGCTGATACTTTGTTCTATTTATTTATATATTCAAGTCAGCTGTTGTGACACAAAGTCGGATTGCATTTAGAAAAACATTTGAATGTTTTTGAACACATTTGAATGTGTTTTTCATCCTCTTTTTTATGTAAGACTTGAGTTTAATTATACATTTAAGATAGCATTTGTTAATAGATAACATATTTATGTGTCTATGTATGAATTATGATGTAAGGATTGTCTAATGGTCGCTGCTTAATTGATGTGATTTCTTTCCCTAGTGCGTTCTCTTGGCTCCATCGCTCTTAGAAAGGCAGAGGATCTTGACTTCAAGTATCATTTTAATTTCTTCAGTGTCAACTTTAATGAGGAGTTGGTTGCATTGTATGGTGGTACTCTCCAACGGCAGACCAAATTTGTGCATGAATGCCTAAAAGTAATTCTTAAGTTGTACAGGGTAAGGAGTGACATATTCTAAACTATTTACTTTTGTTTCTGAATGGAATGCTGACCTGTCTGTTCTGATTGGAAACAGAAGAACGTTGAATAAGGAGGGACAGTTTATGATGTATTGAACATGCCAATAATAGAAGGGAGAAATACTCTGTTTTAATAGGTTTGTACTGCTTGTGATAATCCCGAAGTCTGGGTTAGGTTTTATGTTGTTTCAAAACAAATTCTTCCATTGAAATACGTGCCTTTTTGTAGCAGAGCATTAAATTTTCCCTAACTTATTTTAGTAGTAGTATAGCATCACCTTCCATCTGGTTTTTCCTAGAAAAGTTTTCTGCTAGCCTGTGTCATTCTAATTAATATTATCCTTGAGGGAATGCAAGTGAATTTGAGGAGAAAAATGGACAGCTGTTAGCCAGAGGAGATTTGTTTAATGCTAAATCTGTTCTTGATATGCTAATTACCCTCTGGTCTTTGCTTCAGGGTCAGGAATTTGCACCAACCAGCGTCGCCATAGTAGGTCATTCCATGGGTGGTCTTGTTGCAAGAGCACTGCTTACCCTGAAGAATTTTAAGCCCGAACTTATAAACCTCCTCATTACACAAGCTACCCCTCATGTTGCACCTGTAATGCCTTTGGACAGATATCTTACTGGTAAGGACTGCAATTTGCCTAAATACATTCTGTTTCTTTACTGATTTTTCTCTAGCATTAACAGGTGAGATTCTTGCAAATTGCTGTGGCCTTGCAGCAGCTTTTGTGTGCAAAATGTACTGTTCTGTTTACTGTCATTAATCTATTCCTTTCTTATTATGATGGTTGCTTGAGAGCACTCAGCTACTGAAAGTGTGGTATAAAATTGACTTTGTGGATTTGAGCTCCTGTGAAGGGGCTGAGAGTCTAAATATAAACTTAATAAGCTGTAGAGCACGTAACTAAATTTATAAGCTCTGCAGAGCATGATATTCTTTCTTTTTTTGTAAAATTTGACCTATGGAATGACTTTATATATTAAATAAACTGACTAAATGGGGATATTTTTGTGGAAGTTGTTAAATTTAATGCTTATTGCTCTCAGTCAGGGAGAAGGAATGTTGAATATAGATAAAATTATGTTTTACATAATGTATTTTCATAAAAGCAGCAATTTATTGTCTGCTCTATAAGAGAAGTACAGTCATTATTTATGTACTGTTAAGTTATTAGAATGATAGATTTTACTAAATAGTGCTGATAAATATATGCTATGTAAGTGAAAATTGTTCCTTGTAGATATCAAAGGAATTAGTGAAGGAAAAGAGTAGATGTTTATTTTCTTTGTTCTTTATGGCACCCAGAGGAAATGGATCATCTGTAGCTGCTGGATTTGATTTACTGTATTTGTATTAATCTTCTACAACTGATTATAATACTTCTTCATTGCTGTTTCTGGACTACAGCTGTACTTAAAATAAACCTGTGATTTGCTACTTAAATAATGTAAATGCTCAGCTAACGTAGGAAGTGTGTCTGTCTTTCCCAACTGCTACCTCCTTGGGGTTAAAACAGCAGTTAAAACAGAGTGATGCTTGGATCTTGAATGTCTTTAGGGGAGCTTACAAAAACTTCTAGTTGAACATTTTTATGGTATGTTTGTATTTAAAGCAGATGTGTGGAAATTATCATTAATTGTGATCTATCTTACAGATTTTTATACAGCTGTAAACAATCACTGGACTCTAAAGGCCCAAGATTTAAGAAATTTAACTACCCTTTCTGTGGCGGGAGGATTCAGAGATTACCAAGTTCGTTCAGGACTGGCTTTTCTACCAAGACTGAGTCAGCATGACAGTGCCTTATCTGTTGTGGTAAAAAAACAACAACAACAACAACAAAAACAAACTTTTTTTGCTTTTGCATGGAGCTGTGTTAAGTAGCTATTTATGTAACGCATGTATCAGTATGTGATTTTAGTCTGAATATGTAGTCTAGTGAAACAAAATATGAGTAATATGTGTGAAAAAGTATATAACACATAGTGCTCTAAGTAGTTAATGTAGCAGAAAGCAGTGTTGCTTGGGCTGTTTCTTTTCATCACCTTCTTGCACTTTTCTGTTCTAAACTCAGTCTTTATTTTCTCGCATTTTGCAAGAGGTGTGTATGTGGAAACTAACAGAAGGAATGTAAAAGTATAGAGTAGAGTTCTTGTTTGATTACAAAAGGACAACTTTGTCATTGAGCCGCCTTTTTTTTTTCCCTAATTGTTTATTTTTGAAAGAACTTAGCATTTTCTGGACCATCTAGTCCAGCCTTCTGCTTTTACAAGCATCTCTTTCCAGTGTTAATCAAACAATGTCATAGAAACAGTTTCGTTTTTCATTCCGTGCCTCCTACCTACCTGTTGCCTTCATGAAAGACACTGGAAAACACTCCCCAGTAGGGTTTGAAAGAAAAATTGCAGCTTCCAACTTTCATCTAGTGAGTAAGCCAGGTTATAAGTGGGTTTGTTCTGACATCAACTTGAAAAGTTATCTGCAGTAGTTTCTGTTTGATCGGTGTTTCCCTCCTTGTTCTTTGTGAAGAAGCTTGTGTATAAATAATCTCAGCTCTAGTTCTGCGAGGCTAAGAAGATTAACTCTGCGTTTGTCCTAGTAGCCTTCCTCTGCTTCTGCTGCACTTGCATTGCTCTTGAGCATTGGTCACCAGAATTTTGCATGAGATCCCCTATGTAGTGGTGCCAGTTCTTTATTGTTTTGTCATCTGGATGTAACGACGCACACTATGTTACCATAACATGGTGGAGTGATTTGTTTTGCTTTATTTTTTTCTTTGTGGCTGTAATTCGCAGTTCTTTGTAGTTTACTTGAATTGAGTTGTACTACTAGCTGATAATCCCTGTTTATGGGAGGTTTTTTATGTTAGCCCCTAAGTGCAGTAGGTGCACTTGTACAAACATATAGCTCCAGACCATCCAGCCCTGTCTGCACGATGTTCTCATGATCCTTTATTTTAAGGATGTCCTTGATTTTTCAGCAGCAGACTTCACTGGCACGTTTCTGTTCTAATATGCCAGGGTCACTTACAAAAATAAGTAAGATTAGCCATAGAAGCAGTCTTTGAAGATTTTTTGGTAAGTTTATTCTTGAACATAATTCGTCCTTTCACCACTAGGCTCCTCTATCTAGTATAGATACTTCCTTAGTCGTTTTGTTTTGCAAGTTCTTATTTTTGCTGAAGTAAACAAGGTTTTGGTCTGAAGATGCAATTCTCTTCAAACCCTTTCCCTGAAAATCTTCTTAATTACCCAAATAGATCCATGTGTGACATGTGGATCTGTAAGCATTCAGCCTCCTGTGACATGCCCATGGCATCACCAAGGCAGCTGTGATGCCTTGTGCCCAAATTGCAGCAATGCTGGTGTTATTTTGATGACATATCTTTGTACTGATATCTACAGTACAAGCTGTATTAAATAGATTTACAGGAAAAAAAAAACCACAACAAACATGCTTAGTATTTTTAAATACTGAATATCAAAAGAATGTCTTAACTCTATTCCTTCTCCAGAGTTCAGCTGTGCCTCGGGCTTGGGCCTCAACAGACCATCTCTCTATAGTGTGGTAAGCAAATGAGACAAAAGTTAATTGGCTGACCAAACATCTCTCTGTTCTCTATTCTTCTTACATTATACAGCGATGTTGTGTCAGCATAGTATTGTCTCTTCCTCTTTATTCCCCTGGATATTTTCTTTCTAGATTTAAATTTATAATTCTGTTTTTCAGGTGCAAGGAATTGATCCTGGCTACCATCAGAGCTTTTTTTGATCTCATAGATGAGAACACAAGGCAGGTTTGTAAATGTGATCCTGTACGTAATCCCCAATCCTGTACATTTTGTTTTTCCATCAAAGAATGCTTAATCAGAACAAATAACACCCTGATAGACTGGAGGCTCACTTTTGATTTTTTTTTTTTTTTTTTTTTTTGCTGTGTCATGCTGAGAGAATTGTTACCTTTTTGGTACCAGTCTCTGAAAAAATCCCACGGCTTTGTGTTATTTGCTCAAGGTGTCAGAAATAATTAGATGTTATATTAATTTTTATTCTTTTATAAATAATTATTACTTGATGTTTTATAGCTGGAGTATGGACTAAACTTTTATTCACTAATGCAGTAGGTTTAGTTGACCTTGCATCGTAACAAACAGATTTTGAATGGAACCTCTTAGTGTCTTCAACTCCCCTTTTATACCTCATGTATAAAGGATGAAAAACTGTGGTAGTTTATCTCAGGCATGATGCTACTCAAACTTTCCCATGTGTTGTCATAATGGCTGGCAAATAAATACAAATACTAGCACAAAGAAAAGCTAATGTTTTTATCTCCTGTTACCATCACTTATTTCATTTCTAAATAAATATCACACATCCTACTTCTTGAAGACTGTTGGGAAATCTGCCATTATACTCTGTTCTCTTTCTGTGGTGTTAGGCAGCAATAAATCAGAATTGGGATTAAGGTCCAGAGCTTGGAAATATGCAAGAGCAGAGCCCCAGGCATAGAAGAGGAAGGCTTACAGATGTTTGGTTTTTGGTTTTCCAGAATCCATGGTACAGATTTCACTGGTTTCTTAAGTATGCTCACTTCAACATGAGATTTATAGAGATAGAAAGGCGTTGCAGTTGCTCTGAAGTTGACTGACAGTGTGCTGGAGCGTAAAACTTTACAGAAACCCACTGTAATGTCCACGGTGTTGAAGAAAAAACATTAGTCTCTGTGATTTGATTTTTGGGATAAAAAACAAATTAGAACAAAAGCAAAGCCCAGCATAGACTTAGAGCTGTTTGGGTGGCGGAAAAATATTCAATGAGTTGTATTAAGCTAGAATTATAACCCCAGATAAGTAAATATAAACCTAAGGATTTTCAACTCTGCTAAAAGTGTGATATTTTGAGAAGAAGGTATGAGTGTCTAATTAAATAATACTATTAATTATAGTATAATATCAAGGAAGACCTGATAGCAGCTTTTCAGTATCTAAAGGAAAGGAACAGACTCTTCAGCAGGGCATATTGTAACAGGACATGGGAAAATGGCTTCAGTGTAAAACGGATGACGTTTAGATCGGATATAAGTAAAAGGTCTTCTAAGATAAAGGTAGTGAAGCATTAGAACAGGTTGCTCAGAGAGGTGGTGGATGCCCCATCCCTGGGGGCGTTCAAGGTTCAGCTGGAGCAGGCTTGGAGCAGCCTGATGTAGGGTAGATGCCCGTGTTTGTTGCAGGGAGAGTTGGACTAGATGACTTCTAAAGGTTCTTTCCAACTCAAATGGTTCTGTGATTAATAGTGCGGTTTCCTTGTGTTAAGAGCAGGCAAGAATACAAAGCACCCCTAAACTGTATTCCTACAGATCATGGCAGTTATTTATGTATTTGTTTGTTTTTAAGATAACTGAGGATCCCAAGAAGAGAATGTCCGTGTTGAATCACCACTTTGTTAGACACCCTGGAAAGATATTTGAGGAAAATCCTGAAGCTTTCACAGAACTTACAGGTGTGCAGCAGTTTTCTCCTAAACAGGATTCAGTGATACTCCTTGGTTAAGAGTTGATCTTCTCACCAGCAAACTCTTGAAATAAAGTTTGTCCTTTTTTAGACATTGCTAAAATAATAATATAGGTTTTAAATGTAAACTGGTCAGTGTTTGTATGGTTTCCAGCACTAAATAGGTTGAAAGTGTTAGGGGCAAAAATAAGCGTGTTGTTTTTATATGCCTTTGATTCTGAGGGACGTGCTAAATAGACACATATACCAAGATGTCCAATAGAAAGTCTCAGAAATTGGGTGTAGCTGGACATTAAAAGTACAGTGTAATATATGCTTACATCCCATCGTTGTTTGAGAGATAGTGTGAGTATTGTAGAGCCACTGTGATAATTCTGTGCTACTTAAGAAAATTCTGAATGTCCTGGGCTACTTTGTCAATGACTTCCTTTTCATAACTGTGTCAAGTAGTAGGGCAAAATGCATCACCTACTGGTGGTTTTCTTGTTACAGACAAGGTTTCAACCACTGAGTTGACAGATAAGAAATCTTGAGCGTGTGAATTTTCGGGAGCTAAAAAGATGTTTTTATAGGGCACAGGTGTATTCCTAGATCTGCTGAAGAGCTCTGAACTGAGGAAAACCATTTTATTTCAGAAATGTTTAAAATGTAAACTATTGCAGAGCTTCTGAGATAGCTAGAACTTTGGTTTCTGGTTTTGGCCACCCTCTTATGAGAAAGTACTTAGGCACTGATGTGCTGGAGTGTGTCCTGCAGAGGGCCATCAAAATTGCTAGCTCCTGGGGAGCTGTGTTTGTTCACACCAAATGAGTGATTACCTTATTCTGGTTTATTAATATTAACCTTCTTGCACAACAACTTGCATAGTTTATATATCCAGTCTATTTTTTATTGTATTATTCTTTTTCTCCACCTGTGTCTTTAAACTCCTACTGTTTTCTTGTACGTGGTATTAAGCTCATCTTTGACTTACTTTCACATAAGTTTCACATAAATATTAGTTTTCTTGTAAGGATGATGGAAACAAAAATTGGGGATGTTTCCAATGCTGCCTCATTTAATGTCTGTCACCCTGTAATTGTGTTTATGTTACATGGTTTCTTGTTTATTTTGATTTTCTGTGAGCCTTATTTTGAAATCCATAGACTTTTTCGTTTACAACTAATATGTAGTAATGGGATCCTAGAGTTATGTTACTTCCTGTGTAACTGACAATAACTATTGCATATAATTTTAAGAAGCAGCAAGCCTGTGAATGGATTAGAGCTTATAAAATTTAAGGCCACTTAAAGATGAGAGACAAGACTTAGGCAATAAAAAAAAAGATGAGATTTGAAAGATAAGGAAGAATATTTCCTTCAGGTGACAAATAAAAATTTATTTGTTTTTTAGGAACTTTCATGTGGATTGAAGTCAAAACCTCAAAATGGACTTATTCAGCTTACAATGTAAGTAACATTTTTCTTCGTTGTGTTTTTATGTTTGTCCTCTTCACTAATGAGTTCTTTTTTTTTCTTTTAAGGATTCTGATGGAAAATATTTCACATTTCCTCTTGCAAGCCACAGAGAATCCTACAGTCATGTTTACTGTGAAAACACTATGTTGGTGAGATGATACTTATCGTTCTCTCTGGAATTTGTTTATAGATTTGTATGGTGTTAATTTGGATTCACTGCATATTTTAAGACAATTTAGTGAATAGTAGTTGAAATTAATAACATCCACTTGCAGTCACAGCCTATGCTTTGCATCAGATGTACTTTTTGTTTTAGCATGTCATGCTAAGTGTTTGAGGTGTGAAACCTTCCATACCACCTGAACTTCACTGTCTTATTTCTGGCTCTATTACTCTGAGCTCCAGATTGCTTTCTTCTTTAATTTGGTATAGCTGTATTGATTGCTTTAGATGAAGAAGTTATTTTCAGTGTTGCCAGGATTCAGCCATACTTGTAAATCAGGAAGGCTGTTTATATGTTTGCTTCCCCATGATAACATTGAAGCAAGTCAGAAATTCTACAGAAATTTTCCACTAGGCAGTGGAAGTGAATGAGAGCCAGCTGAGAATATAGCACCTTCTCAGCTGTTGCCTTTGTGGAGAGCTGATAGCATACGTTGTATTTTTAGTTCTACACGTATTGTTTCAGCCAAGATGTTTTTGAAATAATTTAAAAGATATTTTTGAAAAGAAGGAACGTAATCTCTTGGCAAACTGGAGATTGATAAATACACCTCTTAGAATTACAGGACTGTTTTGGATTAGTGGCAAGAAAATTTAAATGCTTTCCTTTTCCATCCTTCCCATCCTCCTTACTGCAAAAGAAAAGGTTCAGACCATTGTTATGGAGAAGAGTGTATATCCTCAGAGCTTTTCTATTTGTTCTTATCAGGAGCAGCTTCAAAGTCTTTACTTCTATTTGCCAAACGTTGGATTTGCTTTAAGAGAATAGTATTGGTTCATAAATAGAGAAGATGGCAAAAAAAAAAAAGGAAATGGTTCCTGAAAAAAGAAACAACACCTTTCACAGTGACGTTTCATCCTTCCACAGCTGGAATTCCAATATGATGATACCAGACTTCACGTTGACTTCTGTTAGTGCACAAGTCTGACTTGGCTGTGAAATGGAAGAAAAAAAAAGTTAATGGATACATTTCATTAAAAGCAACTGAAGTTTAAGGGAGACCACTTTTGTCACCATTCTTGCTTTTGCACTTGAGCTGATTAAATCCTTAAGAGAGTTTGGTTGCTATAGAGATAGCCACTGCAGATGTACTGAGCAGAAGATGAGTGAGGTGAAGGGTGGAAGTTTGTTTCTCCTTTGTAAATTAATTGCAGCAGTTTCTTCTATCAAAGAGTTTTAGAACAATTGGAATACTGAAGCTCTTGCCTTGTTTGAGTTCAAGAATTACTATTTTTAATCTATCTATAAATTCACACATCAGTAACGTACTTCATTATGGTGTTGCTGTTACAGGACACAAGTAGCTGGATTTATGGCTGTATGAACAGCAATTCTTCAGTCTGGTGAGTATAAACAACTTTTTATTTAAATAGATCTTGTAAGACTACATTTCAGTTTTTGAGCACATAAAATACATTTTTTAAGAAGAAATTGGGAACAAAAGTAGAATTACTGCTGTTAATAACTTGTGCTTTCAGCAGGAAAACAGAAAAGATAGGCTTTCTCAAAATATCTGCATGAATGCAGAATATAATGAGTGAAGTTTCTTTAGCTGTATGTTTGATTTTTATAGCAGTAAAAAGTTGCTCCTGTTGCTCTGTGCTATATTGGATCCTAAATTGTGTGTTTTGTAACATCTCTTTAAAATCCTGTGACAAAGACATAAAACACTTACTTGAAGCCCTCAAAAAATGAAGTGTCTTTTTTATTTTTTTCATGTTTCAGAATTGCTATTGCTTTATTATATGAAAATATTTAGAAATGTGGCTCAGTTAGTAATTATTTGAATCATGTCATTACTGTAATTACAAAAAGGGATTTAAAGAAAACCCTATTCTTAACACTGACTTAGCTTTCCTCTCCGAAGTTATCTCCACGTGAATTCGATCTGCTCTTTGGATTTAGGGAAAGCTCCCAGATAGATTTGGGCTGGTGTGGTGTTTGGGAGCTGTGCTGAAACATGTTTGGCTGTTACTGTTCTGTATAACCTGTGACTGGCATCAGATAGAGGTTAACATGGTGCAGGACTGCTGTCTAAAACTTGGCCTAGTAAAATCCGTAGCAAAATCAGCATTGTCCTCAGATCCTTTAGCACTATTTAGAGAAATAAATGTAATCCTGATATTCTAAAAAACATATGTTAAATGGCTGACTGAATTTCTTACTGTTCATTATATAACTTAGTATAGATGCACACCAATTTTGCACGCAAAAGTGTTGTTCTGTACAGTATGGTTTTGGTATTCATGGAACCATGGACACTTGTGATATTTAACACATTAAAATTTGTGTGTTAATTCAGTGTTGATGCTGCATTTGTTAGTTAAGAGTTTTCATTATGTTGGCTGTTGTGTGGTTACTGATTGCTGTGCATGACAAAGTTAGAGCTCTCCTTACTTTGTTATTGCAAGAACAAGATCTGCAGTATCTGAAATGATTGCCTATAATTTGATTAATGACTGTGGAAGCCAACTGCAGTAGGCTTAGACTTGTTCCCAATTCACAAATGTGAATCTGTGTAGAGGGGGGGAAACCTGGTCCACAGTCAGAATGTAGTGCCTGGCTAATTAATGTGTTCATCCCTTAATGTGCATGGATTTTTGCAGTCTGGAAGCTGCTGATCTATCCTGGAGAGCTGAGTTACTTCCAACCGTCAAGGTAAGCATTGTACCTACCTTGGAGCAGGGGAGAGTGTTTGGTGGGTTGTTTTGTGTCTTGGGAGATATAGCTGTACTGTTTACAGCATTGAAACATGCAGTTGTATTCCAGAGGACGGAATACAAGAAGTGGACATCTGATAATTGATGAGCTAAGAGCTATGTTTAGTAATGATTCTTATTTTTTCTCTTTCTTACTTTCTTTCTGTTGTGTTTTTTTTTTTTTTTAATTTTTGAGGTTGCAATACTGAAACTTCAGGACTATCCTTCTTTGTCCCACATTGTCATTCTTGTACCACCCTCAGCTGGCAATAAGGTAAAAGGATGGAAATTGCATGCTCAGAGTGTTCATAGCTTTCAGGTCCTACGATGGAAGATAAAGAATTAAATATGTGCTAAGTTGCATTGATAAACTGTATACCTTACACTACAGTGTGGTCTGAAGGTTAACTGCATTTACTTCTTTAAGCCAATAAATGTTTGCAGTTGATAAACTGCCAAACTTAAAGCCTGGATAGTAGTTGAAAGATGCTGAACAACAGTTCTCAAGCAAGTTCTTAGAGTTCTTGGCAGTTCTTGCATGTTTTTCTTAATATTCTGGTATCATTCTTGTATGTTTGTTTTAGTGAAATCAATTCCTTTACCAGGGTAGCAGACAGCTGTAGATATTTGAAGGTAACATGTGGATTCTGGGGAGAATGGTGCAGATACCCATGCAAGCTCTTGAACCTCAAATAATTAATAAATTAGTAGTGGTAGACTGAATTTCACACAGTTGGATACTTCTGAATCTCACAGATAATTTGGGAAATACAACCTGCTGAGTTGCAGTTCACTGTTAAAAATCATGGAAATTGCTTTTCGAGAAAACGGCTGATAAACTTACGATGTGATGGAAAGTAATCTTCAAGTGAGTTAAATGTGTATCAGAGATGGTAAAAATTGTATCTGCTGCATGCTTTTCTGTCGTTTATGTAATTAAACTTTAGGAGCCAAACTAGAGGTTCTATCTGCTTAGACAGTGGTACAAAGAATTGGGACAGATCACTCTCCTTTGCAGCATCACACCCCCACTTCCCATCCCACCGTTGAATAAAAAAATGTGAACTGAATTCTGATCTTTCTCAGCTGTTTGGATGGTCTTTTGAGGATTGTTGCAGAGGATTAAAAGCAGGAGAACTGTGCAAGTTATGCTTAAGATTGCCAAACTTGTACTGCTGTGTACAAGAGCAAACAAACTGCCATTTTTGATCAGTGGAGTGTAGAAAAGTGACATCTCAGTATTTGTGTCTTGCACTTTGCCTGAATTGGAATTGGCTAGAGCGAAGGCTTTGGTCTTGTGCTGAATTTAGATCTGTGCTGAATATTCTGAATTGCAGTTTACTTTGGACTGTGAATTCTTCAAAGAGGATTCCAGAACAATACAGCTCCCTGTAACAAATCTTTTTTCCTTTGGTAAGTGTATCATGTTACTTCTGGAAAAAATGTGAAACGAATATTGCTAGCACTTTGGATAATATTTTTTCCCAAAAATTCCAATGGTCAGAGTTTTTTGTTAGTTAGTTAATTTGTTTTTTGGGAGATGAATTGTTTTTACGAAAGTTAATACAACTCCTGCTAGCAACTAACAAATAAGAAGTGTGCTTTTTTGACTAAGAGATATAGAAGCACATAAATTGCTTGGGGGGAAAAAGTATCTGAAGATGTAGTGAGCTCTCAAATTAGTGGTATCTAATGTTTTGAAATAATGTATTCTTTACAGGCCTTTCTTCAAGCAAAATTCTGTTAAATTCAACTGGCTTATTTTACAACATACAGCTTCAGCACTTCAACCAAGTAAGAACAGGACTTTTTAAGCTAATGTAACCACTGTTTGGAGACTAAGTTGAGGTTTTTTTTATATTTTAGGTATATCAAGCTTTCAAAATACATGTAGAGAGCCACTGCCAGCCACTGATAGGTAAATATATGTGTTCAAAAGTATAAATTTATATCACAAACCTTGCTGAAAATTCTCAAGGCTAAAACTTGCAGAAATATAAGTCCACTTGAGCAATAGAGTCTAGGCAGTATTATAATAACTTTATTATTAACTTTTATTTAACTTTATTATTAATCTTACATTATTATAACCTTATTATAACCATTATTAACTATTATAACCTATCAAACGTTTGCTAATACTTCACAGTCACAGGGATCGGGAGGGACCTCTTGAGATCATCTAGTCCAACCCCCTGCTAAAGCAGGCTCCCTAGAATAGGTTGCACAGGAAAGCATCCAGGTGGCTTTTTATATCTCTAGAGAAGAAGGCTCCACAACCTCTCTAGGCAGCCTGTTTTAGTGCTCTGTCGCTGTCAAAGTAAAGAAGTTCTTCCTCATGTTTGTGTGGAACGTTGTGTTCCTGTCTGTGCCCATTGTCCTGCTGCTGGGCACTGCCAAGAAGAGCCCATCCCCATTCACTTGACTCCTGCTCATCAGATATTTAGAAATATTGATAAGATCCTCTCTCAGTCTTCTCCAGGCTGAACAGTCCCAGATCTCTCAGCCTTTGCTTGTATGAGGAGATGTTCCAGGCCCCTAATTATCTCTGTGACCCTCTGCTGGACTCTCTTCAGAAGCTCTCTGCCTTTCTTCAACTGGAGAGCCTGTAATTAGACACAGTAATCCAGATGCGGTCACATCAGGGCAGAGTAGAGAGAGAGAGAATCGCCTCCCGTGACCTGCTGTTCGCACTTTTTAATGCACCCCAAGACAACATTGGCCTTCTTGGTCACAAGGGCATGCTGCTGGCTCATGGTCAACCTGTTGTCCACCAGGACACCCAAGTCCGTCTCTTTGGAGCTCTTTTCTTTCAGATCAGCCCCTAATCTTTATTGATGTGAGCAGTTATTCCTTCTCAGGTGTAGGACTCTACACTGCCCTCATTGAGCCTCACTCTCTCTCAATGGCAGCACAGCCTTGTGGTGTGTCAGCCACTCCTCCCAGCTTCATATTATCAGCACATTTACTGAGGGTGGACTGTGTCCCTTATCTAGATCGTTGAAGATGATGTTATACAAGACCAGACCCTGTAGTGGCCCCCTGAGGTGCATTGCTAGATACGGGTCTCCAACCAGGCTGCACAGCTGATCACAATCCTCTCAGCTCTGCCAACCAGCCAGTTCTCCATCCAGCTCACTGCTCATCTATCCCATGCTTCCTATGTTTACCTAGAAGGATGTTATGGGAGACACTGTCAAAAGCCTTGCTGAAATCAAGATAGACAACATCCACTGCTACTCAGCTGGTTGTGATATTTTCAGAGGCTATCAGATTGGTCAAGCATGTTTTCCCTTTTGTGAGTCCATGCTGACTGCTACTGATTACCTTCTTTTCCTCCACTTGCTTGAAAGCAACATTCAGAATTTGTTGTTCCATCATTCCATTTCTCACTTTTTATGAAGTTCAAAGAAAATGGGCAATTAGTCTTTGTTTGGTTTTTGTTTTTTGTTGTTTTTTTTTTTTTTGCTTCTCAGCAAAGGAAAGCTCAACTTTATGTAGATTTCTGTGTTACGTTGCAAGTGTTTCTCAACCATAAAGTGCTTCACCAATCCTGGCACTCAAATGTGTTGAGCAAACATTAACTCAAACAGAAAGGGATGCTTAAGGCATTTTTTTTTTTTTTTTAGCAAAGTTTTATTAGCTTGAGGAAATAGCTTTCAAGTGAAAATCAGAGGTTTTTCTTGTAACTGTTCTGCTTTTTAACTGTTGGTTCTTGTCTTGTTTTGTAACAATGTGTTTAAGAATGTCATTTTTGCTCAATGCTGAGTTCACTGAACCGCACTGTGGTTTTAATTGAAATTTAAATACAAGCAAAATGCTTCTGCATGATGATTTTTAGGCCACTCTCTGTTTTACTTGCGTTTTGAAAGTCTTTAAGTGAAATTATACCCAGTCAGGTATGATACACAGATGTAATAAGCAGTAAGCAGTGTATGTATATATTCGTGCTTTGGTGTTGTTTTGAGGAAATGGTACCTTGTAAATGTTGTGTCTGTATTCAGTGAGACTATTAAATTTTCTTCATTTAATTTTTGCAGATATTTGTCACATCTTGTTCTGAATGATTTTTGTGCTTGTAATTATCTTCCTTTTCAGAAAGAAAACCCAGTGTTTACAGACTTCATATACCCTGGTCTCATGAAGACTCAGTAACTGTGGTTAAGTAAGGACTTTAACAATTGTAATTTCTTGTTATGTTTTGGAACAGATTGAGCATTCCACTGTGGCGTATTTCTGACACGAGACAAATTCTCCAGTCTCAAGTGCTTTGCTTTTGTGTGTTTCTCTCATTTATCTGTCTGTCTTTCTTGACAGAGTTCTTTGGATTTTTCTTCACAATGTCTACTAATAGATAAATTAGTTGCTTGCTTAGTAGTTATTACTTATTTTCTGGTAGTGGATGTTCAATTTCCTGGTAATTTTAAGGTTTGACCCCCCTTAATGAATGGGAACTGGAGCTTGCTCTGGGTACTGGTTTCTTACTGTAAACCAGATTTTTGATCACAGAGCAGCCCTAAGCTCTTTCAATAGTATAGCTCTGACAAAAACAAATCATACACCTTGAAATGTGTGTCACTCATGAATTGCAGTTGAACAACCTGATTGAACTTCAGGTATTTTTCCCGTATTTTCTACTCCAACAGCTTAATGCTTACAGGAGACTGAATTTTCTTGAAAATCTGTCCTACCCATTCTCTTCATTTAGCATATTTACATGTTCTGTGAGGTGTTAGCTAAATATGTCAGTTTTCATTACTACTATGCTTCTTGGTAGACTGGAAGACAGTGACTTGAGAATATTAAGTAGTTCTTGGGTGGCTGGATGGGACTTTGAGTTGCCTGGTTTAGTGGAAGGTGTCCCTGCCCATGGCAGAGAAGCAATACAGACTGTAAGATACTTTCCAACGCAAACTGTTCTATGGTTTCCCGTGGTAGAACAAGCACGTTCAGTATGCCGTTCAGTTCACAGATTGTGATGGCACTTGATGAACTAGTTGTGTTTCACGTGCGCTTGCTGAAGACAAAAGTGTGTTATGCTTTTTTTTATTATGAGGAAAAGATAACCAGTTATGTTGCTCTCTTTCAGCACTCCATCGTTTGTTGAGATTTCTGCGAAACTGCACATGGCTCAGCCTGAAAATGAGAGCAGGGTTCCAGTGCTAAGTATTTACTCTTCGTCAGACTGTCAGTATGAAGTAAGAAAGAAACATTTCGTTGCTAATTTGTGTCCGTGTATAATTTTGGTATAATTTAGTCTTTCAAATCACATGGTTGGTTTTTAGCAAAACAAATACGAAGCAAATCTCAAGTTCTGGTCTTTGGCCAATTCGTGAATGTAGTCCTTGTTATAACTGTTTTGCCAAGTTAGAGGGCTATTGAAAGTTGGTCTTATGCTTCTTTACGCAAAATATTAAAGTATTTCTTTAAAAAAAAAAGTTGGTAGTAAGTTGTTGTACATTTCAATTACAGGATTGCTGTGTTCTCATAGTTAAGTTGGTTTCTTAAAAGCGTTTTGTATTTGTTAGCTGTTGTGCAAAATAACACTCAAATTATCTGTTACCTTTTTTATGCAGGTAATTCTGAAAACGTCGTTTTTACAAATTCTTGGACAAGTAAGAGGGGCTTTCAATACAAGTTCTTCCTTCCTTTGTCTCCTACTGTAGCACATGAAATCCCTTCTTGATGCCAGAAGAAGCACTATTTGAGGACCAGTTAAAACTTTGTCACTTGACAAGTCATCCCATCCCATGGCCCCGTTTTCATAATAGAAAATCTTTCTAGCTCTAGAGAGTGTAGTGTAGATGTTGAACATTTGTCTTTGTAGTTAGCCCAGTGTCTATAAAAGGATGGCACTGGAAGTCATATTGACTGTCTTGCCTAATGAATTAGTACTGATAAAATTTGAACACTTGACATGAAACAAAAGTAGGATTAAAAAAGCAGAAGAACTTCAGTTTGTCTCTTTATAACTATTTTATTCCTTTATACATGAGGAATACTTTTCTACGTTGGTGTCAGTAAGAATAGACCACCCATCTGCAGTTCTCTAATTCTGAAAAGTAATTAAATTCCAAGCTCCTAAGTATGGCTCTGGAATATTAGGAGCAAGTTTCTGTATTTGAATATATGCAATTATATCCAAAATTTTTCATTTTGCTATCATTTTAGAAGAATTTCTGTACTATTTTTATGCAAAGGGATATTATTTCATTACTTTGTACAGTGGATGCCAGGTAAAATATAAATGAAATTTGGGTCTGAAAGGGTTCGTAACTGTGCAGGTTTTGCTTGGAAAGTGCCTTTTGCTTTTAGGGTTTGCTTATGTATATTACTGAATTACCAGTAATGTGCTACTCTGTTCTTTCTGTATTTGTCATGAATGGGAAGAAAAAAAAAAAAAAAAAAGGCTCCTGTTTATATTTTGATCCTTTATAAAAACACATTTGAGTAGCCATTTATGGGAGTATTTTCCATATATGCCATTAATTGTTAAGAGTGGTTCTCAAATACTTGTACATGTTAACAGGAAACCAGTAGTATCTTTTAGGATAGATCTTCCAGTTAAATTGTCATGCTGACTTGATGTTGGTTTTTGTGTGTGTATGTATACAAAGGATTTTCTTATCCTTGTCTTTCAGATAATAAGGTTCCATGCTGGTGCTCTTCCTGTCTATGTTGTTTCTAATATTCTCCTTACCTATGGAGGACAGTTGAGTACACTGATGTCAACAGGTAGCTTTCTGGAAAAATATTTTTTCTAGTGTTGTTGAATTAATTACTTCTCCAATTTACTGTTGATGATTTAGCAGCTGTGATTTTTTTTTTTTTTTTTTTAAGCCAGGTATCATTGAACTTGAGCAAATGGTTTGGATATATATTCTTTAGCTTCAGCTTTTGTTGATAGTTCTCCATAGTTGTGTTCTAGCAGTTTGCTTTTTCTTTCCTTGTGATCAGTGTGTTGCAACGTATTTTAGTATTAATAGAAAACCACTTAAAAATACATCTAAAAATTAAAAATATAATGTTAAGATAAATGAAACAACTTGATCTTGCATGAAGATGAGATTTGGAGACTGGTTATTAGACATGTCTTAAGACAGAATGTATTTTCATTTAAGTTCAAGTTGGTATTTTTAACAAACTCCTCTGGAAGCTCTTGTGCTCTAGAACCTGACCATGATTGATGCAGTGAATAAGGCCTTCTGATCATAGAATCACAGAATCTTTTAAGTTGAAAAAGACTTATGATATCAAGTCCAATCAGTGCGGTAGGCTGACTTACAGTGTTGTCATAAGACATGGTTATGTTGAAAGTGAACTTTCAGATTTTTTCCTGAATTTGCTTTTTATTGTGATTAGTCTTTGTTCAAGTTCATGACAAAATAATAACTATAGGTGCTTTCTGTTCTTGATTCTAGGCCAGTGTTCAGAATTTTCACTTGAACTAGTTAGAGCAGCTAAGCCCTACAAAGTAGAACCTATTATAAGCATTGTTGTGTTTCTGCAGGGGTAAGTTTGCATTATCTTTTTTTTTTTTTTTTTTTTTTTTTTAGAGCAGTTTCTAAAGCAAGAAAATTCAGAATAACTGTTGGTGGGATGATTATTATATTATGGTCTGACTTTGATTTTGTTTGAAAGCCTGTAAGTAGGAAGAGTAGTTGACTGATTGTCTTACTGTTGTAGCAAGTGAAAGTGATAAGTAATACTGCTTTCATGTTTTTGGCAGGTTTAACTGGTTTAGAGAGATATGGGATTCACTCTTGCTACCAGAGGTGGATGCTGCTGTACTGAGTAGTCAGGATGCATGGTTCCCCCTTGTGTCCCTGATTCTATTTCTTTTTGGGACAGGCATTGCCTACTGGAGTGCAGTATTTTTCTCTACGTTTCTGAGAATCTTCTCTTCATTATGGTTAACTCTGACTAGGTAAAACAACCTTATGCTCTAATTATGCTTTTTTAGATGTCTGCAGCACGGTCATTTTTGTTTGCTTCAATGTGAGTGGTTGGACGGATGAAATTCTGCCTGATTTTAGACATCTGAATGTGCTAGTGCTAAGTACTAATGAAGGAGAGGTGCCTCTCATTCCTCATCACGCATCACCAAAAGGCAACTTACATGGTTTATTAATATCATGCACGGTTCTAGTATCTTATGCAGGTTCTCATACAGTCCTGAATTTCTTGGGGGGGTTGAGGGGGGGGAAGAAAAAAAAGATGATTTACATATCTCTCTAAAGTGGAATAGTATTTGTTTGGCTTCGGCTCAGTATTTGAAAACATTCTGATGTGGCCAGCAGCAGATAATTTGTCATTAGCTGTCTGTGGAGTTTTTTTCCTGTCAGGTAGTCTTCTCAGGCTGCCCAGAGATACAGTTGTGCCCCATTTCTGGAGACCAGGCTGGATCAGGCCCTGGGCAACCTCTGATTTAGCTGTAATGTCCCTGTTCATCGTAGGGGAATTGGACTAGATGATCTTTAAAGGTCCCTTCCAACTCTAAGGATTCTATGATTCTATGATTCTCTTTGTGGTTATTTTCAGTATTTGTTCCAAAAGCTTTTAAGATGTTGTTTTCCAAATAACACTTTTTTCCCATTTTCACTGTCTATTTTAATACTGGAATGTTCAGTGAAATTCAAAGAAATTATAGATATTGCGCTATCTTCCCCATGGCATTCCTCCATTTTTCTATCTCATCATCTCATCTTTGTCATTCTAGTTTCATCCTTGTCTCTTAATAACATCTTCTGGAAAGCTGGGACTCCCAATAAGCTTTCCTATGTCGCTCATGCTGTGAGCAAGCAGAAATTCCTGTCTGAGATGAATGTCACAAAATTAATATTGCAAGCTTATTGTTGCATGCTGCTGTGCTACCTTTGAAGACCTCAGTGTATTAAATGTTTGCAGTTGGAGTCACTTGAACGTGCAGCTTGCAGCAGTAATGACACAGTGCTGGTTCTCTTTGTCTCAAAGAAGAACTAAGTGACTATGTAGATCTAGAGTTAGGATAAGCTAATGCTTTATGTTCACAGGAGCATGCTGTGTTGCCCCAGTGAAGTAAAAGTAATGCCTTAGTTACAAGCTAGTAACTAATAATGTGTTAGTTACAGGAAGGTGCGTGATGAAGTTGTTTTGTCAAGTAGCTTACGTGGCAGCTGGTGTATATTTGTGTAACCTTATTTTTTCAGTGCTTTATCAGTTTGGGAGCAATGCATTCTCCTGAGTCATTCGTGAAACAGAGTGATTGTCAGGTATCTTGTATTGACATCAAAACTACAAAGTGTGAGAGTGCTTCTGTCTTTTTTCAGACCTACTGTACTTTCGAAAGCTAAATTGATTACACCCAGAAGACTCTGCATGGTGGGGTCCCTTGCTTTGGTTAGCTGGACCACTTGTGGTGCATTTGCTCTATTCATTATTTATCTTCAATACTTGTTCAAGGTACTGAAAAGCTAAGCATTTTGAATTTGTATATGAAGTCAGAATTTTGTATGTTTTGAATTAAAAGTGTTAAAAGCAAAAAATGAAGGCTAGCATATTGTATACTTGAAATAAATGTTACAATTTAGGTACTTGAAATTATTTTTTTTTTTTTAATTTTTCAACTTTGTCTTGTACTTCTTAGAATGATTTTGTTGCTTTGATAATACTTCTTTCAAAGAAATTTACAGTTCTGTATGCATGCTGTGATTATTTAGTTGCAATTTTTATCTTATGGATATGTCGTGTTACAAAATCAAAGGCTAATAACTTCCTTGAACAAAAGCTTCAGTGAAAGAAGGTCCTGAAGGAATGTTCTGTAGAATACTTTCTTGAATACTCTTCACAGATCCTTTTGAAGTAAAGGGAGGAAGATGGATATGTGACTATACTGAATTAGAATTTTTGTTATATGTCTAATCTGATCCCTTGACTGGTGCTGTGAGGATCCATATTTAGTCCCTGCTATTCAGTTTCCATGGTCTTCTGTGCATCAGAGTGTCTAACTTAGGTATCTGATTCACCCTATGGCTATAGAGTTGCTAAAACAGCTGCTATCGTTAGTTTCTAGGGAAGCCTTGGGAGCACAAGACTGGGAGTTAAGGGTACAAAAGGAAGCAGCCTGCAGGTGGTCTGAGGTAGGTAGGTGGCAGCAGAAAGCACAGCATGAGCAACAGGATTTCTCTGTGGTCTTCGAACCTGAGAGATCTCCATTGAGGCCCCAGCTGTTAAAAACAAACAAACAAAAAAAGTCAATTAATAATTAGCCCCTTTATTTTTTTTGTATGCTACAGATTTCATGTGAAGCAACTTTACTGAGAAAGTGAATCTGTCTTACAGGTTATAAAACTGAGTGTGAATGTAAGAGCAGAGCAAAACGTGCTGAATAAGGTGAGTGTGTTTACTGTTTCTGTTCAAAATTCTATGACCAAGAACTGTTTGGCAAACCTGTGCATTGTAAATTATTATCATCCTGTCCTGCACTACTATGTTGTGCTGTGATAACTACGTGGCTGCAGAGCTTGCTTAGTGTGTGCATGATGAAAATATAGGACACAAATGTCACCTTCTGTCATATATGATTATTGCAGTCACAGTTCAAGATCACTGCAGTGTGAACTTGTCTGAAGATTCCAGTAAATTGGGAACTGTTTAGAAAGAAGAGAAGAGGCAAAGTATTGCTGGTTTTCATGCATTTTCATTTCTGATCCTTTTTCAGTTACTTCAATGTATAGTATCCAAACTCTGTGTGGATACTTGTGTATAATATCTGCCTGTTCTGTTTTGCAGTTAGAAAAAAAAGCAGTCTGCAAGGAAAAGTTTTGATAAATTTCTTTGAAATTTTTGGGTCTCCCTTATGTTTAGTTTAAATTCTCTCTTGCTCTTCTTCCATATCCAAATAATCTTTCTTATCTTTCACTTGTAGTTTTTTCAGTCATTGAAATGTAGCATCTGCCAGCTTACTAATTTGTCTTTATTATTTATTCTTAGAGCTACTGTTTTACTCCCAGTTACGTTACCTCCTGTATTTCTTCCATGAATGATCACCTGTGATTCTCACCCACATGCTTTATTATTTCTTTTATTCTGTTCTTCCTCCTTCCAGGAACTCCATTTCTTATCACTGCAGTGGTGCCAGGATATCTCTACTCTCCTAAACGTCTCTCTATTCTTTTCTTCCAAAGACACAAACTATTAGTGTAAGAGAATTGCTGGATGCTTTATAGTGGAACCATTGAACTTTGCTTTTGATGGCTTTTTGAGGGATAAATTGCAGATTTTTTTTTCCCGAATCAGGGTTCGTATGCTACTGTAGGGATAGCTTTTCCTTCTTTGTCCCTCTGTATGAGTTCTATCAAGCCAGTGCATGCTCTTGTTTTTTGTGCTTTTTTTTTCAGGAATTGGAGCGCTCAAAAGAAACTTCACAGAATTCCATTAGATGCACAGTCAAAAAACAGGATTTGATAGACAGTACTTCAGAAGCAACACAGTCTCTCTCAAGCAGTACAACCGCTGAAGCTGCTAACAGTCTGAAGATCCATGTTACAGTGTTCAATTTATTCACATGGATTGTTCTGCTCAACTTGCCATCTTTAGTTTATTGGTTAAAAAATCTCAGGTAACTTCTTAAATTGTCAGTAAGGGTGGAAGAAAAGAATCCAAACCTTTGAAGATGCTTACAATTGCAAATAGTTGATTCTTCAGATTGTCTACCTTATTATAGCATCGAAGAGTGCCGTTAACTTTAACTGTTCTTTCTATGCAAACTGGCTTTAGTTATGATATAAGTAGATGTTAAGAGAACCAATAGTATGTTGAAGAAAGTAACAATTCAAAAATGATTTAAATTCAGCCAGGGATGGCCTTATTCATTTTATGTTCATTGTTGTTAGCACATCCGTGCTTCCAAATTGGATTTTATCTGGTGGCCTGGTTTAGAAGTAACATGCCCTTAAAACTAATTCACCCTTTTGCAGGTACAGTGCTAGACTTGACCCTGACCCGTGTCGAGCTACAGCTATTATACTTGTGTGCATTTTAGAAATTCTCATGAATTCGAGTGCTTCTGAAGTGAAATCAAGGTACTGTAGCCCAATCCCCAGTTGTTTTACTGTTTATTTCTTACCACATCAGTTTATGTGTTAAAACTTCATTTGCACTTCACAGTTCTGTAATTATTCAACCTTCACAGAGATGAATAAACTCGCATGTTTTAAGTCTTAAGAACTAGGTAAGATGCAAATGAATGTAGTTCAGGTAAGTGGAGAAAAATCACCTGTATTTGCCTTGCAGACTTAAAGTATTTAATATCTACAATATCAGTTGCGTAAAGACTTGTTTTAACTGTGTTTTTTTTCATTCATTCATTCATGTAATCCTTCTAAATGTAACAGAATCCTACTGTATCTCAAAAATTATTATCTGGACGTTAAAAGGATAAGTGGATTTCAAACTGTTACAGTTATGTACACGTAACCTCTCCTTATGGGAGAGGGTTTTTTTAAACATGCCCACATCATGCTTTGTTTGGAGCCCTTGGTTGTGCAGTTCTTCCTCTGACATAAAATTAGACACTGTACCATGAAAAATGTGAGGCATGAAATTGCCTCACAGATTCGTATCTCCACAGAAACATCATTGGGCATGCTGCAGCATGTAATAGCAAACTATAACCATCTCAGCTCAGGACTTAAATGTATAGGTGAACTGAAAGAAATGAAATTCCACCTGAAGAGCATGCAGCTTTTATACCATCACTCTCCTTGAGGGGGCTGTGTTTCTTTATTATGATAGTGATCATATTTTCAGACCCCAAATTGCTGCAGGTTTTTTAAAAGTGTTAAATGTTCACCACAGCTAATCCTAGTTATTGTTTCCAAGCACATGAAATAGCAGAAAATAATCAGGAGTGATTAGCATGGTTCCACCAAGAGGAAGTCATGCCTAACCAACATGAAATCATAAATCTGATGGATGAAAGGGGAGCAGTGGATATTCTCTATCTAGACTTCAGAAAACTTAGTATTAAACAATGTAGTTTATCTTCTTGACCAGTACTTGTTAACTCAAATGATGTAAAACGATGCATATTTCTGTTACTGAGAATTTATTTCTAAATTTACATAATAATAGTGTTAAATGACATTTTATTAGCCTTTTTGCATAATTTCTCTTGCTTATATATCAACTATTTCCCATTGAGCCTGTCTTTTTTTTTTTTTTTTTTTTTTTCCTCCCTACTTTAAAAATGGCAAATCCTTGAAATCTATGCATTCATTTTCTGAAGAAAATGAAATAAGGTATTTGGACTCCTGCACAAATGGCCACAAAAATGGCAATTTTTTCTTTATGTTCTTACAGCAAACTCCTGAAGATTGCGGCCAAAGTTCCACTCCCTTTGTCTGTTGCAGTGTTGGCTTTCGGACGAATGCATTTATACAAAGTACCACATTTTGTAACTTTTTCTCTTCTTCTACATGTGCTGTGTTGTGTTGTGTAACATTGGTTTTACATAAGAACAGTGCAGCCTGGAAAGGTACGGTGGTGAGGAGACAAATTTCAACAAAGGAATGCCTAGACCAACATAACTTGTGTTATATGGGAAAGATTGCTGAAATGCGATTACTTCATGAGAAGCTTTTGGTTCTGTTCATGCTGCTTAGAAAGTTTCTCATGGTGTTCATTTCCTGACTGTGACAATTAAGTGAATTAACTGTGCGTGTGTAAGCACATGAGTTGTATTAATGTTACATCTCAACACTCCGTTTGCCTTGCAGACACTTGGATATTTCACTGTATTTCTTAGTTGAAATAGACTTTTTTTTACTCAGTACACTGTACAGTGCGTATGTTCTGGACTTGCTTCTCTTGCAGGTCAGAAGTATGCTGGTTAGACTCAATAAACTTCAAGCACACTGTGACTATCAGAAATACTGCACAGCCAAGTATACTTTCAATCATTTTATGCTACATTTAAAAGCTGTCACACTTGTATCTAGTCAAATCAGAATGTACTGCTTCTATAGAGCTGTTATTTCTAGCAAATTACTTGTTCAGTTACTGTTAGATGAGTGAGAGATTAATGACAGTTTTAAACATTTTCATTTTTGTGAGAGTGAGAAAACAATGACAGTTTGTGTGGCTTTCTATTCTGGAAGCTTACCAGCAGGTTCATAAACAACTGGCTGTAATGTTGTTTTAAAACATTGCCAATTTTGTTGGAATTTTGTTAATTCAGAAATGACTCCTTAGACCTCATCCATATGTAGGAGGTAGCAAATTTTAAGGTATGATGCAAGTTGACGCTAGAGTTGCTATACTGCAGTTTCCAGATAGCCAAGGCAGGGTTCTTTCCTATTGTAAATGGAGAGTCTTCATCTCATGGTAAATGTCCATACAGTAATTTAGTATGAAATAGCTACAACATATAAATCCATGCCTTGCCATACTGTGCTAACTTCCTTCTGTGGGTGAGCTCTTAGGTAGTACAAAAAACTGTCTGTAATTATTAGCTCTACATAAAGAATTATCTTAGTGCCTAGATGCTAGTGACTGCCATTTACAACGATGCCTAGAATAGCTGTGTGTAAGGAATTCTATCTCCTGGCATGTGTTTTGCCAACAGAAGAAATCACACTAACCGTTATGTTATTTAAAATGAGGTATTGATTCCATGTAGAGATGAGTGCTACTACTTGCTTCTTTGTTAGCTGTCTCCACTATCTGAGATATGTCATCTTCATATGGAATTACTATGCCAGCTTGATTACCTAATAGGGATGATAACAGGAAATCTGCTACCTACTGTCAATTGAGTGTATTCTTAATGTAGAAGTAGAGCCTGACCCATTGGTTTAATCTTGTTATTCTTGCCTGAAGTGCCTCAGTTAGTTCTAGCTTGTTCTTAGAGTTAATTCATCTGAGCTGCCTGAAAAGACTTAATAATTCACACAGTGACTTTGAAAATGAACCTATTCTGTCTTATAAACCAATCAGCTATTCAAGCTATCACTTAGTCATTAGAACTGCTCTCAATTGTAGTTAACCAAACCACCTGTTACTGCTGTCAGTAACCTACCTGCTGATCTTCAAGTCTTAACATCCTATTGACAAGATTAGATCATGTGCATAGTGTTAGTAAATCAGAGAAGTTAATTGTATTATATCCTGGTACTGTCTAAACAAATGTATGCTACAGTATATGTATATAAGATAATTTGTGTCCATATATACTTGTAGCTTGATTTAGCCTAGAGATTTCTTTTCAGGCACAGAAGAATAGAGTAGTTTTCCTACTTTCAGGTGGCTGTTAGTGTGATGGACAGTGACAGAACTGCAGTGCAGTTGGTAAAAGGCCATCTGTAAAATGTGCAAAGGTCTGATTTCTGTGAAAGATCGTTTCCTTGGCATTCATGGTCCCTTTGGCCTATTACTGTATTTTGCTTCCTATTTTGGTTTGCCATTTTTATCACTTCTTCATGCGTGAACCCATTTGTTGGAGCTGTTGATGGAATGATCAGAATAAGGAAAGCAAACAGTCTCAAGATGTGGTAACTTCCAAAATCTGGCGGTGCATGAAACATACCAAATCACAACAGCATAGAGTAACACCATTTTTCTTATTTAATGGTATTCTTGTAAGCTGGGAATTTTGATGTTGCTATCGTTCCTCATGAAATGGGTTACAAAATGTTATGAAGTGATTCTTATGTGATTTTGAAGGCGTAGGTAGGAATGGAAAGATATAATCCTTAGTCTGAGATCCCAGGTCTGTTGAGGCTTTCAGACTTTTGTCACTCTTCTGTTGATGCTTCCTTTTCCAAAAGTCATTCACTTTCACAGGGGGAAGAAGTAGGTAGTCTTATTGCAAATTTGGATTTTGTATGCTTTGTGTATCGTTGCTAGATGAAAAACGTGCTCTCAGAGATGTGCACTGAGGTTTTGCAGTGACTGAGGACTGTCTAACTGCCGTTTGAGAGATGAGGGTTCTGTTCTACAGATTTCTAGTTCAGCCACCTCCCTCGTTACAGTCTCAGCAGAAATGTGGGCTAACCCACATTTTTAATTGGCTGTATGACAAAGTATAAATATTACCAGAGCATCTTTTTGTATGAGTGGACATTTATAAAACAGCTTTTGGGAAATACATTCTCTCAATACCTTTAAATCAAAATTCCAGTTTAATCTTCCAACTTTAAACTCTCTGAAGTTACTGGAGAAGATCAAGACAAGCTATTTCGTGATGATTTAAAGCTCCATGCTGAAAGGAGCATCTCTGCTAACTCCCACTCCAAGTTTGTTGTTCTGTTCCTTTTCAGAAGTTGAGATACTAATTCTGCAGAACCACTGTGGATGTTTGCCTCGTTTACGTGGAGATCATACCATGTAAAACAAAGGCTTTTTGGCTCGTATGTCAGGAGACAATCAAAATAATGATGTGTGCCTCCCTTATGTTTCTGTAAGCTGTTAGAAAGGGATTAAAAAACAAAAAACAAAAAAAACCAGAATACCAAATGTCACTAAGTGGAGCAGAATCTTTTTCTTATTATGCTGCAGTAATAGCTATACCTATAGCTATCAGTTCACAAAATATTTGTATTTGTAAGGTAAGGAAAAGGTGTTATTTCTTAACTCGAACTACAAATGGTGATATTTGCAGGATTGATTTAAAAGCTGGTTGCAGAATGTCACATTTTAGCATCATCTGAAAAGGGGATTTGTCTTTTTTTTGTCGTTGTTGTTACGTAAGGAAAAAAACCAACCACAGTAAATGAAATGCCATTTAATTTTATTTCTAATACTTGAAGTTCTGCTCTGATGGTTTCTTTTTTTGATACATATAGAAATTTATTCCAAAGTACTCATTTGCAAAGTTAAAATGAAATCAAAGCTGACAAGTGTAGTTGTATTGCAGAAAGAATGGGGGCCACCTGTGTGCTAAAGAGAGCTTTTTAACTACCTGGGCCATCCTTAAAGTCATTCTTAAAAAATAATAACAATAATAATATCTTGATACTGAAAGTAAACAAACAAGAGGCAACGAAAAGCATTATTTTATAGGTTGGTATTTGATATGAAGTCTAATTTTCCATCTGTTTGCCAGTAACAAGGTTGTAAGGCTGTCACTTAGCTTTTTTTTTTTCCCTAAAGTCTGATATATCTCCTTCAGATCTTGACAGGATGAACAAAGCTGATTTGTTGCCTGTGCATAAAATGAATATTTGGGAAGCCTTTTTGATCAAGTTGATCAAAAAGTTGAAGTTTAGTTCAATGCATTGATGAGTGTGCTGATAAGGAAAAAGTTTTGTTTGTTTATACTGAGAAAAAGTGCAGCCATTTATAGACCTTTAACGCCCTGAGCTACTGAAAATGGTTTTGAAGGCAGTGATCGTGTGTGTACAGTAATTGTGCTGCTGTTTCAACTCACCAAGCCAGTAGAAAACTGTTAGCTGCAGAAGAGACTGAGGTCAATGCTTTTTACATGTCATGGTGAATGTTAATTGCTTAATTTTCAGGTTTGGCTCTTTACATCTCCTTTTTAGGGAGACATGATCAAACTAGCCTTTATAAGCACTTAGCACTGCGCCGTAAGTGGTTTTAAATCTTCCATCACCAGACCTTTAGGGGAGCTGTGTTTCTGTCACCAAAGCTGTGTGCTGCTCTTACATACCTCTGCAAAAGTGTACCAATGAGTGACAGTTGAGAAGCAGATTCATTTTTGATGTCAGAGTAAAATAGTTTTTCTACCTTTTCCTAGAGCTATAAGCTAGTATTCATAGTAAAATACTTGAAGTCTCTTAAAGATTATTTGACAAACCTATTACAAATATATATTTTTTATTTATGGAAGAATGTATTCAAAACTTCTAGTTGGGACATTGAAAGATAAAATAATAAGTATACATTTAATCTTATTATAAGCATTCCATTTTTTTAAAACAAATGTGAGTATTTGGAAAATTCTATAACTTCTACTGAAGTCTGCCTACCACTTCAGTTCTTTAGCTATGTCTAAGCGTGGAACTGCTTCAAATATGTGCTCATGGCATTATAGCCTAGAAACCAAAGTCAAAGCTGTGACATTTAGACTGCAAGTTGTTTTAAGATTTAGGGCATCATTCTATGTTCTTATATGCATGCAGGTTTTGCATGTGAGTCTCTCATAAAAGATATTTTAAGCTCGATGTCTCTGCGGTTCTTGATGGGTTGTGGTCTAAATTCTCTTGGAAATGTGTAGTATCAGAGCTGATTTTGTCTCTCTGAAGTTTGGGGATGGTACACAAAAGCTTGTTACTTCGCAGTACGTTATTCCAATTGCTCCTTCCATACAGAGTTATCCTTCATTTGCTCCATCCTTCTGCTGTAGCACAAATCTAGAGGTTTGCAGTAATAGCAGGCACTGCAGATGATGTAGAGAAGGATCTGTCTGTCCTGTAGGCTGTTGCTTTTTTGGAGTTTTTCATGCTCATTGAACTACAAATGAAGACTTTGCTTTCCTCCAAATTCTTAAATTACTTCAAGGCTTATATTAAATGTTTAGATGGGTATCTTTTTTAAATGTTAAAAGCTATTTTGGGATCAACTCGGGCTTCTCTATTTCCCATTCATGTCACTCTAAGTGTGAAAACAGTATTAGACACCAGTACCTGACAACTGAAATATTTTACAGAAGTCTGCAAAAGTAGACCTGAGATGCATAATGAATGCCAGACCAAAACTGAAAATGTGGAATTCCTCACTGTGACTGTGACTTGAAACCACCAAAACACCACCACCACAAAACAACAGAACCCACAACTGTGTGCCTTAAACCACTAAATGAATACACACTAACTGTAGCCTGTGAACTTGTGTAGCCTTATTTTTCTTTTTTTGAAATCAAAGGTAGTCATGTGAATCATGCTGATAATTGGTTTGAGGAAAGTCATTTTTAATTTTTAATTTTATTTTTTTTAACTACATTTACAGGCATTAAGATTTATGAGAAGTGCAATGCACTTACGGTTTGGAATCACACCACCCAAAGGCAGGAAACTTGAGCTGACCTTAATTTCTCATTTCTTTCTATAATGGCAAAGAAAATGAAGGGAGAAAAATTCACGTCATCTTCTACATCTTTGTTGGAATTTTTCAAATTTACTTTATTTTCTTCAAAACTGTAGCTCAAGCAAAGTACTTTATTTTAGTCATTAAGCACCAACATCTACTCAAAGTGGTAGAGTTGAGAGGCAGAGATGCATTTGTTTGCGAGCTTTCAGACATTTGAATAAGGAATTTCATGTTTCAGGATAAATGTATAAGTTAGGAAAAACAAGTTCTGCTCTTAAATCATCAGAAAGAAATATTCAAGCTCTTAAAATCCTGCTTTGATGTAGTAAAAAATAAAATGGAATTCTTACTGTTTAGCATGAAGAAATTGAGGGAAAGCCACTTCTCTATGATTGCATATTTTAAACAAAGTCCCCAAAATTCTTTTTTATTCCCAGCAATAGTAATAAGTAAAACTTGTTCTTGAATAAAGGTGTCATATCTGGGATATTATCAGTGGGCTGTAGATGTTGAGATGTGCACACAAAATGATATCATCTCAGCTCATCACAGTAATTGGTGGCAATACAGATCTGTTCATAACTTTCTTTTATTGAGATATAACATGAATCTGGCTGCTGCAGTGCTGTTTTCATTGTGGAATAACAGAAAACATGTGGGGTTTTTTTTGTTTTTTGTTTTTGTTTGTTTGTTTGTTTTGTCAGCCCTACTGATTCCTTTGAGTAGCCTCTGAGTTCAGGACTGTTAGAACTTTTTCCAGTCACCTATGTGTCTCTTCTTTGTTCTGTGCTGGTGTTGTTCCAGTCATCCTAGTAATGGTTGACTTCCTGGCTACAGTAATACTAGTGTGAAAATCATTGAGAGGGCCAAGCTACTTTTATGTATGATAATGAATCTAGAAAAAATGTGCAAAACTAGTAACTTAATTCCTTTGTTGCCCTTTCACTGTTTTTTTCCAAGCACAAAGACAGAATAATGTTGGACAGAATACTTATTTTGGGTGATGGGCAACCAACTGGGGATTGATGGTTGTTTGTGTTAAGCAAGCTTAAAGCTTTGAAAAGCTTTAGTTTTTAGAGAAATCTTATCAGTTACTAAGCAACCTAACTTTTTTTCTCTTCTTGTTTTGAGTTCTTATATAGCTACTGTAAGCCTGGTATTTAAAGTGGAGCTAACTCTAACAGTTACAGGTGTCTATAGTTGTTAACATGGTCTTATCGATAAATGTTTAGCTAACACTATAATAAATTATTGTGCTTATTAAAAGAGGTATAACTGAATTCTCAGATACATCTGCTTTGTGTGATAAGCTTGAGCCAAGTCTTTGTCCTGTGAGATGCTGAGAAAATCTTGGAAAATAGCTATCTTCAGCTAATGTTTAAATTAGTGAAAGCTGTTCATGTGAGTCATTCAAAACTATGCTTTTAAATACTGGTCCTTTTTCATTAAGGGCAACTTGAATGAGAGCTACACCGGGACTTTCATGTTTTGATGGTTTCCATGTCTGTTGTGTATAATTCATATTGTTTTAACATGTTTTGTTTTGTTTTTTTTACACTAGTGTGCATGATATAAAAGTACACTGTATAGTATAAGCTTTGCTAAGTAAACACTTCTGTATATTTTTGTATGGTGTCTTAACATGGTTGCATTAGTACAAATGGTGGTAATTCACACCAAGTGCCACTTACCAATCATGCTCTGTGGAGTGTTGTGAATGTTACCTGTACATTTGTTGTACAAACATGCTAATGAGTGTTGTGATGAACATCTGCCTTTAGTCTTTGCTCAGGTACTGATGTGGAGCAGTTCGGTGCTTTACCTTCTAACTTGTAATACTTGGGACTCTAAGCAGAAAATAAAATCAGTGAACAAAAACATTGTGGTTAGAGCATTGCTTTCCATAATGGACTCCCTTTTTTCGCATCTTAAGCAGAATGCAGTAATGGTCATGCTTGATGAAGCCTGTCTCAATATCTTAACTTATGTATCTTACGCTTTTACATCTGTCTAGCTATCTTGAATGGGAAATATAATAGAATGAAAAAAATATCTGTTGAATAATGTAGCTTATATACAGCATCGTGTGTGTGAAACTTGTTCTGTAATTAGCCTAATTAGATTTAAGTTTGCCTCTCATTTTAGAACAAGGCTTTTACTGTTTTGAGAGAACTTGCATGAGACTGAATGTGCAACACAGTGAGCATAGAAAGTAATGCAAACACACTCAAGTATTACCATGCCACAGCAACTATGTCATTACTACAGCAACTTTCTAAGGACTTGATTTATTGAAGACATGCTTCTACATAGGCAATTTGAGAAAAACCCAGTGCTTTGATCACATTTGATCACATTCAAAAATGCAGGACGCTGACATCTGCCTTGGAAAGCGCTTATTAAACGAGGTGCTGTTCTCCAAGGAGGAATCAGTGTAGTCCAATATGTGTAAGTGTACTGATAGTATATTAATATGATTGTGTACTAATGTTTGACTTTGGAAGAACTGTAACATATTGGCAAAGAAAAAAATGGCATTAAGTTTTAGCAGACTTAGATCAAATAATTTTTAGTGTAAATGCTTTTAGCTTAGAAAGTAATAATACAAGTTTATAGAGTTTTCAGGGTTTTTTTTAAGACAGCTTATAGAAAATACATTCTAATTGAATTTGTTGATTATCCACGTGCTTCATCAGTCAACCTCCCTGTCTGAATTCTGTTAGGGGATACCATAACATCCCTAAAGCAATAACACTTGCTGCAAATTTACAGATGTCCTCGACATGCTTTACTGGTTGAATATACTGCATATCCCCCACAGCTTTCTTTTGGAGTAAATCAAATGAATGAAAAAATTGAAGTAAAAATAAAGTAATGGCTGGAATAAAACTGCTGCTGTTCTGGCTTTTTGATACTTGTTTATTTAAGTTAAATAAAGAACTGAAATGTAAGCCCAAACTGTAAACCAAGTTGTTTTTTTTTCTTTCCCTTACATTGCCTCTAGAGGAAAAATACCACTTCTTCTTGATTACATAAGTTTGTGAACACTCCTGGAGAGGGAAAGGAGGATTGTGAGGAGAGGTGATCACATCAAGATCGGAGGTTTGGAAGGGCTTGAGCAAACAGCACTGACCAATCTGTTTTATGGCTATTCTGTCTGACACCAAATTGTAACGGCCTGCTGAAACTTTGCTCCAACAACACTGAGGGATGTCTGCAATTGCAGTGGTCATGGTGTGAAGCAGCGATGTCAGAACTAAGATAGGAAGTCCCAGGGGGAGAACATTAATATTTATAAAGAAGACAGTGTAGTAGAAACAAGAGGTAAATAGCTGGTATTGAAACACTGATTTACAAAACAGTAAATCAGTTCCAGAAGATGTTCAAACTGGTGAAATGATTAAGGAACAAAATGATGTGGATAGCCAAGTATTATGAACTGTTGTAGAGAAGAAACAGTTCTAAGATAAATGAGTCTAAAATAAACTTGGTGGGATGGGATTCAGGTTAGGAAGATCTGTTTTTCAGGCAGCAGAACTGAATCATCTGTGCTTTCTTTACCACTGCTGTGTGCTGACAGCCCGCCACCTGAAGTGTTATTGGGCTCTGACTAATGAAGATGGGGCACTGGACGTGCATTTACCACGGGAAGAGTGGAGGAAAGTAAAGCTGTGTGTGTACACCTGTGCTTACTTGATGGTAAGTAAATGAAAAGAGCTGATTAGAGACCTGTTGACCTTAACAGTGAGTACCATCAAAGAGTTCAAACAGAAAATGACTTATGACTAAATTTAGGTGGAATTTCAAATTTAGCTGTGTGTTTCTTGTCTTAAAATAAGCCACCTCTTCACTTTAAAGATACTGATTGTGCATATACACAGGGCTCAAATGTGCATTGACCACCTGATTATACACTGAGTGTAAGAGGAATCAAGACTGAAGATTTTTGGGTTTTCTTTCTTAAGTTAATATCACTTTGAAATGTTATCAGCTGATGTTTCAGTATATCTCAGTTTCGGAATTTATTCAGGAAGCACCAGAAATAAAATTCTGAACCGAGTTTCTGGCTGCAGAGACTGGGGTCTCAGCAAAAAGAAACCAAAGACTGACAGAAAGCAATTGAAGTCATGATGAGGAAGATTAAGAAATATTCTTCAACAGGAGCGAGTTTTGTGGAGAGAAGATCGTTCAGATTCCTATCTGGGAGAGAGAAAGAAAGGAGAATCCCAAACAACTATTCTAAGTTCCCTTGATCGTAAGTAATTAGGTGTTCTACCTTAAGGTCTCCCTGCCAGTTAAGGTGGTGGCCCTGAAGTGGCTGCTGAGTAACTGAACTGTATGTTGGAAAGAAGTTAGGATGTTGTCATGCATTTTTTTAAGCTGTTCATTAAAACATCTAAAATTGCTTTATCATCATAAAATTCAGACCTGCTATTTCCCTTCATAACCGTATTTTACATCTGCTCTTCTGTCACTAAGAAAAACAGTTAATTCTCCTTGTGTCTGATTATGCAGTTCCTCTCTTTTTCTAAATGCTATACAAATCGGTTCTTTCCTTCAGAACTTGAGAGGTAGCTTGTTCCTAAGATTCCTTAGAATTGACCTTCGAGTCAGGTGGATTGGGAAATGAGTGTATTTAAACTTTCTGTAATTTCCATTTGATATCTTAACTCAGCACAAGACTAAGGGCATTTAATCTGAAAAACCCAAAATATAAATAAAATACATCATCTTTTGGCAATAAAATCAAACAAAACCAACAAAAGCAGCTGGGCTTAAATAACTGGAGGGCAGCAGCTTTTACACAAAGCTAAGGAAATCAGAAGACTGCTGTGGGATGTTAGTGCTAAATTCTGAGCTACACACAATTGTGGGTATCTGATGAGAAGGATAAAACTTGCCTATAGATGTTATTTCACTGGGAAGTCCTCATTTTATGGACAGGGAGTTGAGATGCAGAGGATCATGGCATGATGGTTGTTAAATGTGTAGGTTGGAGTAGGCTAGGAATGGTTCTCAAACCAAATATATCAACCAAAGCCTGTTTTTCAAGTAAAGAGATACATTATACTACTTTACTCTGATTTTAGATGAAAATGTCAAACAGTGTTCCTGTATTGGAACATTATGCAAACTGGTTTTTGTGCTCTTTCAGTTTCGGCTTGAAATTTTGGAACTACATTGGGTTGTGCAAAATTGAAGATTTTCACACAGTTTGACATGATGAAGAGAGATACTTTTTTTTTTTTTTCTAACAAGAAAGGACTGGTCAAGGTGTGTGTTTTGCAGGATAAATGGTGCAAAAATATGCTCTCAGTAATTCACTAACTGTCCGCACAGTCCTGAAGCTCGGGTAGAAAAATAACTTGCATCCCATGTTGTTAGCAAGCAGATGAAAACACTCATGTTTTTGTCTAACAAAATGGAACTGGAAAGTAGTGACTACCTGAAAAAATAGGAAATAAGAAAGTTTCCTTACTGGCTTTTCTCTTGCTAATGCTATTCTGGCACTGATGAGTCTATGAACTATTGATGAGTCTGTTATCAGAAAGTTCCATTTTGACAGGAGTAACTGATTGAGTTTGATGAATATATAATAATTTTGTAATATTATTGTTTTTCAGTGATGTTTTTTTTTTTTTTATTTCAACCTTTAGAATTTAGGTTTAGAATAATATACAAGCTGAATAGCACAAATTATACTTGTATGGATTACTGCAACTATGAAACTAATACTGCTGGGAATTTTTTACCCTATGAAAGTAGGGGTAGGATAAAGATTTATCTTAACAAAAAATTAGTTTTAAAATGTCTCTTTAGAGATCTATCTTATTATACTAACCAAAATATCACTTAAATAGGAGAGAGAAGTGTGCAATGAATGTATAGGCAAGAAAAATCAAGCAGCGTTGAGCTAGAGGATGCTACAAAATAAGGCCAAGACAAATTAACATAGTTGTTTTTGCAGGCTTTGTCTTAGCTTGTAGCATCACTGGAGGATACTGACTGCTGATAAAATCAGGGTAGGAAAGCAACGCTTTAATTAAAATACTATGAATTTGGAAACAGTCTCTGCTTTTCTCTCTCTCCAGCATCAAGAAAATGATCTATAGCTCATCTTGCTTGAAAACCATTCTACCAGCTGTAATTACTTGTCACCTTTCTAAAGATACCAAAAATTATTTTCAATTAAAACCAGTATTTTGATACAGCTCTGCTCTCTCTGCTGGAAACAGTTTTAAACTTCCTCTATGCTTACCGCCAATTTTCTGCAATACAGCATTAGGAGGAGGAATTTGCACTGCACTGTTCAATAGCAACAGGTCTTAAGAGTATTAAAGATGAAATTCTCAAGGGTCTTTATGTCATGGATGGAAATGGAATCATTACTGTATTTTTGAACTTCTGCTAACGTCACTGACACCCACCTACAGTCCACTAGAAATATAAGTGCAGAGATCAGTTCATTCACAGATCACAAGGAGACTAAGCAAGAAGGGCAAGCCAGAGCAAGATTCACTGGTAAGCTTTATTTTAAAGAGAGTGAAAGGTAGAATGCGATTATCTTTTTATTTTTTCTTGACTGAAGGTGTGAAACTGTTCTCCAGTATCTTACGCCAGACTGTGCTATTATTGCACTTATATGTAGTACGTTCTCCTTTTGTGCAGTTTTAAAAATTGAGCTATCTGGATGTCAGGCCACAGTTTTGCATTATCCTTGGAGCCTGTAGACTGGACGCTTTAACTATTCAGCCAGTGAAAATGGTTGTATTGTAATTGCAAATGTAAGTTTAAAATGGAAATATCCTCTCCTAAGCATCAAACCGGTCCCTTCCAGAAAGAAACCAGTATCTAGAAGTAACTTTGATATGGGAAACGCTTATTTACTTCCTAGTACATTAGCACAGAACCTAGAAAGTTCATGGCACACAGATTTAATCTGTAGTAAGCAGATTTTCCTTGCCATGGATGAGTGATTTCCAGAACTGCTCTGCATTGCTTTCTTTGGTGGTGGTGACAGTTCTGTAGGGCTGGTTCTTTGTCCTTCTTGCAGATAGTCTGTTCATCTCTTCGACATGTGGAAAGTGGTGCTCCTGGGACTATATGCAATGCTGGCTGTCAGAGGACTGACAAAGGGTGCTCCTTTCGAACCAGAAGAAAAATGGAAACCTCTAGATAATCCTAGAAACAGAGACTTGGTAAGGAAATGCTGCAAGAAACAAAGTCGACGTTTTGTGGCTTTTTTTTTTTTTCTTTTCTTTTTCCATCAGAATAATTTTTGCCCATTAAATTTAATGGCAAGAGGGTTTAGTAACCATGCACTTGACATAGTAAGTACAAGTGGCTGAGCATTCTTCAGTGCACATGTACCCCTAAACTGAAGATGCATTCTCGGCGTGCAGTAATGCACGTAACTTGCTCACATCTTCAGCAGTTTTAGTTAGATTATACTGCTGCTGCTTTTATGAACCTGAAGAGGAGTGATTATTATGTTTCTCTTGAAACTGTACTGCTGGTTACATGCTGCATCTTAAGCACGTTTCCATCTGACACATCCTTGTGAATAGTGCCTGAAGATCTAAAAATTAATTAGGAGCTGAGGAAATATAATTAAGGCAACATTTGCAAGATCTCATAAGGAATTTGTGAGGGGGGAAAAAAATCAGTTTCCCACAGTTTTTACAACTGTTTAAAGGATAATTGACTAAATTTTTCTTTTTTCAAGCAATCTAAAGGGCCAATTAACATCAATTGTGCACCGTTGCTAGCTCTTAGAGAACATTCCATGTTGTTAAAGGTACTAAAGGTACTCTAAAAGGTACTGTTTGCCCTCAGCAAGAGTTTTGCCATATCTACTTCATAAAGGTTATGGCTTGAATCCTCTGTGGCTCAGTGGGGAACACAGACTACCAGTGAAATGTTGGTGGTCTTGGAACAGCACATAAGATGTAAAGCCATGGACAGATCGGACATGTCCGAATTATATTGCTTATATCACAGCAGTTTATGATCAAAATAGATAATTTCATCCCAGATAGGAGGGGATTGTTTCAGTAGAAATAATCAATCAGTTGGGCATACTCAGTTTTCACTTATGAAATATGTTCAGTTTTTCAGAACGCTCCAGGCATACTTTTCCGGTCGGGGTCTCGATCTCAGAAATTTCCCAGCTACTTTCACTGTGAACAATGAAGGACCAAGGCCGGTCATGTTCTACTCAGATCCCATTGCTTCTGCGTTTGCAGATTATGAAGAAAGGAAAAATTCTTTTCCAAACGACTTGAAAGGCTAAAAGATGCTGCCGACCAAGGTAAAGGAGGATGCTTTTACATGTAAGCCAGGGAAATCCTTGAGTTTCAAGCAATTCTCAATTCCATCTGACATATAAAAAACAACTTGTTCTTCAGACGCAATTAAGTGTGACACCTTTACTCGTGCCTGAAGTTGTTTTGAAACTGACGAGGTTGAGATATGTGAGGTATTTACTGCTTCTGTAACAGCACACATTGTGCTTGTGCAGATCTACGTAGCCTGTGGTCTTATTTTTATTTTCATCTGGAGATACATGATGAAAACGTACAGATACTAAAGAAAACCCACCTTATCTATATAAATTATAGATTGAGACTATTGGTTTCCTGTCATGCATGTATCAAAATGCATTTATACGTAAGATACTGCACTAACAAAGCATATGGTATTTGTATCTGTCTGTGCATACTGTTTCCTTTACTTCTACCACTAAAATTGAAGGTTGAATAAAGTAATTGTGAGCTCATTCACACTTCTCCATAAATACGAAATAAAGGTGAAGAGGGCTGAACTTTGAATTATTAATAAATGCAGCCTCAGTTTATAGCAAGTACTTCTGAGCTGTTTTTATCTACGCACAGCTATACTCTGTAGCAAATAAATGATCATTTTGAAAGTCAGTGAATACTGCTGATTGTGAAGAAAGGCTAACAATTGTTTTCTCCTGTTTTATAAGTAGGTGAAGATCTCAGTCAGATTTGAACGTAACAACTTAAGTGATTTGTGCAGTGTTTGACAGAGATTAATTTGTTATCAGTGTTCAGCTTTGGATTTTTAGGTCTGCTTAACTGTTTCTATTCCTGAACTGTAGGTACAGCTCTACTGTTCCTCTTTTTACAAGTAACAGTCAAGATGGCGTTCAGATGTTAATATCCAAGTTTTCTTTTTTACCAAGTTATTATCAGTAAACAAATCCAACACAAAAAAAAAAAACCCAGTACAGTGAGCTCTGTGCATGACGAATAGGTTAGGACTGGACGTGAGCAGGGATGCTGTCACTCTGCCATGCTACAGCAGTGCTGAGAGAACTACCGCAGGAATCGGTGCTGTGTAATTCAGCACGGCCACGGTTCCCCCCAACCTTAGGAGCGGGGTCTGGTCGCCGTGGTCAGAGCAGGGTGCTGCGCTGAGTGCTTCGCGACGTGCCTCACGCCCTTGTTTCCCCTCTCTTTCAGGTGTTAGCTTTCGGACTTCACGCCAGGCGCTCACCTCCACGGCGAAGTGCTGCCGCCTTGCCTTCTTCCCTGCTCGCCGGCAGTTTAAACGTCCCCTCCGCCCCAGCTCTCGCCCTGAGGCGGGCCGCCTCGCTGCCATCCCCATTTGCTGTCCGTTGGTGTTACGCGTGGTGCTTGGGGGCAGCGCTGGCTGTGTTTATGTCCGAATAAACGGGGAATACCACCCTTGTTCAAAATAGGTAAATAAACGAGACCTTCCGGATTCCCGGAGCTAGGCGGTGTGAGATGCGGGCGGGGAGGGCGTTAGATATTATTTTACCAGCAGCCTACCGCTCTGCGGGGAGATGAACGCCTGGGCACCCCTCCGAGCGGCCCTCGCACTGCGGAGGCGCGCTCCCCGGACGCCGTGGACTCCCGGCCGTGTGAGGAACGGCAGGGCTCCCGGGGGACAGCGGAGCCGCGCACGCCCGGGCTGCGGGGTCCGGGCCGCACCGCGGCAGCGCGGAACCCGAGCGCGAGACGCGGGGCGTGGCGGGCGCCATAGCCGGAGCACCGCGTTCCGCCCTCGGCACTTCATCCGGCCGGCCCAGCGCGATGTCGGGGTTCAGCCCGGAGCTGATCGATTATCTGGAAGGGAAGATCTCCTTCGAGGAGTTCGAGCGGCGGCGGGAGGAGCGCAAGAGCCGCGAGAAGGTCGGACGGGCCGGGCGGGAGCGGCGCGGCCTCCTCTGCGTCGCGGGGCGGCCTGCGAGGGGGCCCGGGTCGGGAGGAGGCGGGGCGGCACCTAGGGCGGCGCAGACGCTACCCCGCGCCCGGCCGGCGGGTGCCGGTGGGCCGTCATCCGGCGTGTGCCGCTGCTGGCTTCCCAGCAGGTACGTGGGGAGGCAGGTGCGCGAGCGCGGCGAAGTGCCCGGAGAAGCTCTGCCCGCTCTGCGTTCCTTGCCGCCGCAGCATTGAGGAGAGCTGTGCGGCTACGGCGGGACGCGCTGCAACCGAGGGACGAGTACCGTCCAGAGCAACCTCGTAGTGCTACGAGGAGTGCAGCTGAGGTCTTTTGTGTTCAAAAAATGCAGGCTTCTAAAAGAGTTCGCCTTACCTTACCTTAGTTTTTTACCTTAGTTTATACGCTGAACCCTACCATCTTATTTCAGCGTAATGCGGCGTGAACGACGGCCTCTTCAGCCGGCAGTCGTGTGAACAGTCACCACCTGAGTCACCCCTCGTTGATTAGAATGTGAATGTCTGAAAGCAGGTGTTGCTGAGATTTCTGTTTAATTTGAAGATACAGCCCTTAGCACACCTGTTTCACTTGCAGTGCAAAAGCTGAAAGCCCTGGTCTGAACGCTAATCCCAAACATCAGGGGAAACAGGAGTGAGGCATGTGGCAAATCTGGTAACTAACGTTGTTGGTGTGTGTAGGACAGTGAGAATGCATCTGCTGAGGAGAACACCGACGACATAGATGCGCCCTCTTCATCCAGAAAGGCAGCTGGGAAGTCCCAAAGCCAGGATGAAACAGATGGTAAATATTACTGTGGTGGTTTTGGCAAGAAATGTACTCTAAAGGTGACTGAAAGCATTTGCTCTCTAATAGTTGAACTTCTTTAAAAACCTGTCTGTTTCTGCTGAACCTGTGGGTAACGAAGCACACAGAGTGCATGCCTTTGTAGGATTTTTTTTGCATATGTAGGCTTTAACTTTGTTCACTAGTCTTAGGGACTGGATCTGGTCGTCTTTTTTTCTTTGGAACATCCTCTTGGCTTTGTAACCACATGGTCTCTGTCATTTACTGAAGTTACAAATACATATCTCAGAAAGTTTTCTGCCTGTGTTTTGTTTTGGTTTTCTGTGCTCATCTGCTAGCCTTCTTGGTTGCGACAAAAGAAAGTTGGGATATTTGATTGTGTTGTATGGGAGTTTTTCCCCCTGTATTCAGCTCCGGCCAGGCCATTCCTCAAGTCCAGTTTTGGGCCCCTCGCTGCAAGAAACACATTGAGGCTCTGGAGTGGGTTCAAAGAAGGGCAACAAAGCTGTGAGGGATCTGGAGCGCAGGGCTTATGAGGTTCAGCTGAAGGAGCTGGGATTGTTTAGTCTGGAGAAGAGGAGGCTCAGCAGAGACCTTATTGCTCTCTGTAACTGCCTGAAGGGAGGTTGTAGTGAGCTGGGGTCGGCCTCTTCTCTCGTGTAAATGGTGATAGGACTAGAGGGAATGGCTTCAAGATGCACCAAGGGAGATTTAGGCTGGATGTTAGGAAATACTACCTCTCTGAAAGGGTGGTCAGGCAGTGGAATGGGCTGCCCAGGGAGGTGGTGGAGTCACTGACCCTGGAAGTGTTCAAGGAACGTTTAGATTTTGTGTTGAGGGATATGGTTTAGTGAGAATTATTGGTGATGGGTGGATGGTTGGACTGGATGATCTTGTAGGTCTTTTCCAACCTTGGTGATTCTGTGATTCTGTGCTCATCTCTGCTAGCCTTCTTGGCTGAGATGAACGGGCTTAGGGATATTTGATTGTGCTGTGTGGGAGTTTTCTTCCCCCCCACCATCTAAAGGAAAATAAAACAGCTCAAAATAGAAGGGTTTTTTTTTTTTTTTTTAAAGTTGTTAATAGTTTTTTTATTCTTTGGCTTAGAGGACTCTGGTTTATCTCTCTGTCTTCTGCTGGATATTCCTGACTATCTGAATGAAAGATCTCTGTAGAACTACATCCCAGTAACACCAAATTATTCAGGAATTCTGCGTAATGTAAGGATCTCAGGAAGTGGTAGAAGCAGCACTTTGTTTCATATGTATCACTGATTAGTTATCCCACTCCTCAGGTTCTGGATTTGAGCTTGGGCCTCACAGTGCTGCAGTCTGCTTCAGACACCTTTAGAGCACGTTTCATGCAGTGGCTGGGCACATCTCGTGGGATTGCCAGTGCTGTGAGATAGCAGAGTGCAGTCCTTGATTTCTGCAAGTTGGTTCTTGTACAGAGTTGGACTCCGTGATCCTTATGGGTTCTTTCTCACTTGTAGTATTCTGTGATTCATTTTTTACTTTCATTGCAAATTCTCATAGTTTTTCTGTTCATTTATTTATTATTTATTACCGTTTATTTTTTGATATATTTTTTTTTCTTCTCCTTTAAGTATCAAAATAGGCAAATAGGCCTTAAATTGTCTCACACAGAACGTGCCTTAGCGTTGCCTTGATTTTGAGAGAATGGCCAGACCTTATTCTGCAAAAGCAAACAGAATGCTACAGGTGGGGCTGGAGCCAGATGTGTGCAGTTCCCTTCTTTTAGCTGATGTTTCTGACACAGTTCCAAGCTGTGGTCTTCGGCTCTGTATTTCACCTGCTCTGTTACATGTCTTTTCATGCACGTGGTGCTTATCAAAGAGAAAATGCATGAGAAATGTTACTTCTGCTCTTATTACAGAGAATGCAGGAGTCTAAAAAGCAGTTTAAAAAAGGTTGCGTTGATAGTATGTATTGCTTTTGTTTATATAAAGAGTTACTGGAAGAATCACACTTAAGATACTTGGAAGAAGGAGGTTAGAAAAGGTCAGTGTTGAAATCACTTTTGAAACACTGATGTTCAAAGCTGAAATAAAGGTGAAATTAGGTTAAAAACTATATGTTTTGGATTGGGGAGGAGTAGAAGATAGTCTTGATTTTTAGACACTTTATATCTAAGTCAGAATAAAAACAACATTATATTCAATAAGAATATTGACTATTTTGTGTTGAGTATTGAATAATATATTGGCTAAGAATAAAAACAACCATGTGTAAGAGCAGTGCTGCCTGTGGCACGGGGGTTGGAACTTGATGATCCTTGAGGTCTTTTTCAACTGAAGCCATTGTGTGGTTCTATGAATCTATGACATTTATAAGGCTGTAAAAGGTATAAATCCAGCTGTAGTACCCAAATCCCTCTAGTTTGTTGGCAGTAGGTTTATTTTTCAGTACTGGCTTTGTATTATGGATGGACCGTTATCAAATCTTTAGATGCCCAATCCACCATCTCTACCCTTTCAATGTTTCATTGGCAAGCAGAGAAAGAGGAGCATACAGAAAATGATTGCTTTTAGTCCATTTTTACTGGAAATAGATCTGTGCACAGTTATGACCCTGGGGTAAGTTAGTAATGAAAGGTTTTAATATTATGTGCTTTAAGCATGTTTATTTTGGACATATAGCCTTATGCATTTGTTTACGTTATTTTTCTGGAGTTATGTTAGTAATCTGGATTTTGCATTTACATGGGTTAAGAGGTACTCATTGTCATGGATAGAGTGGTGAAAGGATCTTATTTTAAATTACCTCTAAAAATTGAGCACTGCATTATTGTTTGGTGTAATTGTCTGCTCGCTTGGCCTCTTCAGCTGAAAAGCTTTATTCCATCCACTGTGCTTGAAAATTGCTTCTCTTCTGTTGTTTGTGAAGAGTGTAGAATAAACTATTGCTTCGTTCTGTGTGTTCCCCCATGCTTTCTTATCAAATATCCAAAAAATGTTAGAAGCTGTGGGATACGAAGCACCGTTGATGAGTAAGACAGCATTTGAAAATACTAGAGGTTGCATAGAAGTCTTCTACATTTCTGAAGGCCTTTTTCTTATAGAACAGCTCTCTCAAGTAGGCTACTAATTGTGAAGAATTCTGTTTTCTGTGCACTTGTCCTGATAATGTAGCACACATAAACCTTTTCTGTTACTTTCTCAACCAGGAGAAACTGCAGATGGCGTCAGTAAATCTGTTCATCGGGTCTTTGCGTCCATGATTGGGGAAAATGAAGATGAGGAGGAGGATGAAGAGGAAGAGGAAGAAGAAGAGGAAGAAACTACTGAGCAACCCACAGCTGGAGATGTTTTTGTGTTGGAGATGGTACTTAACCGAGAGACTAAGAAAATGATGAAAGCAAGTATTTATACCTTCACCTAACTACTCTGTGTTTCATGAAGTATAGTAAATAAATGCTGCTTTGTGCCATCTTAGCTATTGCTGAGAGGCTTGCCTGAAAATAATGCTGTGTAGGATGCTTCTGCTTAAGTTGGTGTGTCCTTTCTGGTTTTCTAGAAAATTACTGTAGGTTCCTGTTTGAAAACTTTCAGAAATAATGAAGTGAGTCTTTTCCAGTGTCTGGATTTTATTTGTGTTAGGTATTGGAGTTACTCTGTCAGTTATGAAAATCAGCAAATACCTTGGTCAGTCATTTGAACTCGCC